CCTAACCCTAACCCTAAGTAACCCTAACCCTAACCAGGCACCTGCTGAATCAATTCGAGTAGATGGGTAAAATCATCAAGCAAATTAGCTCCTTCAGTTTCCTGCATATCCTCCAGCCCATCGAGAATACAGAAAATCTTTGGACTCTCAGCAAAAGCAATGCGGAGAAGTTGGAAAAGATCAGCGACTGAGAGCTTCCCAATGCTCTTTCCATGGAACTGATACTTATTCAGCTCTAGTTGCAGCGCGGGACTCAGGAGTAACATCTGGGAGATCCAAGAGCGTAGGATTGTCTTGAGACCTCTGTTCGGATGAAAGGCTGACGGACCGAAGAAGGCTAAAACGCGCGCCCCCTGTTCTTGGGCGAGATGACAAGTTAGAGTGGCTGTTGAAACAGACTTTCCAGACCCGACTCTCCCATGAATCCATAGAATACTTCTTGATCCAGGATCCCCACTGTCACGCCAGTGAGTGAATACAGATAAGGTGTGAAGACATGTGGTCTCGCAGGAAACGGTTGAAGCTATGAGTCTCTCATATTCTTCAGGAATACCTCCGTAGCTCCGATCCTCGCAACCCAATCTTCGAGATATAAGCCAAAGTTTTTCTTGTGAAAGATTCTTCGAACAGCTTTTGACCGATTGCCCGAGAGTACTATCCATTGTTGCCAGGCTGTTATCTAATGTATATGTTGATGATCCGGGGATTTTTGATGCAGGCAGTTCAACGTCAGTCGACACATCTGTCAGTTGCTCTATCTTTCCATCTGAATTCATCGCGAATTCCGATGTAACCTGCTAGGTAGAAATATGAATTTGGAAGCAATAGAAGGAGCTCGTTCAATTGACTAACCAACCGGAATGAATGTCAAGGGCTAGGAGTGGTAAGTCATAGGAGAGGGAACGTTAGAGGATATATAGCCACAAACGTTTCCCTTTTGGCGGTAAAACCTGCCGATTGGGCCGCTTCATCAAGCTGTTATCAGCCGAAGCCTTGCATTCAAGTCTTGGCAAAGACCAAATCAAGTCATTGTTAGTTCAAAATCCGGTCCAACAAGGCCGCAACCCCGCGCAACAACCCTGGCGACGCTGGCCAGGTCCAAACGCACGCAACACTTCATTTGTATTCCAAGTAAAACGTATGTATTATTTTCTTAAGGTCTTTTTTTTGAGACAATAGTAAGTAGCTATCGATAAATAATTCTTTAATAGGTGGTGCAAGAGTGATTCGACAAACTAATAATGACCCCGCCCCATATCCAAGTGTGAGAGTGGGAATGGGTGTGTCAGTTGTGTAAGCGGGTTATTTTTTCGGGCTGTAAGAGGGATGGATAACGCTTCCAAATCATTTCGGAATCGGATAAATGCTTTTCCGTGTGTTTATGTAAGGGTCAAGTGGTCGTGTCACGCTGCCCAAGACCCACCGCTTATGGGGTGTAATTGTGATACCCCAGCTTGGCTAACCACCTCACGCCGTGGATGTTAAGACGCACGATATCAGATGCCAGCTCAACAATGACAGCACGGAGGATGCTATTCTTGATGATATGCTTCACGCTTACAAGGCAGTCGAAGAACCACACAGCGAAAATCATGTAGATCCACAGCTCGTAAACGCCAGTGAAGCCCTTCCAGTAAAAGACGCGGTACCAGTAGCTGGTCACAGTGAAGACGGCCAGGAGGTTGTGAGGGATCAGAAAGATCTTGTACGAGGCGTGACGGAACGAAACAGCGTTTTGAAACAACATAACTACGAGGCAAAGCGTCGTAACAATACCACAGATCCAGTAGGCACTAAAGCTAACGTAGGCCGCTAGGAGAGTGATGGAGTGGACGATGGCGTTGCAGAAAGAGGGATGTCGAATACGACCAGTCAAGTAGCAACAGTATGGCATCGATACTAACTTGCATATCACCTGAACCAGCGCAAATTACAGCATTAAAAACGGAGTTAACAGACTAAGGGACGTAGAAGAGAAGAAGGCAACGGTGATTAAATACTCATCATTTTAGGCGAATCTGACAGGATATGTTGATTGATTCTTATTATTATACAACCCAAAGTGGAAACCCGATTCTCATCAAAAAACGTGCCCGGACTGGCGAATCCTACTATAAACACAGCAGCGTTCTCATGCGAAGAAACATGAATTCTTTGAACTCTAATATCATGGTCACCAATTGGGATCGGCTTCTAAATCTACTCTCGCCAGATACCCTTGCTCAACCAGCTCCAGAAGAGTCGACGGCATGAGGAACTGTAGTCCCAATCCCTGCTGGCCAAACCACGGTGCAATTGGTCCGGCCTGCACAACGATGCTCCTCACAACCACGTAAACATAATAATTATACGGATACTTTGCATCCTGCGCGGCGTTCAGATTGACAGGGGGCAAACTGCGCTGTGCATACGGCGCGCCCGCCGGAGCGACGTATTTGCCGTACTCGCTGCCGAACCGGTCAATGAACAGACCGGGCGTCAGTGTGAGACTGAACGTGATGACTTTGCCCGCCGTGTCAAGATTGTAACCATCATGTGGAGGGTACACGAACTGGCCTGACGAAGCGTTTGTGTATTTTGCGAGGAACTCGCCTGGACAAAGCCCACCGAAGCGTCGGTACGTGCTGTTCATACCCACAATACCCTCAAGTGGAATACCGGAGGGCAGGGTATTAGGCCCAAGACGCTTATCCCCGCAGACGTAGAGCGTAGATTCCGACGAGTCCGACGAGTTCGTGCCGGCGCAGTAGTTGGGGCAGCGCGTAGAATCGAGGTCGCTCTGTTTGACAGGCGATTAGATTAAAGCGATATAAAAGAGTGAGAGGGGACTTGCATCGCGTCTTTGGAGAAGTGGTGATCCTAGGACACAGAGTGCCCAAATTAACAGTGAGATGGAGAAGGAGAGATTCATTGCAAACGTGCGTAATCTGGACAAAATAGCTGTCAAGTGATCGAGGAACGATTGATCTTAGTCGGCTTTAAAATAAGGGGATCCAATTTGGGTTGCGTATGACCTGAGCATAGGAAAATAGATGTACTGAAAGAAAAATTCTAAACTGGATTTCATCGCTCACAAAATCCACGAGGTTTTACTCTTTCCCTCGAGTCTCATGTGGAGGCTGTTCCTGGGGGCTCCTAGTGGGCACTGCGGCAACATGATTGGCGTTTCCGTATTCTAATATTATGTCTTGAAAACATTTCCTTACATGTCTGAGAAAAGAAACAACTTTGAAATTATCTTTTCATCTCCGATATTTCCCCGTGCGCTCTTTATTGGTTAAGCACAGAAAAGTGTTACCTCATATTTCATACAAAACCTTCGATTGAAATACTTAGGAGGTTAAATGACAGTGGTACCTCAAGGTCAAATTCTTTTATAGCAACGTATATGGGCGAGAGAGTGTGATAACTTATTTGACCAATGTAATTATGTCTGGGAGCTTTGTATTCCTTCTAAAAGTTATCCGAGAAACCAATAATTCGAAGCATATAATAGCATTTCTAACCGGGAGGTAGACTAAATAGATTTGAGAGATAGACATCTTCTAAGTATCATCCAAGTCCTTATCCATACAAGTGTTTATCGGCAACATATAGCTCTAAATAGACAAAAAATGGACGCGTCCTTGCCCCCGCCCTACTGTATGGGACTGCGTAACCACGGAAATACAGCTGTAGATGAGATAAATAGAGGTAAGAGTGTCTCACTAGCTCGCTAGGTTATGTACGTTTCGCACGGTTTGTTTTAGCCTAATTTTCAGGGTTTCCTACCACATTCCGTGGTAGGCCACGTGAGACATACAATTTGAACTGCTTGTTCGGGGCGCGGGCCGCTCCGTTTTGGATATCTTTACAGCGGCCTTTCAACAAGGTTGGCCAGGATTTGTCCCCCACTCTGCCAAAATTGGTTCTTGCTATCAGTTCCTCATGCCAGAGCCATAGCGTATGATACGAGACACTCGGTCCTAGGATAACGAATCCAGCAGCAAGAGAACAAGGCACGTATATCGTCTCGATATTGCTCAGCCAGACGTGGGCAAGCTCGTAGGCTACGGTAAAAGCCCACACAAGTATTCCCAGGCCAAGTATCAAAGCCTAAGAGTTAAGATCATGAAACCCCCTAGGAGACTGTTCACGGCTCGATAGTTATCGCGTGGTAAGAATACATCGACAAGGGAGATGCCAAATTTCCACATTGCGCTGATTAGCAATACGTGACCCATTGCGGACGCGGAGAACATAACCTTGTAGAGGTTTTGAAGGCTGGGGAGGTCGCTGCTGTAGGACTTGGGTCAGCTTTTTTTCGATGAAATCTCGGTTTTAATGGCGCTAGATGCGTCTGAATCGCTTGTCAGATACGATAGAGCTAGCAAAGTACTGGCAATGAACGCCGGTGTAAACTGCCAAGCGAATATTAGCTGCTACTTTGCCATTGGTTCGTCTGTGAGAAAAACAAAAACGGTAGGGATGCCAAACCCCACAAGGGTCGCTGCCACAAGATTATCCGCGATTGTCTTTAGGATGGATCTTGAGCTGGGAGAAAAACCCCAGGGCGAGTGAGACAGGCCATGGACAAGGAATAACACTGGATAGACAATGCCAGCACCAACAACAAGTGCGACGAGGGCCCAATAGACTGCACTGGTAGGTGGTGTCCATCTGCTTTGCCGGCGGCTTGCTTCGATGAAGATTACCGGAGGAAGGGCAAAGGCCATTAGAATACCGTACTTAATCGCCAAGACTTCTGAGGAGCTGGCCCTGTGCGTGAAAGGCGGGCAAAAAAAGCATAAGAGTGGTCTTGTCCACGACCGGAACACCAAAAAAATTATGGAGCACAGGGTCACCATTCTCGTGCTGATCCAAGGCAAGGACACTTTCCATCAGGCCAAAACATCCGTTGGCCGAGGTGGCATTCCACATCAACTCCTCTCCTAGCAATACAATAGCCGCATATGTAATTGAGATAAAATAAGGTTCCCCATCCTCTGCTCTTGGGTTCACTAAAAAACTCATAGATAAATTGATGGCTCAGTGGCGTCGGCAACACATGTAGCGAAGGTGGTTCTAGGAAATCACGATCCAGGCCGTCCAGGATAGCCTCCGGCTCAAAGCATTTGAGAAACTTCGCAGCCATCCAGGAGATCAAGGATGACTTAGTAGCCTCCAAGTTATGTTGATCATGCGGTCCCTTAACCAGGTGGGATACTCTGGGCTACCGAGCTCTTTGTATTAATTCGGAAACCCCACTCAGTTCCTCAGGTGTGAGGCCTCTGGGGCTATCGCTGAGCGCAGGATGTAATTCGTTGACAAAAGTTGCAAACGTCTCGACAGCATTGTTACAACCTTGGCCAATCAGTGGTTCGAACTAAGCTGGATAGTTGGTAGTCGAACTGAGTATTGAAGAGAGACAAGAGTTTGTAACAAGATCGTCTTCCTATCTTATGAGCTGAGTCTCTGATCAGGACAGCACCGTCGCTGTACCACTTGTCGAGTACGACTTCGGCCAAGGAACTATAGATACTGGAGCTCATGCGACTGTAGAAATCGCTAAACGTGATGACAGGTAAAATAGGCGTGCTAATGTACTTCTGCGCGGTTTTGGCCTCGTCCGCCTTGTTCAGCCTTGGGATATCATGACCCTGATATTTCTTGTCGGTGCTTATTAAAATTGCGCAGTAGGTACGGTTTAGACGGCAATCAGGAACCAGAAATGAACATCAGTCACCCCAATTAGTGGGTAATATTCCTTGAGGATGGTTGGGCACGTCCAGGTTGATGCCCAAGATGCAGTAGTATGACGCCTCCAATCCTTGATTATGGGGTCAGTGATAATTTCTCGCACAAGAAAGGCTATGGGCAGCCAGCTCACGATCATCTCATGGGCAGCCTTGCCGGCAGCTAATCAGCTTCCTTACCAAGCTGTGCACACCGTTGCATCCGACAACAAAGCTGCCTGTGAGTATTATGCCACTCGCGATATGCACCCTAACTTCATTAGGGCTGCAGTCAACCTTTTCTTACCCGCTGACTGGTTAACGCTTTGGATTTGTCGCTGATGTGGTTACTCAAAACCCCGACCACCATCCGGTGATCCAAGTAAAGCCCCGGGTATCCGTAGTTGCAAAAGCTGTCGACAGAAATCGGAAGGGAACCGACGCCGGAGGTTACACACCGATCAGTGATAGCTTCATCCATATCTCTGAAGCAGTAGAACGGTTCGAGATTGGACCGGCTTGCGGAGATGACACTGACACCCTTCTCCCCCCGGGCTAACAAGTTTTGGTAACAGCCAAGCTGCTCCAGAGTATGGAGGCCATTGGGAAGAAGAGCAAAGCTAGCACCACCTTGCGGCGCAATGTTTTTATACGAATCCAGTACAACAAAGCCGATATTGCACTTTGAAGCATAAGAGCGAGTGTAAACGCAGCAATACTGCCGCCAGAGATCACAACTTTGAAGCTAGCGGCTCGCATTGCATGGTTAGCGATCTCAAGTTGTTGGTCTTGCATTGTAAAATCCAGGAGAAAGTTCGGCATATTGGTGCTAATGGGCAGATAGATTGGTTGTGGATTGATATTATTCAAGATTGAATATTTGACGCGGCTACAGCTAGGTGCGAAAATAGTGTCCTGTTGAGTTGAACTCTTCAAGGTCTCTGAGGGCACGGACGCTTGATTATACTGTGTGAAATACGATTTGTTCACACATAGTACTAGAAGTCCCACGTGATAGATGGCTCCAAAAATGGATTATGCTGGGACCTGTCGAACACCGTGGCCTCAGTGTGGTCGCCTCAGTATGAGTCACGGTCCGAACGCCAGAACATGCTACTCCCTCTTTTTCATCAGCAACATCACCAAAAAAAGTCAGCAGAATCAGCAAAAGGTTTTACAACAATGGCGCCGTTTCTCGCCCGTTCTACCCATGACTTCCTCAGAAATATTATCTACAGTAAGTTGCAGGGCGAAGTGACTGCTCCTGATGACAGCATAGCCAAGATGGTCGGTTGTAGTCCTCGGTCGGTACGCCGAATTCGCTCGAAGTTGCTCGCGTTTGGGACAACAGAGATTCCGATAAATACACCCGGTCGCCCCAAATCCATCACCCCTCCCATGCTAAACGCTCTGCACAGCGAGCTTGGTGTCGATCCATGCCTTACCCTTGATAAACTAGCCACCTTCCTTTACGAGCATTACGATACCGACGTATCCCGCTTCACCATCAGTAGGACCTTAAGAGAAGACAAGTGGTCTCGGAAAGCCACACAGAATGTCGCGCAAGAGCGTAATCTTGACCTGCGAGACGAGTTTATGCACCAGATATCACAGTTACGGTCTGATCAGTTGGTGTTTGTGGACGAATCCGGCGTAGATAAGAGTATTGGTACACGGCGTAGAGGCTGGGCTCCCCGAGGAAAGCGACCACGTCAAATCAAGCGATTTCACCGCGGTCGCAGGTACCAGATCTTACCGGCCTATACCCAAGATGGAGTGATACACTTTCGGGTTTTCGAAGGCTCGACGGATGCTAAGGTTTTCGAAAGTTTCATTGAAACTCTCTTGCTACACTGTGGTCGTTGGCCTGAGCCCCGGTCAGTATTGATCATGGATAATGCATCATTTCATCACTCGGAGCGCATTCAGGAAATGTGCAGCGAAGCCGGAGTGGTGCTGATATACTCCGCTCCCTACAGCCCGGATATCATCCCGATTGAGCACTTTTTCGGGGAGCTGAAGAACTTTATTCGGAAGGTCTGGGACGAGCATCAGGGGTTCATCAGGGCCGATTTCCAAGGTTTTCTGGAAGAATGTGTCATGGTTGTCGGCCAGCGAAAGAAGAGTGCTAGGGGTCATTTCCGTAGCTGTTCGATCTCGATTGACGAACCTTAAGACTAAAGCAGATGGGAATGTCAGTGTGTTATGCGATTCAGATGACTTGTTCTTGGTCTACATAGATCTTTACATCCCGCACCCAACGACGCCCTACGCCTTCCAAGACGCCATGATCGATGAAAAAATTGAGCATCATTATCCTCATATAGAAGTTCAAGGTCTAGTCCTCTTGCCATTGTGAGGTTATAAGCCAGTTCGAAATGTTCTTTTTGGATCTCGCTCCCCACTCTGGAGCAATGCCAGTCACGATACACCGCGACAGCATCATCCCTCAGTCCAAGCACGCATAGGGGAGGCAGACGACTGCAAGAACAGCTTCCCGGGTCTGGGGAATGCGCGTTCTGCGCTGGTATATAGTCAGAGATGTGGTTATGAATAATTACGGGGGCATGGCTAGGAGAATCCGGTCCTAAGCTTTGTCGCTTGCGCTTGCGGTCGCGACCTTGTTGATCTTCGGCGTATAACTTCGTTCGGAACTCCTCGGGAATATCGTCATGCGTGTCTAACTTGTTGCCTCGCTGAACCCATCGGACAAGTTCTCTCAAATGATGGTCCATGAGTTTGAGATGCTTTCCCTGTTGTTGTCGGTCCTGCCAGCACCATTCCCCATTGTCGCACGGGGCTCCCGGGCATCTCATAAGCTGGTAGACTCGCCGCCATGGATCAAGCTCGCCAGTAGCCTCCAGCTCTGCATCCATCCGGGCGCTCAGCTCTGCAAGGCCTATAGCTGTGGCACCTCGCCCAGCGGGCCGACCCGTAGTGGCAAGTTTTTTGTAGTCCTGCTGAATCTGGAGCTTCAGCCTCTTCCCAGCGCGGAGAAGCTGGCTCCATCCTTGAAGTTGCTCCTCAATACTTAGCCAATCGATTTGCTGTCTTTTAGTATATGCTTTGAAACTTTGTCTTCGGACCGGTCATTAGGGACCGATAAAACAATAGTTGTATCACCAATCTCATAGGGCTTGCTTTTCGTATTGATGATCTCGACGAACTTAGCTGAGAGTACTTGATTCTAAAATTCGCTCGGTGCTACGGGTAGATTCTTCTTGGTTTGTTCAACAGCCTTTCTATTATCCAGGGTTAACTTCCATTGCATAGTATAGTACATCCACCGAAGGGGCTTTTCGTCGTATGACCGGCCTGGAACCCAGTCTGCATATTTCAGGAACGGCAGTGGCTTTGGAACGAGGGGAAGCTGGCTGTGCGGGGAACTAGCGCCATGGTTGAGTTCACTGGTGTCAGAATCGGAGACGGCTGAGTGTTGGCCATCAGCTTCATCGTCGCTGGTGAGCTCGTACACCCAGTCGTCTGCAGCCATTATCGCGGTCATTGGCCAACGCAGACAGAGAGATAGAATGAAACACGGCAATTATCCAGTAAAGGCAAAATAGCACTTTAAGTGAGGTCAATAGGTTGCATGGGATTCTGGTCTGGCTTGATCAATAGGTGGGTCTATAACTGTCATGGAAGCTTCTAGAAAGTACTCAGACTATTACATCCAATCATAAGGCATCAAATGCGCTATGCTGGGCGTACTTTCTCCATACTCGCCAGAATGAAATATTTGTCCAGATGACAGGTCCCAGCTTGCATCCACCCTTGATCGCCTTTTTCGACGGCCCTGAAAACTCGCGATTCATTTCTCAACCTGTCGCGCTGCCATCCATTGGATACTCGCTATCTCCTTAAATAGTCCTTCGCAGGTTAGCGATATCCTCTCGTTTTTGTGTCACCGAGCTTGTTCGCCTCATCCAGTGCTTCGTCGGGCGGGGAAACCGCGTGTTTGGCTCCAGGCGGCAAGATGCCTTTTTCTCTTCTGTGGCTGAGTAGCATGGCTTTCAGCACGAATCACAGCCGCAGAACGTTCTGCCTGCTGCAGCCTGCGACATACAGCCGTCAAGGACCATGTCACGTAGCCAGAGCCTGATCTAAGATCGGTAGGAATCAAAAGCGCATCCCATCCCCGCTTCTCACCCACCATATGGCTTCGTCATTTGCTATCGTGTGATATTTGCCTGTATTCTGGTGTCATCGCCAACAAAAAGCAATTCGCACTAGCGGCGGCTACAACGTTTAAACTCGAGATCACTCATTAGTCATGTCGGACGCCTCCAAGTATACGGTCGGCTGGATCTGCGCGCTTCCTACTGAGTTCGACGCAGCACAGGCCTTCCTAGACGAAGAGCACGACGACCAGCCCGCAGTCGCTCAAAATGACAACAACAACTACGCCCTAGGCCGAATCGGTAATCATAACGTAGTAATTGCTGTTTTGCCGGATGGAGAGTATGGTACGAGTGCTGCTGCTGCAGTGGCGCGGGATATGCTCCACAGCTTCCCAAACGTGCGTATTGGACTCATGGTCGGCATTGGTGGCGGCGCGCCTACGAAGCATGATATACGGCTTGGCGACGTTGTGGTTAGCAGTCGCGATGGAGGCAAAGGTGGTGTCTTCCAGTACGATTTTGGCAAGGCTATCCAGAACCAAGATATACCTTTCGAGCATACCGATTTCCTAGACCAACCACCCACAGTATTGCGAACAGCTGTCAGCGCACTGAAGAGTCGATACAAGAGGAAAGGCCATCAGCTGAATACCGCTATTGACAAGGCCTTGGATCGATGGCCTCGGCTGCGGGAGGAATATTCGCGGCCACCGTTAGAAAGCGACAGGCTCTACCGATCTGAAATCATCCATCCAAACTCGCCAGAAGGATGTGACGCCATATGTGGTGACGATCCAACCTATCTGGTAGGTCGGAACAAACGAGGTGAACATAGCGACGATCCTGCAATCCACTATGGATTGATTGCTAGTGCGAACCAGCTCATGAAGGATGCTAGCATCCGGGATAAGTTAGCAACTGAAAAGGGCGTCCTTTGCTTCGAGATGGAGGCGGCCGGCCTAATGAACCATTTTCCATGTCTGGTGATCCGCGGAATATGCGACTATTCCGACTCGCATAAGAACAAACAATGGCAAGGCTTTGCAGCGATGACGGCAGCAGCATACGCGACGGATCTCCTGCGCCAGATCCCACCCAACAAGGTTGAGGCTGAACGGAGGATCGCCGATGTTTTAAGTCTACGTTAGTATCTTAACCTAATTCAACTATTTCACCTAACATTAGATAGTTCAGGAAGATGTCGATCGCATGCAGCGGGATGTGAGTGAAACCAAGGCTGTTGCGACAACCACCAGAAATAATCAGCATCTCGACAAAGTACGTCGGTGGCTGTCGCCATCAGACCCATCAAGCAACGCCTCAATGGCGAGAGAACGTAGGCACGCCGGCACTGGAACCTGGCTTTTGGAAAGCACTACCTTCAATGAGTGGGAGGCCGGAAAGCGTCGGCATCTGTGGCTCTATGGCCTAGCAGGATGTGGCAAAACAGTCCTGAGCACAACAATATTGGATCATCTCCAGCAAACAGCTAGTACTCCCACGATCATGTTCTTCTTTGATTTCAACGACGCCAGAAAGCAGACGCTAGACAACCTTGTGCGCTCGCTAGCTTTTCAGCTTTACCATACGGGGGATGAGGCTTTAAGGATACTAGACAGCCTTTATCATTCCCACGACGACGGTCGGAGACAGCCTGATGCTAGTACCTTATCAGCCTGTATTGAGTTGATGATGCAAAAACTGCAGAAGGTTACTATTGTTTTAGATGCTCTCGATGAGTGTACGACAAGGAGCGATCTTCTTTTATGGATTCGGAGGCTTACTTTAGGTTCGGCTACTAACAACGTCCAAATCATTGTAACTGGGCGACCTGAAGCCGAGTTTCAGCGTGAGATTCCTCAGCTGTTTAAAGACGATAATTGTATGTTGCTCGACAAGAAGGCTGTTGATGCCGATATACGCTCCTACGTGGCCCACGAACTTGAACAAAGGCGTGGTTTTACCGAGAAGAAGCTCCCTCAAGATCTTTTCGAACAGATCCGGATCAAAGTCGGAGATGGGGCCGACGGGATGTATGTATACATTATATCTATTTATAGAATTTACCATACTAAGAACATATTGATTCGTACAGGTTCAGATGGGCAGCATGTCAGCTAGACAGCCTTCTGAAATGCCTCCATGTCCAGGCTATTGAAGAAGCTCTCGAACGCTTGCCTCGCGATCTAAATGAAACATACCAGCGTATGCTTGAGAATATTCCGGAAGAGCTTAAGAGCGATGCGTTACGCCTCTTACAGTTCCTTATCTATTCTAAACGGCCCTTGACATTAAAAGAAGCAATCGATATCACAGCAACACAGATTGAAAGTATAGGACAGCGAAGCTTTAACGTCAAGCGTCGACTTCTTCGTGCTGACGACATATTACAATACTGTCCAAGTTTGACATCAATTGCTGAGTTTTCACGTGATGGTAAGGTTACGAAAGCAATTCAGCTCGCCCACTTCTCAGTTAAAGAGTACTTGGTGGGGAAAGACCAATTTCAACTCCCAACTGCCAGCATTACTATTACGTGGACCTGCTTGACATACCTCAAGGACATCAAGATTACTGGAACAGTTGAAAGGATCAAGGCTGAATTTCCACTAGCCAGACATGCGGCAGAACTCTGGATGGAGCATGCAAAAGAAGGGGAGATTTCCGAAAGCATTGTCCAAGAATCAACAAACTTCTTACAAGATACCAAAACATTTCAGTGTTGGGGTCGCTTATACCAGCCTGATAGGGAATGGTACGAGGATCCAGGACGCCCAAGTGGATCGAGACTTTACTATTCCTGCCACGAGGGGCTTCACAAAGTGACAAGGAGCCTATTGGAACAAGCAGCAGACGTCAACGTACAGGGTGGCACCTTTGGCAACGCTCTCCAAGCTGCCTCAGCTAGAGGCCACCAAGAGATCATACAGCTTCTTCTCGAGAAAGGAGCCGACGTCAACGCACAGGGTGGCTTGTATGGCAACGCTCTCCAAGCTGCCTCAGCTGGAGGCCACCAAGAGATCATACAGCTTCTTCTCGAGAAAGGAGCCGACGTCAACGCACAGGGTGGCAGGTATGGCAACGCTCTCCAAGCTGCCTCATCCGAAGGCCACCAAGAGATCATACAGCTTCTTCTCGAGAAAAAAGCAGACATCAACGCACAAGGTGGCTTGTATGACAACGCTCTCCAAGCTGCCTCAGCTGGAGGCCACCAAGAGATCATACAGCTTCTTCTCGAGAAAGGAGCCGACGTCAACGCACAGGGTAGCTACTATGGCAACGCTCTCCAAGCTGCCTCATATGGAGGCCACCAAGAGATCGTACAGCTTCTTCTCGAGAAAAGAGCCGACGTCAACACACAGGGTGGCAGGTATGGCAACGCTCTCCAAGCTGCCTCATATGGAGGCCACCAAGAGATCATACAGCTTCTTCTCGAGAAAGGAGCCGACGTCAACGCACAGGGTGGCTACTTTGGCAACGCTCTCCAAGCTGCCTCGATTAGAGGCCACCAAGAGATCATACAGCTTCTTCTCGAGAAAGGAGCCGACGTCAACGCACAGGGTGGCTACTATGGTAACGCTCTCTATGCTGCCTCATCTAAAGGCCACCAAGAGATCGTACAGCTTCTTCTCGAGAAAGGAGCAGACGTCAACGCACAGGGTGGCGAGTATGGCAGTGCTCTCCAAGCTGCCTCATATGGAGGCCACCAAGAGATCGTACAGCTTCTTCTCGAGAAAGGAGCCGACATCAACGCGCAGGGTGGCGAGTATGGCAGTGCTCTCCAAGCTGCCTCATATGGAGGCCACCAAGAGATCGTACAGCTTCTTCTCGAGAAAGGAGCAGACGTCAACGCACAGGGTGGCAGGTATGGCAACGCTCTCCAAGCTGCCTCATATGGAGGCCACCAAGAGATCGTACAGCTTCTTCTCGAGAAAGGAGCAGACGTCAACGCACAGGGTGGCAGGTATGGCAACGATCTCCAAGCTGCCTCATATGGAGGCCACCAAGAGATCGTACAGCTTCTTCTCGAGAAAGGAGCAGACGTCAACGCACAGGGTGGCAGGTATGGCAACGCTCTCCAAGCTGCCTCATCCGAAGGCCACCAAGAGATCGTACAGCTTCTTCTCGAGAAAGGAGCAGACGTCAACGCACAGGGTGGCGAGTATGGCAGTGCTCTCCAAGCTGCCTCATATGGAGGCCACCAAGAGATCGTACAGCTTCTTCTCGAGAAAGGAGCCGACATTAACGCGCAGGGTGGCGAGTATGGCAGTGCTCTCCAAGCTGCCTCATATGGAGGCCACCAAGAGATCATACAGCTTCTTCTCGAGAAAAGAGCCGACATCAACGCACAGGGTGGCTTGTATGGCAATGCTCTCCAAGCTGCCTCATATGGAGGCCACCAAGAGATCGTACAGCTTCTTCTCGAGAAAGGAGCCGACGTCAACGCACAGGGTGGCAGGTATGGCAACGATCTCCAAGCTGCCTCATATGGAGGCCACCAAGAGATCGTACAGCTTCTTCTCGAGAAAGGAGCCGACGTCAACACACAGGGTGGCGAGTATGGCAATGCTCTCCAAGCTGCCTCATATGGAGGCCACCAAGACATCGTACAGCTTCTTCTCGAGAAAAGAGCCGACGTCAACGCACAGGGTGGCGAGTATGGCAACGCTCTCCAAGCTGCCTCATATGGAGGCCACCAAGAGATCGTACAGCTTCTTCTCGAGAAAAGAGCTGACATCAACGCACAGGGTGGCGAGTATGGCAACGCTCTCCAAGCTGCCTCATATGGAGGCCACCAAGAGATCGTACAGCTTCTTCTCGAGAAAGGAGCCGACGTCAACACACAGGGTGGCTTGTATGGCAACGCTCTCCAAGCTGCCTCGATTAGAGGCCACCAAGAGATCATACAGCTTCTTCTCGAGAAAGGAGCCGACGTCAACGCACAGGGTGGCTACTATGGCAACGCTCTCTATGCTGCTTCATCTAAAGGCCACCAAGAGATCGTACAGCTTCTTCTCGAGAAAGGAGCAGACGTCAACGCACAGGGTGGCTACTATGGCAACGCTCTCCAAGCTGCCTCATATGGAGGCCACCAAGAGATCGTACAGCTTCTTCTCGAGAAAGGAGCAGACGTCAACGCACAGGGTGGCAGGTATGGCAACGCTCTCCAAGCTGCCTCATCCGAAGGCCACCAAGAGATCGTACGGCTTCTTCTCGAGATAGGAGCAGACGTCAACAAACAGGGTGGCGAGTATGGCAACGCTCTCCAAGCTGCCTCATATGGAGGCCACAAAGGGGTTGTCTCGCTCCTTCTGAATTTAAGCGAGGTAGATTCAGAAGCCAAAAACCCTCGTTCTGGCAGAACGGCTCTATCTTACGCCGCAGAGAATGGCTATGAAGCCATTGTAGAGCAACTTATTACAGTTGCCGGCGCTGACCCTACTTCAGTAGACAATATACGCCGGACGCCGTTGTTCTTTGCATGTAATGAGGGGCATAACGCAGTAGTTAATATTCTTTTGTTGCACAACGCGGCAGCATCAGATTTGAAGGATCACTACGGCTCAACCCCTCTCTCTGCAGCGGCTAGGAAAGGTCATTCTGATGTTTTGAGATCGCTCGTATCTACTGGCTCTATCGATATCAATTCTACTGATAACTTTGGTCGGACCCCCTTATGGTGGGCTAGAAGATATGGACATGCTGAAGTATTTCAGTTGTTAGTCGAAGTTGGAGACCAAGGCGTGTTCTCGGATGGGAGTCAGACGGCTGTAGAGGTCATCACAAAGCGCCATGAAAAATTTGCCCATTATTGCGATATTTGCACCTTCAGCATTTCAGAGGACAGCAAGTATTATCATTGTTCAGTTTGCAATGGGGACGATCTGGACATTTGCTTGGATTGTTTCCATCTCGGCGGCCGCTGTCTAGAGGTGTCGCATAAACTAACTTTGAGGGAAAGCCAGTAAAAAAAGTTAAAAAAAAAAAAAAAAAAAAAAAGGACACCAAGCAACTGGAAGGATTTCTGTCTAGTACTACTATACCTACGGGTGATTTTGCAATGTGGAGCCTGAAGTAAGCAGGATTGGTATTCTCATAGTCAGGCATACTGTGGGAACCTTGATTGTAAATCTAACAAACGGGCCCACTTTCTCCGCTACTTAGAGAGACTTGGGTCGACCTAAAAAGCAGCACACAGAAATGTATTAGGCTTTCTCGCAGCTACTTTTGGCTTACTTATGTACTTCTAGGTTCTCTCAAGTACTGATGGCTCGTGCGACCAAACATCAATGAGTGCAAAGAGGACATCTTTTTCGCACATAGCTGTATCAGCGAGCTTTGAGACGCCACGCTATTCATCAGGAGTTGGAAGTATTAAGCAAGGAACTGTCGCTAAAATGAGTCGTTCGGACTGTCTGGTCCTGTGATCGCTCCATTAATCGAAACCTTTACCCATAAAAACGCCCCAACGGTATTATCCGCCATCGGGACGGAACCCTCAGCCACCGTGAAAGGATAGAGAGCCAGATGGCACCTTTGACTTCTGAATGCATAATCTGATGCCAAATTTGTCTTCTTGTTAAATGAGAGTTGCCAATGCCCTAATTGACTTCTTCGCCTCGTTAAATGCTTCATCGGGGTTAAGTGATGTTGAGATGAGTAAAATTCCCTAGGTTGTAGCAATCTCATTTGCGAAAGGCACGGATAGCATCTCAATAAACGTGAAGAAGCATTCGGGCAAGACAAGCTTCCTCCGCGAACACCCTGAACTTCCTGTTTTGCTCGACGGCCCGTACCGCGCCAATTCGAGCCGAGAGGTGCTCAAGTGCGGTTGCGTGCTGTTAATCAGCTGCGATATCGACATCATCGGTATCCTCACCTGGGCTCATGTACACGTGAACTTCAAGGAGAATGCCCGCTCCATTCTAGAAGATCTTAAAGCAGCACTAAGCAGTATAGACAACAGGGACATATTAGTTGCCAACAACTAGACGTGAACAGGTTCCTGACACAAGACATCGAAGCGGGCTGGAATAAGATCGGCGTCGTCGTCTGTTCTGTAACCCGGCCAGGCTTTGTGACGATGTTTGTATGGCCGTGGTGGGTTTCGGAAGGAAGAGCAAGGTCGTGTTTGAGCTAGAGGTAGATGCTTTTAGCTGGTAGGATAGTTTCAAACCTTCTCCATCCCAAGTAATCTTCTATATCCACTACCTAATTGGTTTTCGGAATTTGCGGGGTCTAGCCATTATTATTAAACTATATTCAATCTATTACTTTCACCTACTTCAAAGTCAATTAAAGCATTTTCTCCCACATCAACCCCCTGGTGCAACTGAAGTTGTTTAGGGACCCTGATGCTTTTGTCAAATCAGATACCTGGCACAGATTTTTGAGTTTCTCGCCTGGGTCAAGCTCGACGAACCTTTAAGTTCTTTTAGAGTTGAACCCGTCAACCATTTCTTGAGCTACAAGTTACGCGTCCTTTAGCGTCAGATCAATCTCCATTGGATGAACCCGTCTGGAAATCTTCAGAGACACGCAGAACCTTCTGGCTAAAAGACCCTGAAGAGTCGGGGTTGAAGTTGTGTTTTGTGATGCTGGCAATGCCACGGGGGCCTGGCCCTTCACGTTTTGCTGTCCAACCACTAGTGATCCGCACTTAGCAATCCCTGCACAGCTTAAATAGCTCGTTACACTGAAGTTGTGTAAGGTATGTTTTTCAAAATTAGTCAGGACATATGAGTTTTCGTTAAAATCCTTCTCCACTCATAGCCATAGCTAGGTATTAATGTAGTTCGAATAAAGAAGGCTTGGGAAAGCTTATTAAGCAGTAAGGCCGTGAAGCAAATGCTTTAAGCCTGCCACGTCTCCTAACAAGGTCGTGTGTTTGTCCAATTTTTCTCTAGATAAGTGGCATTTGGTGGTTATGGAAGACCCTGGAAAACCGATTCCGGAACCAAAGTAGAGTCGATGAGTTATCAACACCTAGGTAGCTCGGACCTACTGAGGGTGTGAACCCATGGCGCATTCACGAATTGGATGGTTTGCCCTTCGTATTAGTCTAATTGTCACAGTGATTGGTTTCGCTCCTTATTCTCAAGTCAGGTCCGAACTGAAGTACTGAGTTGATTAGCTGCAATCTTTTTCATAGGAAGAGTTGCCTATGTGAGTTGGTTATGGAAAGAAGCAAGTAATTAGTTGATTTGCGCGGTTCATTTGGTGTAACGGATTAATAACAATGTGGGGATGGCTGCACCCACCCCCAAGTTTCTGCACCAATCATTTTTCAAAACGGATCATTCAGCTAAACCTGAAAGGAAAATACGGCCAGAGGAAAGGTTCACAGATTATTGTCTGACATCACGGACATGAACCTTACCTTGTGAAACTGGTCGTCTCTATTGACCTATATAATGTCGTATAATCGCAGCCTTCAACTTATTAGTTAGCACACTCTGCAACTCAACTCAACTCCTACAACTGTTTTTATCAGGCGCTCTTTGTTTAATCCACTATGTATTTGAACCTCCTTTTGGCTGCGCTTCCGGCTATTGCCAGCGCTCACGTCCTTCAGAAGAGAGATTACTGGGGCCCAGCTTTTTCTTCGGGTCCTACTGCTGGTGGCGCTAAAATTGTATATGCCGCCATGACCCTTACCCCTGGACTGCCTCCCCCCAACCCCAAAGGCGATCTCTTCATTTGGCCCGGCGTTGGTGGCGACAAAGATCTCTTGCAGGTTGTTTTCATGACAGCCGAGAACTGCCAGGCGGACGCCGAGAGCTGGTGTGTCCAGCCGTATGTTGCCGGACCACGTTATGTTAACGGGCCGGTTGGTATTGCTCATGCCAATGACAAGATCCGTATTGAGTACAAGCTTCAAGCTGACAAGGTATATAAACAATTCGCTGGTAGTGTGTTCTGCTATTGACTGAGTACTCTAGGTGCATTGGGTTCAGAGTGCGACCAACATTGCTACCGGCAAGCTGCTTACTTCCCTTACCTCGGATTCGGGCTTGCACCAAAGCGGCGTGGGCACTGCTGTGGAATGTAACAAGGACTGTGCAACCACCGTTTCTGAACACACTTACGTTGACTGGGAAATTCGCCTCGACAAGGCCGATCCCAACTTCGCTGATACTTTTGGAGTTAGCCAAGGCGCCACCTACACCGGTATGACTTCGGAGCAAGGCGGCAAGATCTGGAAGATTGCCAAGATTGTTATCCCCAAAATGCGCTAGAGATGATGGATTTCTCTAAACGGGAGGAAAGGCAGCTAAGTTTATTAGCGACATCCAACGGGAGCGTTTTCTTTCTACTTTGCAAAATAGCTTGACACTTGGTAAGAGTCAGCTATTGCTACTTTTGAAAATAAAAGGCTTAGACCACATATTCTTAAATCGAAATCATCTCAGTTATCCAAGCTCTAAAATTACTCCAAAGCCGCTAGGGTTCAGTGTCACTGTCTAGTGGCAGTACCTTCAAATTCACTCAACTGTATTCTGTGTTGATTTTCTTGTCTGGGCTCGAAGCCAATACCTTTCTTTGTAAATATTCAGAGAGACTAAAGATTTAGGAATGCCTCCTGAGAGTTTATTCTACAAGTTTCCAGAAGTAGGTAAAGTTTGGTCCAAAGAGAATGCGAGAAAGACGCTTTTGACTGCAACGTTCACTAAGCTAAAGCTAAGAATGCTTCCAATCATGGACAGCAACTGGCTGTGTCGACTTTACATACGAATAATATCTTCTTGACACTAATAACCGGCATGACCTCAACTCACAGTGACGAAGACAATCAAATAAGGCAATCTGGGCTGGAGATATCCAATCCATCTTTAGCTTGCCAAACCCAAACAATGGGGCTGCTACTGTTTTGTACGACATCAAAGCAAGGACCAAGACTGTCATCTAGAGGTTTAATTAGTGGAAAACCAGTCGAAACTTGGTCCCACTCATGGATTGCTCCCTCGCCAAGTCGTTCGCGGAGAAGATTAAACCATTCTGGTGCACCACAGGCGTCTTGCTGTCGACAAATCTGCACGAACGGTATCGCAATGTCTTCAAGCCTACCAGATTCACTGGTTCTAAGCTGAGTATCAATATTCAATAAATGAATCATGCCGCGACCATAAGGAATTCTCTGAGCAGGCCGTAATGTCCAAGCAATTTCTTGTGCGGCCTCATCTGACATGTTGACGGCAGGGTTTGTGTAGTAATCAAAGGCGCGCTGATTCATCTCTTGGAGATAGTCGCTGGAAGACATCAACCCCGCCCGCCAAAGAAGTCTCAGTGACCAGTACTCTGCCGCACCTTCATTGTAACGAGATCTTTCAGCGAGAGTACCATCTCGCCATGGCGTCCAATTATGGGTCATCTCGTGCGCGAGAAGAGTTCTGATTCTGTCAGAGGAAATGCCAGCTTCTTTATTGTACCCAAAGGCAAATGATTGCAGCAGCGCAGATCCACCAGGCGTGATCGCGACTTCGTCGTTGATACGGGCAAAAACATGATACGACTTCTGGTATGCGTCCTGCCAAAATTTGGAAGAGAATTCGAGGAAATCTTTGACATAGGTGCCAACTGCCGAAATATCGAATGGCGGGTTTTCTAGCCAGTACATACCAAAGGTCGTGTTTGTAGGGATACTAGGATACCCCTTGATATCACCGACCATAAAGAACGTTTGAAGAAGTTGCCTAAGCGTGGCATTGAACTGATAGATATGACGTCCTTTGCCATCTTTCCATGTGAAGGCTGCTGACTGTCGTTCAGTGATGTTCCACTCGAGCGAGATATTGTATTCTATATTGGAAAGTGGAGATGGCGCAGGTACCACAGCCCACATCGATCCTATCAATCCATTTGTTCCAGCTCTTAGATCGTAAAGAGGTCCAGGTAAAGCCTTGACATTGACAGGTGCTGGTTGGTGGGTAAAGCTGATCGTGATAGGGCCTTCGGTAGCCCTCTGGACAGTCCAAGTTCGATGAGGCTGAGAATACGGCCCGATCGTTTCGTTAGACCCAAGAGGAAGAGAACCCTTGTTGTCAAAAGCCGCGAGACCGTTGCCTCCATCTTTAGTTCCAGGGAGACTGAAAAGTTCGGTAGGCAACATCAGAAATGTTTCATTGGGAGAAAAATCGCCGTCTAACACAAGATTGCCATGTAGTTTGTAGTTGTTGAAGGCAAAGTCCGGAGTGAATGTGACATGGAAACGCGGTAAGCTTGTCGTGTTCACTTGTGTCTTGCATCTTGCAGTCGCATGACCAACAAGACACAAGACAACAAAGATGACCGTGTAATACCAGGTCATTGCAGCGGAAATATATCTTATAAGCTCGAATGCTAAGAGAGATGATAAAAAGAGGATGGCAGTAAGATGGTAAGAATCTGAAGTAGCGTAACAACTTGTTCTTTTTATTGCTGGTCAGGAATGCAATGAGTCTTGTAAACAAGAAGAGCCAATAATTAAGATAGTTGTAGTAAGCTGTTTCTTTGCAATGTCTTGCTCAATAAAAAAGAGGATAGCCTTAATATAAATACATAAGAGATCTGTGCAGATCGTTTTTATTGCCGTTTCGGGTCTAACAGGCCTTAGAACGGTTAGCTATAATCTTGAGCAGCGTATTCGAGGTGCCTAGGCGCTAAGAAAAACGTATTTGGATTTTTGAAGTTGAATTGGCCATTACTGCCAAGGCCTAAGTCTTAATATTTACAGGTCTAGAACGAACGTAGCTAATGGAGTTACGTGAAAAGAAATAGTCGGATAGACAATGTAGCACAGGTTAAATATAGTAAGTGGAGCGAAGCAATGAAATTGAACAAGAAACCGGTTGTAGCCGCAATTGGATTACAGAGTGATAAGCTCCATATTGGACGTAATACGCTCGCAATACGCTGGACAGTTGTGGCATAGAATTATGGATCCTCAGCAGGGTTCCTTAGAGGCCACCGTTCTGAGCGTATTCAGAGCGTATTCAAATATTTGAGCCCCACGGGGCTTGGTCTGTTTTCAGTATCATCAGCTAAGAGCATCCCGATACAGATTCACATGGGAATAGCATGCCGAGACGACATCGATTGGACGTACCTTGTAGTGGACATTGCGTATGTTATACGCCCAACGTTTGTGTATTGCCCCTTAATATAAAGCGCTGGAGGACGTATCCAGCTTACCGAGAGATGACCGGCTGGTAATAAATATATCTACTTGTGTGGCTTTGTGACAAAGATAAATTATTTCCAAATCAAAATCAACATTAACTTTACTACTTCGATAACGCTGCGCTAAACAAAATTCATCTCCTCGCGTCGAGATACACCACCTTTTTGTCGCAGTCATGACAACATGCAAATACCATTCACTTTTCCATTATGCACCATCTATTGCCCTCGCTGCCTTTTACGCCTCTGCTTTCAGTATATCCGCAGTGTTACACCTCGGAGAAACGGTGTATTTCAAGACCTGGTCAATGATGCCGCTTGTGGTTGGTGCTTGGTGTATGTCTTGCTCTTCAGGTTAAATATTTTGCTGCTAACAGGTCTCCATCACAGTTGAAGCCATTGGATACATCATGCGATGCCTCTCTGCTAGCGAAGAATTTGGTTGCTGGAGCCTTCCGCCGTTCATAGTACACAGTGTCTTGGTATTAGTCGCACCAGCCGCTATTGCAGCCTCATTGTACATGCTCCTCGAGAAAATCATTCGTGTATCTGAGGGAGAGTCATACTCCATTATGTCTGCTAGGTGGATAACTCGAATTTTTGTGGCTGGAGATATAGTCTCATTCTTGGTTCAATCATATGGTTGGTTTGCACTGAAAAGCCCAGAAAGTTGGAGTTAACTTTTCTATAGGAGGCAGCATGATTACCAAGCCTGATGCAAGCAAATCGTCTCGAGAAACAGGGCAGCGTATTGTGCTGGTTGGTCTGATCGTCCAAATTGCATTTGGGGTGCTATTCGTCATCGTTTCCAGCGTTTTTCATTATCGATTACACAAAAACTTCAAGTCCGGCACATTCACCCAGGTTAATCGATGGCTTATAACTCTCTATAGCCTTGTGACCCTAATTACGATCCGAAACATTTTCCGCGTTATCGAGCACTCTGAGGGTAAAGATTCTGATTTAGTCAAACGAGAGTATTTTGTCTACTTGTTTGACGCCAGTCCGATGCTATTTGGACTGCTCTGGCTTAATTGGTTTCATCCATACAAAATGAACAAGAGCGCCCTCTGCGAATATGGTTACCACGGCTACCCCCTGTCTAGCGGTTTCCATAACTAGACTCTAGGATGCAAGCAAGGCAAATATTCGGCTCTCTCTATGGTTGTGCGAAGTTAGCTGCAAGGACGTTTGTGACGAACTAGGCACATAGCAATTAGGCTAGAAAAGTTGAAAAGAATGATTTGATTAGAATGAGGGTAACGTCGCACACCCACTTCTCGCACACCCCCACATTTCGCACACCCATAAATTGGGTCATCATGAGGTATTCATCAACTTCATAACTATAAGTCTGATTCGTCTCCTGCAACTGTGATACTATCGCCAGTTTTAATAGGTAATTCAGGCTCGCTAGATTCATCTGAGCTATCCTCAATTTCGCCAGCCTCAATTTGGGCTTTGTGAATTGCCTCAATGTTGGCAAACTTCGAATTTGGGCTCATTTGGACCTTACGCCGCTTCCGTACCATTCCAGCCTCAACTTCTGCTTCCAACATTGCAATCTTCTTCTCTGCTGTAGCCAATTGATAGTCCTTTTCATCAAATCCCTTTTGAACCTTCCGAAACAACAGTCGCTGCGTTTGCTGATCTTTATCCAACTTGCTGAATAAGCTAAGTTGATCATATAGATCAACTGTCTTCTTGGGCGTTGACCAGGCTACTATGGATGTAGCAGATGCCCAGTTTTCGTCTTTTCCACCATCAGAGGCCCTCATAGGCGTAGAATAGCCTGGCTTTGAGGGCTTGGAAGCATTCTCAAGCAGTAGAGGGCTCATGAGCGGTCGAGCTATCGAAATGGGCCATAGTCCTGTTGCTTTCCAGCCGCTTCTGATATTCTTGCTTGAAAATGCCATCTGGCGTGCTTTTCCATAGCAGGTAAGAAAGTTCCGTTTGCCTACAACTGTAGAATCGTTGTGTTGAATGAGGTATCCAAGCTCTTTTCGATAGGTCGCCTTGAGAGGCCCAAAGACTGCTTGGTCTAGAGGTTGGAGAACGTGGGATGTATGTGGCGGTAGGAAAAGGAGATATATCTTGTGTTTATAACAGAGATACATAAATTCTGTTGTTTCATGACTGCCATGACCGTCTAGGATCAATAGTCTCTGCTCAGAGGGATGATCAGGCTTAGTCAGAGGGATAAAGATGTTCTCAAGCCATTCCACAGCTGTAGAGTCTGAAGTCCAGCCATTCTCAGTTGCTGTGAACTTCCAACCACTGTAAATATCACGTTTATGGATATCAAGAGGAAACCATTGTTGTTGAACCGATTTCCCTCGATAAATAACAAGTGGAGGAAGCGCCTGACCAGTTGCAGAGACACACTCAAGCATAGTTGTCCAAGCCCGAGACCCAGGCTGTTTTTTTCGCATTGATGAGCTTTCTGATGATCCCAGTACTAAGCCATTTGATCCTCTGCCTTCTAGGATACCAGTTTCATCCATGTTATAGCGATGATGTGGTTTGATCGCCTTGATCTCTGGAAGGGCGAGTTGTTGAAACCATTGCCTGATTACATTAGTTGAGGCCCCATTGACACGCTTAGAATCGATGGCTCTAGCTCTATGAACCTTGATTGATGGATTTCTCTTAATAAAGAACTGAATCCAGTTTCTCCCAAGTGGCTGGGTAGTGCCTCTGATGTCTAGGATTCGCTGGGCAAATTCCTTGAGTTGTTGATGTGTTGGCGGCAGCCCTAACGCCGCCTGGATACGCACCCATTCAGCTAAGTGACTTTCCTGTGCTGGAGATAGCTTCTGGAAGCTAGAGAAAGCTACATTTCTTGCCTGTGAACCCTTTAATCGAGACTGGAGGGTTGATGGTGGAATTCCAGCATCATGAGCTGCCTTTCGGACACTCTGCCCACTTGCAACTGCATTGAGAGCTTGATTGACTTCTGTTTCCGTATACTGGCCCATTAAGCGTATAAGAGTAACTATTCAAAGAATTATAATAATCGCTGTAAAAGTGGTGAAGATATTAAAGAATGTTGAAGAGGGTAAAATTCTACATGAGCGATTTATGGGTGTGCGAAATGTGGGGGTGTGCGAGAAGTGGGTGTGCGACGTTATACTAGTATGTGTGAAAAAGCGCTTAACCATACTTGCAGCGAGCGAGGTATGTTTACGGGACCCATATGAAACGCACACCGTCGGCGTTTGTTTAGTGAGCGTTGACACTATCATCACAACATTTCTATTATTTATGATCATTGCTGTAATAACTGGTTGGGTGTTCGTTCAGTTGGTTGGATCCTGATGATTTACTGTCGGCATGGTTGTTACAGTGGGCCTACCCAACGCCAAGACGACTCAGCCACTTAGTGCCTTGGCATAGCAGAGACCTGTATCGGCTTTTTTTCTTTTTATCATTATGTGCTGGTCTGCATTTAATTTATTTTCACTTGAATTCTAACTTATGGTCAGTCACCACTATGCCGCAAAATGGAGGCAGCAGCGTTATGGGCAACAGAGGCATGCGCAGATCTCACCGAAAGTCTAGAGGCGGCTGCAGTTTCTGCAAGAGGCGAAGGATCAAGGTAAGTAAGCCGCTATTTTTTCTATGCGAGGCGCCAGGGCGACCAGCTTACGACATGCAAGTGCGATGAGAAGAAACCGAACTGTACCAACTGCATCAAAAGGTCATTGGTATGCAGCCTTGGAGAGACTTTTTCGCCCTCGTCCACACTTGGCAAACCTTGTCAGACCGACCATTTTGTCGCCCCACTTCGCGATTGTCCAGCGACAACGGGGGACGATTGCGGCCCCGGCTTCAACATGGACGTGCAAGACCTGAGCCTCTTCCACCATTACTGTTTCTATACTTCCACAACTTTTTCCCCCGACACGGTCACTCAGGGGTTCTGGAATGTCACTGTACCTCAGCTATCGTTCTCCTACCCGTTTCTTCTCCGAGCTATTCTTGCAATTGGGGGGTTGCACATGGATCGCGTTCAACAGAGCGCAGGAAGCCACAGCTGGCGCAAGACAAAAGCAACACATCATTGGAATGCGGCCATTCAACTCGCAACACCACATCTGATTGCCATTGACGACCAATCTTGCGATCCTCTGTTTGTGTTTACCATGCTTACCTGTTTGCACACATTCGCGGAGGGACCACAAGAAAATAACTACCTTCTCTTTACAAATGATACCAATTCACAATGGCCTATCTTCTTTCGCGGTCTAAGGTCTGTCGCTGATGCATCCATCCACCTGGGTATGCCCTCTTCAGACAGACCGCTTGCTTTTATGTACGGCATTGCAAAAATGAATCTAGATGAGCTGCCTCCAGAAGAACTGAATACATCTTGGAGCAGAGCGCTTGTGGATCTTCGTTGTGCAACGCTGGACAGCTTGAACACAGCAAGCGTTGACAGAATTGTGTATGTCGAAGCCCTTCATCGTCTCACAACATGCTTTTCGGCCGTATTTGGCGATGACGACATCAAGTGTCGCCCGATAAGTGCTCAAACTGCGTTTGCCTGGCTATATCACGTCTCGGAGGAGTTCATGCAACGTCTGCAAACCAAAGAGAACATTGCTCTGGCGTTCTTTGCCTTTTTCGTGGTACTGCTAAAACACATGGATGGTGTGTGGATGCTAGAAGGTTGGCCAGACCATTTAATGTCAGGCATTTATAATACCATGTCTCCCGTAACGAGGATCTGGATACGGTGGCCCATGCAACAAATAGAATGGCAACCTTTGGCTTGACTCGTCTTGATTCAGTCATATAAACCCTTACGATCAGTTAGTCAAATCGAAACTCATTTCAGCAATGGTCCTGTTTTTGACCGAAGCACGCCAACTTTTGGCATTCTCGTTATCTGTGGCCTATTTCTAGCCAGCATTCAACCCATTGTACTTCTATTACTGTTCTTTTGTTTCTAACGGTTACTTTCTCTTCTGTGATCAATGGTAGTTCTTGGTAGATGTCTACTTGGGCTAGCTAACCCACAGTCAACAATACTAGCTGGTATTAAAAGGTCTCTTTTCTTAAAACTATCTAGCTTGCCTATTAGCAAAACTGATTTATTTTCTAGGATACAAGCTACTTTCGCAACCGGCGAACACTTCAATACTCATCGCACTCGCCGAGTGAGGTGTTTTTTCATTAGATATCTGGAAAACATACAACACATAGGTATTAATATGTATATACCTACGCACATCCTCCCCCTAAGATTATGTTACTTTTTCACTCTTTTCTAGCCTAATTACTATGTGCCTAGTTCGTCACACCCAACTTAGCTCTCCAGCATGAAGGAAATAAAGTTCTATCGCAGGTGACATGGTTTACGTACTAGGAGAGCTCATTTCCTAGTCTGGTAGATTTGAAACATCACTTGTTTCACTACTCAAGCCACTATTTCGCCTGAGCTCAAGCACGGAGCAACTATTATCGCGGACTTTAAAAGGCCCAAGCATTCTGGAAATGATGATTCACAACTTCGTCTAATAACATCCAACAAACATTGTGGGTTTCAACCAAGCAAATTCCAGCAATATACCGCTAGAATGTCAACTGTTTTTCAGGTTACTGTTTATGTTGCGCCTAGAGATGTTTCTAGATTTCTGGAAGCAGCAGAGCCAACTATCGAGAAAATGAAGAAAGAGTCTCACCTTTTGTACTTCGAAATGTATCAGGTCCATGACTCACCAGGTACCATTACCTGGATCGAAAAATGGTATGTCACACACTGGTATCAAGCCATTCTAGACTTTTTGAACTGTTTCTAATAGTCAGTTAGGTCTGAGCCTCTAGACTGGATCATGAAGGTAAGTAAGATCATATGCCATGACTTAAACATCCAGCTAATGAAGTATCTAATCTTTTAGCATCAAATGACTAAGGACTATTATAATGATTATTTCGATGCAACGGAGCCTCTCTATGTTGCGCCGAGGGAACTCAAGATTCTTAGCTCACTGGGCCCTCGGTATACATACCAAAAATAGCGTTAGAACATTTATATAAGAGATTTAAGACTTATTTAAACTTATAGATTATTAGTAGAAGTGTAAGATGATAGACTAAATAGATTTGAGAACCATTCTAAAAAATTTATATTACCTAGGTTACTACCTTATTTAAAAAATTCAAGAGTCCTCTAAGCCTTAGTCTTAGTCTTTTATACTTTCCTAATAGTAGTCCATTAAGGTGATTTAAAGTCAGTTCTTATATCTAGCACTTGTAATAGATTTCTCTTATATACTTTTTAATAGAATACTTCTATTACCTATAGTTGAACAGGTACTGAGCCAAAGGCTATAATAAATACAGCCTTTCTTATTGAAAGTGGCTTTTAACTTTCTTAAGTTCATGGGTCTCTGCGGTCTGCGGTTAATATAGCGTTTCTTTTATCTCTTTTAGCTACACTAGATGAAATTTAACAAAAAGTACTCCACCTTCTGAGGAAGATCAAAACTCGTCTAGAGTTCAAACTTTTCATATGAATGTTATAATCTTGGCCGGGTTCCATCTTCAAAAGATTTAAGCTCAGGTAAGGCCGTTGCCCGTGCCACGGAGCCAATCTCCTTGGGATCACTGTTTTTAAGAGCCTCCTCTTTCTTCCAGCACCATGCTTTATCTTTTTCAGCTCCATTACTCCTTTCATTTAATACATTGCACATGTACTTGCCTGCAATAGGCAAAAATCTGTAGCCAGTGTAGTCAGTTTGAGGTGTGTCTCTAGAAAGGGCTGACGTAGGAGCTGTCGAGACATACTTGTAACTATTAAAGTTACCACCCACAGCCAGAAACAGATTTTGAAGTTCCGAATAGGGGTGTTTACAGAGAAGCCAGTCTCCTGTCGGGGTTTTGGCATCCCAACAAATACGCCAACGGTCCGGACTTCGACCCTTCTCAAGCAAGGGCACCATCATATCCAAGAGCTTCGTACCCTCTTTTTTCAGCTTTTCAGAGACGCCAAACTGTCCTTGGTCAGAAGGTACAGAAATTTGGCTTCCCGAAGGCATGGTAATTGTGTTGACAAACTCCGTCCGCAGATCGTTAATCTTCAAAATTCGGTTGTCGTGAGATGGTGGAGTAAGTATGCCCCACCCAGCATATGCTAAGACCGGCAAACCGACTTCGCACAAATGGTTTGTCTCTTCTGCCGAGAGCGTATAATAAGCTGACAGTCTCCCAACTGCCTTGACTTGATTCTCGATGCGATCCCGTTCTACCAACCCTAAGGCCTCCTCGACTGGGGACACAAGATTGCTCGTCCACGCACCTGCAGCTATTACAATTTTATCTGCCGTTAGTTTCTGTCCAGTAGTAGTCATGACTCCTGCCAACTTCCTGCTTTCAAAGTCGAATAATAGTTCCGTAACTTCACCCGTTATCATATTTACCCCCTTCGCCTCAGCCGCAGCCATGAAGTTTGCAGTTGCGGAAGCAGCATCACACCATCCGGCTTCTGGATTGAAATAGCCATTCCCCAGTAGGTTTGTATTCAACCCTTGCAGAAATCCAAATTGCTTTCCCAAGTCCTTACAGTCAACATCCTCAGTGTAATCGGAACCACGTAGCTGAAACGTCCTACGAACGCTCTTGGTGAAGTTGTTGTCCTTTTGATCAAGCACTATCCAACCGGTCTTATGAAAGAAGTGACCCAATTCCTTACTCCAAAACCAATCGTGAATGGCCTCATTGGCAAGATTGCAGTATAGTGGGCTAACGTAATCTGTTCGAATGATACGGTTGACATCTATGGCGGCTGCGCGATCTGTTGTGCTGGGGGATGAAATGCGACAGCGGCGGTCAATTACGGTTACACGACTAGGGTCTTCGTAGGTCTGAGCGAGATGGTAGGCTGTGGAAATACCGAACGTTCCGGCGCCGATGATAAGAACTGTAGGCTCGGCCATGATCTGAAATTTAAGAAGTTAGGTTGTGCTAGGAATTTTAGGTCTCCGAAACTATCAATAATAGCTTGTGTTTTTCTGCTTTTGATAAATTCACCTATACTGTCTTTGACAAGGCTCGAATAATATTTATAACTAGGCTATTTCGGAGGAGTGCGGTATTCGGCTTCTTCTGATGAAACATCACAACGAAATCCTTACGACGATCCCTCCATCACATTGGATGATGCTACACACAGCATTTAGACTTTCAATTACCCCGCATTTTACGCGGGGTTTGGAGCTGTCATCACGGAGGTGACGTTTCAACCAATCCTGCAGCAGGACTGTATAACTTCCTCCGATCTAAACGGACAACAAGATTTTTAGAAATCGACCGACTTTTTGACAAAGTTATAGATTCTTAGTAATTAAAGAGCTAGAGTTGCTTAACAATGCTCCCATTGTCTATCTTAGCGGAATTAGGTAAGAGAAGTATAAAACGGTTTAGTCTCGTCTATTGAAGCGGGATAGTGGAATTCAATGTGCTGGCCGGCAGCGGTTGCATACCAAACGCTACCACGCCTACATTTCACCTCAAGATCTCACTTGCTCTGATGAGAGCCGACAGAGGCCTTCTGATACTCTAAGAACCTAGGCTTCTGACTGTATGGCGCTTTCGCTCCTCCATTATCTAAGTACTTAATTAGAGGGTTACGTATTTAGTGGTGTCACTTTCGTCTTTGGAAACTCTTTGATTCTGATAGGTGAGAATCACTGGGAAAAGAATAATTGAACAGCGTTTCTTGACTGATAGTCTGCCATGTTAGTAAGATAGTCACTGATTATTACGACTTTTACAAAGAAAAAGAAAAAGTCATAGGCTTAAATCCGTCCCCTTGCGTCCTTGACTACAAACCCTGCTGATTAGGATCTCTATAGAGGCGTTTGCCTATCCTACGATGATATATGCTTCCAGAAGATTAGACGAAAACTGTTAGAAGTTTTTTATAGGTTATGTTGTTCCTCGATGTTTTTAAATCGTGAGGCCTCTCGCCTAGAATCTTGTAGTCTCGCCAGCTCTGAGAGCAGTCGATATATATAGATAGTCATATCAACCTCTCGAAAGGCCATCTTATACCATTCCCGCCCTTTATCTGCAATTACCTTAGCCCTTTCTCGACCTGTATTAGATAACGTAGGATATGCAATTAGTTCCAGAAGCTCTTCCAGCCTAAGCTTACTGGAATATCGTGAACCCATGGCATGAGACGGTTGTCATGCCACTCTCTGAGAATAGTCTGCTTTAGTGTTGACTTCGATGCTAAAAGTTTATAGAACCTCCCGCTAATTCCGTTCCCATCAGTATCAAACACCAAACGGGAGCTAAATGCTTCGTTATTGTTAGCCCAACTACGAACGGCGAAGTATGAGCGCTGGTCTCTGCACTGTGTTCTTTTACATTGAATAATTCTCGTAAAAGCGACATCGAAAAGTTTTGTGTTAGGAAAATATGATTTCACCCTCTCAATAAGTTAATCCACTGCGAGTCAGAAGCAAGTCCACCGGTCGTAGATACAGCCCAGTAAATGTTGTTTCGTTTCCTATCCCAGTCTATATCATGGTATTCATTACACAGAAACTCGTTTTCCATATATGCTGGACTCGGTAAGAGAATGTCGCTGATGTTGGAGGGTGCCCCAGTTGAAAGAATCAGAACCAGGCCTTCGATGAGTCTGAGGAGTTGGGGCCCGACCACCAGTCCATGTAGGTCAATGCTCGAAAGGTGTTGACAAACATCGTTTTCAAGTTGTGGATCGGTGACAAACGGCAGACCATAGGTATCCAGAGGCTGAGGTCTAGGTCTTGTGACTTTGGCGTCTACAGAATGACCTTTGCAGTGTTGTAAGTCTTTCTGCCGAGCGTCGCGGCCTGAAAATTTTCCAAAATGACTTGACCGGTACCGTATGAGTGCTTGCCTCCATCCTTGGCCACTAATGGGGGTAACAATACTCGAGGCTCGTCAAGATGATTGATAACAAATTTGATATCCGGTAGAGTATCCAACCGGACAGTTTTCATCAATTTGTTTAATAATAGCTGAATATGTCTGTTATAAGTCCGATTTGGATGGTGACAGCGGGTTTCTGTGTGTTTCCCGGAAAATGTACAACTCCAGAGCTCATTGTCCCCGGAGCTTCATACACCTCCTGCATGACTTTGAGAAACTCCTCGCCACTCATGCTCCAGAACGGTGAGATAGACTCGTAAATCGTTCAAACTCATCAATAATAAGCGAATTGTGAGCCACTGCATACTCGTACCACGCCTCAAACCCAGGTGGAGGTGTTTTGCCATAGCGAATTTGGTATTCGGTACGGGCTTCTGTGTAATTCTTTGACTGATGTTACTGCATTCTCTTGAATTTCTCTTCGGCGAGCTTGCTGATTATTTCGGCGGGATGTAGTGAAGGGTGACTATCAAAGCTGCGTGCTGCAGAGTCGATAGCTAGTACGGGTAGTTTTGCCATGACGTATTGACCAATTGGGATAAGCCCCAAAGCCCACAGTGTTCGACCAGCCTTTATCCGCCGAGAGACTGTGTTCACACAATGGGCAATGGTAATGAGACAGACGACAACATGTGAGACAGCTTGGAAATCTGAGGGCTGCATGTGTGGCCTAGCGGATGAGCCTATGCTAAAGACATCGATTGTAGGAGCAATGGTCCAAGAGATAATCTGGGATGTCTGAATAACAAAGTGCCATGACAAGGCTTTACACAAACCTAGTCTTATAGAATGAAGAACACCACCCTTCGGCATTCCAAACACTAAGCACTCAAGGAAAAGTGAATCTACCAAAAGAACAACTATTCTGCTAGCTAGAGGATTGATAGGAATATTACTAGCCGAGAGAATGTGCTTTTGGCTGTGTTTGCTGCCGTGCAAAAAAGTCGTGTAAACGATGCCGAGAGCACAAAGCAGAATGCCAGCTAGCACAAACGGGCGTATATCCCAGTTTGTGAAGGTCAAGGTGGAAAACAACGCAAACAAAGTGGTTCCCCAGAATGTTTCGAAGATAAAGTGCCATATTGTCGAATAACATGATCGAACAATTCTAAGTGAATCGGGTTCCAATCGTGCCGTAATGTGTTTCTGAAAGATGTTGTACCAATGGCATTTACGCTGGCTGGAGGATCGTTTAGAATTAGTAAAAGTTATAGTTAATCACTAGAGAGCCTTGTACTGATATCAAGCACTACTTACCAATAAGGCGATTGCAGCTTTGCTTTCAGCTCTGTAGAGGCTACTGGTCGTAATAGCAACAGCAATAAACCATAAAGATTTGGAAGACGTGGAACAGGATGTACTAATTGTATTGTTTCCTGGGAAAAGCGATTTTGATTCGCTGCTAATCATTTTCTGCAAGCAGTTCGCTCCTTGAGAAAGAACTGGCAGAGCAGACCAACACAGAAGCTCGGAGTACAGCTCGGAGTCGTTCGAAGCGTAATATTGTTTTAGAAAACTAGAGAAGACGGCCAAAACTACCTTGAATGATAGAGTTAGAGTGGAATCAACTGATTTTCGTTTCCACATTGTGATTTGCAAGCGGTTGATAAGCTAGATCAAGCTAGATATTTCTACACAGTGTGTAAGGGCGGTAAGGATAGAGCTGGATCAGAGAAGAATTTAAGTGGCAATCCTTCTGGCTGAGTGAATAATAGTCTGTGTGCTTTGATGTCTGCTAATCAAAGAAACTCTGAAAGGGCGAGTTCAGAAAAACAACAAAAATAGTAATGTCCTTTGCAGAAGCCGGAGCATCTCGTCTTCATTAGTGGTTTCCATCGAGTCCCTTGGGTCAAAGTAGACCTGGTTAAAAGGAAGCTAATTTGTACCAAAACGCGGAAGATCTGTTCAAATTTGGATTGAAGAAAATCAATTCTGCCTTAAACGAATACGAGTGGCTGCATGAGTAGTGCCTATCTATGTTTTAATCCTTACACAGATTCTTCGGCCTTTACACGGCTGCCTTCTGAGAACGGGGATCAGGGCGCCAGGGACTCCGATGCTCCAGGGCCATAATAACAATTATACCACTACAAGAGAGCATGCATCACCACAACGGCAGAGCAAGTCAACAATAAGTTCCTCATAATAAATCGTTTTGAGGTAGTTGACCGACATCTGCCCTAACGCTTCCTCGTTGAGAAGCGGTTAAAAGGAGATGACGAAGAGCACATTGATGGCTAAGTGAACAGCGTTATAAATACTTCGCTATCTAAGCAGGTAAATCCGCGACGGAAAACTGGAACCGTACAAAGCAGACCTGGTGTAGAGTGATTATCAGTCCTGCTTTGGGCAGCATGCGAAAAACCCGAAGGCCTCGCTAAGTGCTACGCCACATTTAACGTTTGTTATAACTGTGGATTTACGCACGATTACGCGTATACCTCTCTTTTTTATGCATATCTATTCCCTGTGCCCTGTTGACTAATGGGCCTAACATATATGAAGTGTTCTACGTGCTTCAGTATGCCGGTTTAAATAGATTTAAAGAACATTAATTAGTAATAAACTTAACAATATATGTGGCATGCTTTTTAAGTAATTTGTGATAATAATCGTTTCGGCATCTTAATGTAGGTTTTTTATTTCCTAGTCAGTGTTTTGAAAAATTCTCTTCGTTTCCGATTGCCGCTGTCTACCGTTAACTGTGTGTACTTAGCCAGGCATATAGGGCAGGCACTCACTTTCAACAAATGTTATTTAAGGCCATTTCTACAATAGCCAAAGTTGCTAGATTTGGAAATGAGCGTCGCTGAAGAAGTATAGACGGCGATAACGCTGATTTAACCATCTCTGTTACTAACGTTAAAAAGTTAATGAAAACTGGGTGCAATGCATCCCCACCTATTTCGAAGGACTTGATAGGATCGTAGTCTTCTAATTAATATTGCAGTCTGCTAAAGACTTGGGTTAATGTTATGGTCTGGCTCAACTCAAGCTATTCCATATTTTGAGCTTCCTCTATTCGATCTCAGGCGGGGGGCAGTTAGCCAAGACTCGGACTACAAACCTAATTAGTAGATTAATACTTGCGTTCTTTGGTACTATTGAGTAATAATAAGTAGTTGCTTGAGATTATTGAGGCGTGCCGCGCATAGTGTTTAGTACTATAAGAGATACTCGCGACTACAAGTATGATAGCTAACACTACTATTTTTTTATCTCGTAACCATCCGGGGAATTTTGTTTGCAGAAACGGATTATAAGAAATAAACTTCATGAATTGACTATATTTTTTACTTATAGAAAATTTGCTCAAGCGGCTTCATTAGATCGGCCATTCTTCGTGGCAAACCCCCCGGTGGCAGCTCTTATGTCTTCAGAGCCTTGTGTTCCTCCTCTACCACCAGGCTTGCCGACAGCCGATTGGGGGATGGCATTGCCAGTTCCAGTAATTCCTTCACCAAGCCCCGTAGGTCTGCCTTCATCGGCAGCAAGAGAGGAGTTATCTGCAGCTTCATGCAGTGTTGTAGCTCCGAATCCACCACCCGCTTCTCCATCTCTTTGGTGTATGTTGGGAACAGACTTGATGACGTTTTGCTTTCCGGCATCGCCAGGAACTATTTTCTTTTGTTTTAATTATAGGTACTCGGGATTGGAAGTAGACTTGCTTACTTTTCGTGCCATCTTTGGCCATGTCAAAAATGTCCCCACCTTTTCTAGCATCGGCCATTTTGGAAACAATTATGTGTTGGAATTTTATGTAGGTTTCTTAATTTACCCAATTTTCGTATTTCCGTGGATTTGCTGGTACAACGAAAAAGAAATTTATAGATGGAATGAGACTAAGATTCTCAAAAGCGGACTGCATCTTCGTTTTAACGGAATAAAACAATGGATATTGACTGGCCGGGTGGTTGATGTCATGATGCCATCACATATTATTCACCAATGCGTACGACAAGTTCAACCTGACGTCAGGTTAGTTGACGTAATCATTATTCTCATCAAAACTCATACACACATCATTGTGAGTACAGACTTGAATAGACATTGAAATCAAACAGAATGTAAAGAAAAGGAAGTTCTACAGGCAAAGACTAAATAGCCTCATGAGAGCACTAATAAATGTTTATCTATCGCTTGAGGTATGGCAACAGATTCATATGTAATACATGTTTTCTACTCTACTTTGGCTTCGCTTTTAAATTGGTTTTAACATTATCCATGACACAAAAGTCGCTGGTCTTAGCTCCTTAGATAAGATCCGTATTTAGTATACCCAAAGAATACGAGACATCGGTTTCCATTGCCAGTTGTACAGGGCGTCTATGAATTCTTCGACGATAAGGGCATTCTACTATGGACTGGAGCGGGAGTCACAGAACGTTGAGGTTTAGTAGGGCTAAGCCTATAAGTAAAAGGCATTAAGTTACAAGGTAATAAGTAGTCTTATTATAATACAGCGCAGGCGAGACATTATTTACAAGGGCTTGCAGTTGACTTACAAGCATGTTAAATCAATATCATACATCTGAATTACATCGTGACAAGCATTATACACGTTTTGATATGACGACATTTCGTTGATACCACGCCTGTGGCTACCCGCAAAAAGATTTACACTCTTTGCTGCAGTTTAATCCTCCGTTTCGGTCTGCTTGACGCCCGTGTTGGTCAAAACAGGTTGGTCGCGATCCAGGTCATACATCTTGTCTTCCTCATCATCGTAATGGCGGAAGGTGAAGTAGAATACGAACCCAACCACAAATGCGGAGCATGCCACTCCTGTATACATCCATAGAAACTTTGGGTCCACTGCCACAGATACCAAGGCCTCGGAGATAGCAGATCCAAAGGCATTGGTGAAGAGGTATATACTCTGAACAAACGATTTCATACTCGGAGGGGCCTTGGTGTAGGCGTATTCAAGGCCCGTGACCGAGATGAAAATCTCGGAGAGTCCAATAAAGATGTAGGCAGGAGTTTGAACTGCGATGTGGACATTATTGGGCAGAGATGCTCCATCCCGCATGCCTTCAGGACAGTTGCCAGGCGACTCATAGCAGGGACCGGCTTTGTAGATAAGGTGTTGTACTATAGCCGCATACGCAAGGCAAAGGGCGCCAAGCCAAAATCCAATGGTAATGCGCATAATCGGCTTAAGTTCAATGCCAGCCTTACGCAGCAAGGGGTAAACAATCTTTTCGAGGATGGGAGTAAAGACGAGAATGGAGATGGGATCGAAGTTTTGCATGAAGTCATTGGGCATGCCATGACCATCCATCTGGCCAGCCTGAGTGACGAAGTTGGTCGAGAATTGCCCGTAGCAGACCCAGAAGATTGGATCTAGAGGTACAGTTAGTAAAATGCTTTGAGACGGCGGGCGCATTGTAACTTACAGAAAACGAACACTTTGCAGGCCCTAAGAGCTCTCTTAAGCTCCTCAACAAAGTGGTCGTTCCAAGGAACGGGCTTCTCCTTTCCATTAGCCGCTCGCCATGAGGGCTTGGCGGCATCCATATTGCGGGATGCAATCATCATTCCCAAAGCCTTGAACGCATCTGTGATAACAGACCCCTGGGGTGGGCGGTTGACAAACGTCTTACGGCGTAATACCAACGTAGCAATGCCTACATTGAAGACACAGAAGCACATTAGGTAAGCAGTCCAAAACCCTTTGTACTTCTCCATGAACGGCGTTGCCATCAACGAGAGGGATCCGAGGTTGATGCACCAATAGAAGATCATGTAGATGCGCTGGTATGTGATGGCAGGGTCAATGACAACACGCTCCCCATTCTCCTCAGTTTTGACAGCCATAACGCGGCGTTGGTACTGATCCGCAATCAATGGGGCAATGTTGGACTTAATTCCTCCAGTGCCGAGGCCAATGATGATAATCGCAACAATGTAGCCGGGCTTGCCAGCACCGTGCTCCATGGCAACTGGGAGTGAGGTGGTCCAAAGAACAATAAGGCCGACCCAGTAAAAAACACAAAACACAAGAATGGTCTTGTATTTGCCGAGATACTGGTCAGCAATGATGGCTCCAAGAATAGGCGTGACTAAGAAGGCAAATGTTAGTATTTGCAACCGAGACTCATGGATTCAATTTTTGGTTTACATAATAGAAGATTGTTTACATACCGTAGCAGAACCACTGGAAGAAGAGATTTAGGCCTGTTGCAGCTTGGTGACCCATTCCAAGGCCCTTGGGGCCATCAAGACCATTAACATCGTTGCTGATGTAGTTCTGGAACAGACCCTGGGCGCCGTAGTAGGTGAATCGCTCCGTAAGCTCAACAACCGCAATGAGAAAGGCGGAAGCAGGAAGATTTTCTCCGACGCGACGCAGGGTGCTCTTTTCGTACTCATTGGGCTCAGCTCCGTCAGGTGTAGGACCAGACTCAGCGTCTGCCTTGTCTGACAGTGGTTGTTTCTTCTCAAGGTCGTGTGGCACGCGCTCATTGAACGTCTCGTGGAGCCTACAGATACGAAGTGTCAGTGACCTGTTCTCCAAAAGCCGACGATATGCGTCCTGTTACGTACTCGGCCACCGTATCCTCGTGGTTCTGGGCCATGTTTACGCAATTTGAAGTCAAGACCCGACGCGTGAGCTGAACCAAGATTGAAAGGGAGGAAAGAAGAAGAAATTTTCAAGAAATGGTCAAACGGTACCAGTGGGGAGCATGGAGCCTCCATTAGTATCGACACTAATCACTAATAATGCCCTTACCCTCGGTCGACTCCGACATGTTGGAGGCGATATACGAGTTCCACTTCAAAAGTTCTGTCCGGCTAAGTTGCTCGCCCCAGGAACTTTTGCGAGGGTACGCCACAATCCGAACACTTGAGCAGGTGTTGTACTCCACTCGGCCGAGTGAACCGATCTTTTTCAGTGGTAAATAACGGAGTCATCGGATGATGCGCGAGAACTTTAGTGGGGTGCTTGGCAAAAGGACCGAAAGGGTGGCGCCAAGCGAGGTTAAGGGAAATAAGGCGGACATATTCGCACACACAATCTTTTAATTGGCCTTGATGTGCGTTCGACTTAGTCAACGCGCTTTGGTGCCGAGGCCGACGGGACAAAGATGCTGAATCCGGGGTTTGGAGCTTGTCTGTCAGTTACTCCGCAAAGACCGCGACATACATATGGAATAGGGTAATGTAGACCAGTGGGTTTCTTGCAGAAGCGATGGAGGCTAATACTACTTTTGATGCACCCCAAGGTGATAATCGAGTTAATGGGTGCGACTTTCCTCTTCTAGCATAACTTGTAATAACAATCCGTGTTCCGAAACTAAGGGGCCAAGTATTTGTCGGGCCGCTAGCCTCCGTTAGGTGTGAGTATTACCAGACACCATAACGTCATGTCTTGCTAAGGGAAATATTCTCACGGAACCTAGCAAAGAAATACGGACGACAAAGCTTCAGACGCCTCAGATAGTGTAACTCCTTTGTCGCCCATAGGGTCTTTCTTTTATTCCACGGTGGGCTCGAACCTGCACGCCCTAGGAAAATAGAATCTTTACTAAGGTGTTGGATGTAAATTTATTGCATCCACTTGTGAATTGGATGACTTAGTCTTCGCATGAAACCCGGAAATTCGGCTATTTGTGTGCGGTGGGCCTTCCATTCTTTGTAATGTCTTACTTGCCACCTTGCTCGGAGGTATCTACTACTGGCCTTTGCAATTGAGTCAATAACTCCGAAAAAATATTTACTTATCGATCCTGACTCAGAGAATGAAGCGATTGCGAATAATGAAATCGCAGCGACATAGGGAAGATGTTGAACGTTGTTCATTTTCATCAAGTCTTCTTAGACATTCTGCTAACGTAAATTGGTCTGTGTATGACCTTAGGAGACACAAAGGCTCCTAGTAAAATACGTTTCTACTCAGGGCATTAGTATGTCTTTTATGCAATGCTAGCAAGGAAAACCACAATTTCGAAGCGAAAACTCAGTAATAGCAATTTAGAGAAGCCTTGAAACAAGCTTGTTGTGCAGGACAAGCCTACTTTAAACTATGGATCGACCTCTTCATGCGGATGAACTGCGTGCGGGGCACATGAGCTTCGGCACGTATCGGCCACCACGAGGACCCTACCTCGACAGAGTTTTGTGAAGTGGTTAATTTGAATCGAGAAAAGATCCGAGAACGGCCCAGGGTCCAAACAATGAAGTAGATGGATCGTCCATATTTGGACATTTATAGTTCCTTACATTCAGGGAATGGTTTTAAGATTATCCACAACTGGTGGCCCTAAAACTTTGTGGCGGAACCTTGTTTCTGACAGCTTTGCTAGAACCTACCTGCACACTACCAAAGCCAAAAGGATTTTTTATTTTAGTCATTATTATTATTTCATTTGTCAACTTCCGCCTTGGCACACAAGGGCTCTAAGGCAAAAGCGCCGTGGCACCAGAGATTATAGTCTGTAATACATTTCAATGTCGGAAAGTGTTCTGTTGTAACTAAGGTATGTAGCAGAATATTACACTATTGTATCCCATCGATTGCGGCGTGACTGCAGTGTATTGTCATAGTAAACAACAGCCACTTCCGGCAAGCTTAAACCCTCATTGTCTAACTAAATAGTCTCGGTAATTAGCAATTCGATTTTCCAAAATTTCTAGTCAATTTAATGGTACTAGTTTTTACAGAGATGTTGTCGGCGTACTATTTTGCATAGTAACCCATTGACTGCTGTCTGGCAGCAGGTACATGCCCATGAAGGGGACTAGCTAGTCAAAGACCAGCGATGACTTTTTATAGCTAATCAAATAATCCTAAAGGAGGGTACTTCCGTTATCTATATATTCCGACTACGACAGAGGTACCTACAACCTTGCAGAGTTACAAGAGTGCAGCAGGAGAACGTAGAGGGCACTGCATAACGTTATGTATCCCTTTCATACGAAGAAAAGAACTGGGTACAAATTTGGGACCTATGTGTCTGTTGCCAGACAGCAGTCAATGGGATAGTGGCAAAAAAAAAAAAAAAAAAAAAAAAAAAAGCGATTGTGATGTATTATCTTGAATCTCTATTGTAAAGGGAAAAATAGGAAACCAAGGCGGGTTTGACGTACTATAGTCAGACAGCACTCGATGGGATATTGTCATGCAATGTGTTATAAGTAAAGTACTTATTACGAACTCATAAGATCAAGCTTATGGAAGTTCTATGTAGTGGTGAATTTGTAAAACTGAGTTACTGCAAGTCATAAAGAGCCCTCGATCTAGAGGTAATCAGCAAAGTTTAAGTATCCGAGTAGAGATTCGATAATGCTTGAATGATGATGATACTAAGCATGCATTAATCATTTAGCCTTGGCTGTTCAACCCGATTTTAACTTCTCTGTCTCCAAATGCCACGTAACAGAAGGCACGGCCCAAGCCATTTTGAGATCTTAGTTTTTTCAAATAGCTAGTAAACAAGATAAAGCATTTTATACGAGGAGTTACAATTTCTATGTCCCATTGGCTTGTAACTCTACAAGCTACGAGCCACTCTCCTACACTCGATGGCAAGGCCCTCCTACAAAGATGACATCTAATAAATGCCTTGCTGGGTTCTTAATCAAATGGATGGAACGAACTATGGACATAGCGACCAGGCGGAAAATAGTATGAGCAAGTGACTTGATTTAAGAGAGAGAACATGTGTAGAAGCACGCATGTAAAGATATCAACCATTTGCACCTTGGAGAGATCAGATGGACATAGTAGGCTTAAAATATTCAGAGAGCATCAACATTGTCCTCACAGTTGGGTAAATGAAAATTCATGGCGGGAATTAAGTGGAAGAAACTTAGACTTCGCTAATCTTAGTGGCCCAACGTCTTTAATGCAAGCTTTTGTTTGAATAAGTTTAGCATTTAATCCGCATGAGTATTATTAACATAATCCAGGGATCCGCACTGAGTTGATAGCTATGTGAACATCTCTTTATATCTATGGTTCGCTAGGATAATATTGATATGTATAGCTATGTAGAATGGCATCACACGAACCTTGTCTCGTAAAGAACCATGGAAACATATAACAGCTAATATACATAGTAACTTTATTATGATGCATAGAGTATTTAGAGTTTATCATCGTTTGGGCTAGATATATTCCTCAACCTGGGGTGCGTATTGGCTCCCAGGACCTGTCCACCACGCCATGCAGAACAAGTCTTAGTTAGGGCCAATTGAGAAACTCAAGATGCAGGGTACATTCGTTCACATTCATGAAGGCTAAAATTGATTTCAACACTTTGATGGTTGTGGTAATTTGCTCTAATCGCCCACGCTTGAAACAAGAGAGAATATATTCACTCCAAACACCGCCATGCTATGCAATATCTCATCATGTCGCTTATCGGACGAAAGCTCCTCCTCCATTTGCGCCTACCAAGTTACCAGTCATCCATCCACTTTCGGGCAGGCACACAACACCGACAATTCCTGCCACCTCTTCAAGATATCCGGGACGACCACCAATGCTTTTGGCTAGTTCAAGGACCTCCTGACTGTCAACGCCAGGCCTAGCCTTTGCAAGTGGCGTAAGGATGTTAAGGGGCCGAAGAGCCTCACGAGGCTCGTCAGGTAGGCCAGAGTAAAGTCCGGTATCCATTGGTCCAGGAGCAACGGCATTGACCGTGGCTCTTTCTGCGAGCTCGCGCGCCCACACCCGGGTCATTGCTTCAATAGCACCCTTTGTGCCAGCATAGGATGTCTGCCACCAGACACCCCAAGTAGTAGTGGCACTAGAGATGTTGACAATACGACCAGAGCGGTCTGTAGGCAGGTAGGGAAAAGCTGCCTTAATGAGAAGAGCGGGAGCTCTGCAGTTCAGGTCAAAAGTCTCTTGGAAGAGATTGATGTCAAGCTGGTCAATGCCTTGGGCATTGACTGTAGCGGCGTTGTTAACGATTATGTCGATCTGGAAACGGCCAGACGCATCAGTGAAGTATGACTTTGCAGCGTCGACAACCTGCTGAGGAGCTTCAGGTTTGCTCAGGTCCGCTTGAACAGGGAGTGCCTTGACGTTGTATTGTTCCTCAAACTTCTTGGCTAGCGCTTGAGCCTTTGGCGTTGAACCCTCGGTAGCATAGTTGATGACAACATTGGCACCTCTGCTAGCGAAATGCTCGGCGACCACAGCCCCAAAACCTTTAATCGGTTAGTCAATCATTCTCACGCTACGGTCAAGTGAATTATTGCAGGCCAGGTTAGAAGAAACTCAATTTTATCCAATACGTACTGCGTGATGCGCCGGTAATAATGGCAAGCTTGCCCTCGAAAACCCTGAATGGAGGAGTCATTTTCTTGCGATGGTAATTCTGATCGATGATTAACACAATAGCGTGGGGAACGCCTCCTCAACCCCACGTGATAAACAACTCTTTTTATATTCTGTTCCTCAACCGGTGCCTCTAATGCCGTGTCTTTCTATCTTCGTAGTACGCAGGCTCAGAGCAAGGGGACCGCTTAGAAGTGGGTTCCGTAAAACAGTCTAGACAAGGATTAAAGCAGGATCAACAACTCTTAGTCTCCACGCAGCCACGTCAATTACCAAAACACTCTGCCGATCTCAATATGCGTAAACCAATCGTGAAACGTCGTAACCCTTGAATGCATCAGTACCTCAGTATTCTAAACACGGCTCTGCTTGAAAATCCCTCGTTGATAAAGTTAGGAGACATACAACGTTTCCTTCAATATTTCGTAAGGAGTGATTGTGGATTTATGATCAGGTAGCCATGAAGCACCATAGTGCGAACATTCTTGTATCCATGAACACAAAGGGTTGTGTGTAATGTCCTATTAAGTATTATGAGTGTTCTAACTTCTGCATATAGATTGCGGGGTATCAATCAACCAGATATCAACAATGCGACTTTTTCTCAATCGTGAGTATAGTTTTTCCAGTATCTGGAGAGTATGGGCCTTACTACTAAGCTCGGTTAGCTTGTACGGTAGCCTAACGGCACTCATCGATGGAATAGGGGAAGGTGTGGATTTGCATATGGAGTTAAAGTCGCGGCTAACCAAATGCCGTTACATGATTGAAGGCCGGCTCCACCATTAGGGGCTGTGCCAAGGCGCTACCTAGGATGACACCGCCGGAAGCCGTTGAAGAATGTCTCCCGTTCTCGGAAAGACTCTGCCACATCAAGTATTGATCTTCTTAGATGGGGTCCAAAGGTTTCGAGACAGTGGAATGAGTGCTACACTAGACGGCTGATTTGAATTACCGTTCCCACACGAACCCGATCTTGCGTAGTATTAAGAGTAACGCTAGTATCAGAAACATTGTCTCAATAGCAATAAGCTCACATAGACGGAGGTGTCCCAAAGAATACGGACGTAGTCACTCTAACAAACACAACACACACGACATTCTTTCTTAGTAGAAAAAGAATATTTCTGTTTTTAAAGCTATGAACTTAGCAGATACCAATACACGAAGTGCGTGGGCAGATTCGATGCCTGTCTGGTTCGAATGGAAGACGGCTTAAACCATATAAGGAAATGCTTGACGAGGATATTACTAACCGGCGTGAGTTCAGCAATTAATAAAAGGAGCCCACGCGAGATGCCGTACTTACTGGAGAGTTTGTGCAATACAAGGGGCTTGCAAGCTGTTCCATGCTCGCTTTCTTCGAGGCCTTGCCACAGTGCCACACAGTAACGATTCTGGGGCTGGCTGGGGTTGGTGGATACTCTGCGCAGGCTCTGTTGAAAAAGGATCTGTGTCTCCATTAAGTGATTAAAGAGGTCGTTCTGGCGTTGGCTTTCTCCTTGCTTATACCCTTTCTGGATTTTTTTGGATGCGTATGCTTTAGTTTTGTGGTTCTTTCCTTACCCTTCCTTTCTTCGACAACGCGTGGAGCACAAAGAGTGCTCTTCAGTCACAGCAAGCCCATCAAGACAAAATGGGCGCGGCAACGTCGAAAGATATGGCGGCAGCCGTGCTAGTGCCGCTTCCATTTAATATCATAACGATGGCACTTCGATTCTGGATCCGGACGCAGAGAAAGGCATGGGGACCGGATGACTGGGCCATGACGGCGACGATTGTAAGACTTTCTTAAGCTTCGCAAAAAGTTCGACTAACAAGAAAAAAGCCTGTATGGGTAGTGTCCCAAGTCGGATTGATCGGTATGGCATGGAGCGGCGTTGGGCAGCTTGATGTGACTTTAACGGAGCAGCAAAGGGCTGACTCATACTTCGTAAGTGTTGAAGAAAGGCTGTAAACTGACATCAGCTACTGACTGGTTCTGCAGTGGTTCTATGTTTTCCAAGAGTTCTGGTGCTTTACTTTAGTGGCTCTTAAATGGTCACTCGGATTTACACTCCTACGCATTGCCAATGGACAACGCTGGGTGCAGGTAGTTATATACACTTGCCTCGCCTTGGTCACAGTTTGCACTGGAGGTACGGGCATGTATTTGTTCTTTCAATGCTCTCCAGTTGAGTAAGTACTCTATATTTGGTTCGCTTATCTTCTGTATGCTCACCGCAATAGGAAAAACTGGCATCAAAGCATCGAGGGCACCTGCCAACCCCGCGAAATTCAGACTGCGCTTTCGTTCCTTGTTGCGGCTGTGTCGATCTCGACCGACTGGATTTTTGCTGTTCTTCCATTTGCCCTGATATGGAAACTCCAGATGGCCAACCGTGTCAAAGCCTCGGTTATTGGTCTGCTTGGGTTAGGTTTCTTGTATGACCATGTCTGTCCCATCTCTATCCTTGCAACCGCTAATGAATCCCAGTGCATCGATTGCGCCCATTGTTCGTCTTAAATATCTCCTTCTTATGAATGATACCTCGAAATTCCTTCAAGCCCTGGGAATCATTCTTGCCTGGGCACAAGCAGAAGTTGGCATCGGAATGTTAGTAGCCAATCTCCCAGCTTGCCGTCCACTTCTCGAGCGAGCCCTCTCACGCCTCACATCCTTCACCGGTTCGAAAAACAAATCCTCAAAAGACCCTGCCACATCGGCTGCTGTTAAAAACAGCTATCTAGAACTCGGCGAAAGGGACACAGCATCGAAGAAGACCGCCAATGCAAGTCGCTCTGGTGTTGAAACAAGGGTATACGGAAGAGATATGGATGGCAATAGCAGTGAGAGTTTGCCTGACGACCATAGCCAAAAGCAAATTGTGAGCAAGGGTGGTCTCGGTGCAATTCGCGTTCAGCGGGAGTTTGGAATGGAGGTTGAGAAGAACCGTGGTGGTAACATAGTGTAAGGATCTACAGGCCTGTTCATGACGCCGTTGACGGCAGATTGTATAATTGCGATTCAGTAATACATGATACTCTTCGACTGAGTTGAAAATTCTTTTCAAGCTTGTAAGTCGATGTTTTCGAGTAGAAACACCAGGGTGCTTTAGATTGTGGAGCGATTTTTTTTTGGATATCGCCAAGAGTTCTGTGTTAATCTTAGCGTTGATTGAATTAATGACCACAATATAGCCAACGATGCGAATTTGATTTTAATCTTGCGAAAGTATAACTTTTACCTCACAATGTTAGTCTTATACTTTTTTTTCCATACGTACCAACCATGAAGCATTGCGAATGAGCCTCTTGCTCCACAAATTAGTAATATTACCTCTTGTTGAAAAGGCTAGTATATCAAGTAAAGGTAGACATCTAACCAATCGTTGAGTTTAGATTGAATGTTCAAGTTTCCCTCCATTTGACATCGAGAAAATGTAGGATAGCTCACAGTTACCTTCCCCAGTCTCCCGTTAACAAAAGGATCGGAAAATATAAGACAAGAGCCGAAAATTGGGTTGACTCCGATGGGCATTTGGTAATGACGAGAGAAAACACGGATTTGACTTGAGACTCCTATACTAAACACTTGAATAGTCAGCTTTCTGCCAGTGGGACGACATTCATGCACTCCAACCGTGACATGATCCTAGATTGCTAGTGTACGGGGCTAGGAAACATGGACCGCCGAAAAAACTGGAAACGTGTTCAGTATCTAGGTATCCACCATCCACACATGTATCCTCCAGGGTGATCAGCTTGCCAACTCCTTAACTACGTGTCACAATTCGCTAATGTCACATACGCCTGACAGGCAGAATGAGGAATTGATTGATCCAAACTGCGTGGGGATCAATTGATAAAAGCAAGTACAACGTGTACCCACCTACTTCTTGAGCCATCTGAGGACTATTTATCCACTAGCATAACTTAACTATGGGCAATCCCACACGCTTCTAGAGCCTTCGGTACCTTAGTACACGCACTAGGGAGGTGCAGGGATAATGGCCAACTCCCAATGGAAGAGCTGAAGTAAAGTAACGGGACAGCTCAGGATCGGGGTTTTATTTCGCAGTCGATACCCTGCCACTAGGATCGTAAGAAATTGATTGACCATTTGTTAGATCGGAACTTGAGCTTGAGTCCCAATACCTTGCTCCTCTACAACATCAACAGGATGATTCACCTTGAAAAGACTTGCAGCCTACCCTCAATATCATCGTAAACCGTTTATGTCGTTTCATGTAGTAAGATTGGTCACTTTCTCGATACAGTCGATCTGCCAGTCCGCTGTATAAGTGAGCATTCTTTCCCGACATGGTCTTGCAGCCTCAGCTCATGTTAGCGGAACCCTATTGTCACGAGCAAGCTAAAACAGGTCTAATGATTAGGCACATCGAATCTGAAGCATGTAGGCTGTAGTGGTAAGTAAGTTGGGTGAGGGATCTGTACTTAAACATGTAGTTCTAGGTATTTGTGCAACGAAGCACATTGATCTGTAGGCAAAAATAAACGCCGAGAGTAGTGATATGTTGTGTATAGAACTTACTAGCTAAACTAGTGGACTGTGGAGGCTGGAAAAGACCTACGGTCGAGTGCTAACAAAGCTGGCAGGTGGTTGGACAACAAAACAAAGCACTATATAAATGCTTAGAATAATATATACTTGTGATACGAAAATTTTCTTGAAAGCAAGCGTTGATGAGTTGTATGCTAGTAGTTGTGAAAGGCTTTCCAAGTCTTGAGATTGAGATAGCTTGATTCAGGAACCCAAGTTCGTGTCGAAAGTCTCCGTGTGCCGTGTTTGGGTCACTGCGCTAATCAGACATATGTGAAACCTAATTCTTTTTCTGTTAAACAATAAATGCCAATTTTAACGCGTTGACCAACAACTAAGTTTGAAACCACCGTTGCCGCAGGAGACTTAATGGAGAAAAGAAAAGGAAAAGTAGAAAAAATGATACCTTACCACGCTTAGATATGTCTGGCTGCAGCGTCAACTATCATCAGATTGATCTCATCTCTTAGGACTAATTCTCAAGCTTTAATGTTGGCGATATCATTCTTTCGCATGGGCCAGCCTATGATATCTAACAATATGTCTAATGTATGCTAACTGCTAATTGTTCCTCTGGGGGATAGCCGCCATTCCCTTCCGCTCCAAAGGCCTTTGCTAACACTTGCTAGTGAAGGTGCATTGACTTACGCTAAGCAAGTTGATATTGTTCTTTGCCAAATTCAGTTTTTTGTTACTTTCCCCTTCCGTACGTTGGTGACAGTAATACCGAGAAGAACGCAAGAAAGCCTTATGTGACTATCTAATTTTGGTTCCAGGTTAACTACTTGACGGATGTTGATGGGCTGGGCAGATTGTAGGGGGCTGTCAAGCCCTGGTCATTTCTGTCAGACAGCAATTAATTGCCTACAATCTAGACTCCTTTTGGTTAACGATTTCTGGGTTTAGACACTCACTAAATGGGAGACCGGACATCGGAAAATTGTTTAATGAGCGGTACTAATGCTGACCCCTCAATATCCCTGTTAGGAACCAAAAGAATAAGGTTAAAAGATCCCTATGTTGAAGCTTATGGACGGGAACTAATTAGTAAAAGGTTCTGGTGATTTCTCATCACTTTATTCCCCACAGTTCATTTGGAGCTGTGTCTGCATGCCTATTAATCGTCTCATATTAGATAGGCAGCTTTGATATTTTTTCCATAAAACTGAACTTGCTTTCCAAGAGAGACTCTTCCCATGCTATAACTGAGCAAGCCGGCACGAGTCTTTGGGCGAATTGTCGTGGCTATAGCTTTCTCTTCTTTCAGTAAAGGTTTTGAGGCAATTACCTTTACCCTTACCCAATCTTTTGCTTGTTATAAATGCTCAAACGATTCAAGATGTATAACAAATCAATGCAAAGGTCGATCTTCCATCTGTTTGGACTACTTGCCACAGCGACATCTGTTGTTGAAGCCAATAGCTCAGCCTGCAAGCTACCAGCTATTAGAGACGTTACCCTTAGCTCCGGATTTATCACCAAGGAGAACTACGATTGCGCTCCTAGTACAGGCACATTAAGGGGCCTTCTACTCTTTGTTGACTTTTCCGACGAACCCGCAACTGAAACCGCCAAAGAGCTTCATGATACCTTCTTCCCCGGCACCAATCAATGGTATCATACTTCGTCATATGGCAAGTTAGCGCTAAATATCACTACCAACCCCGACAAGTTCTATAGAATGCCCAAAACCGCCGCTAGATACAACTTCGGCCGGGGTCTTTCCTACGAAGACCATCTCGAATATATTCTAGACGCATTCAAGGCCTGGCAGGAGACTTCCGATGTTCAGGTCTCTAGCAGTTCTGACCCTTTGTTCGATGTTCTCTACATTGTCGCGACGGCGAATGCACGGTCCATTTCAACATCAGCAACTCTTACTAGCCCCGTTCACACTCTCGACAACAAATTGATTGCCAGTCGGGCGGTAACGTTGGGCCCGGAAGATGACCCAGGTTATTGGGAAAAGGTCTTCCAACATGAGACAGGTCACGCTTTATGTCTTCCCGACATGTACCCATTGACAGATGCTGATCCTGCCAAATGGACCGGCAATTGGGATATCATGGCTACAATCCAGGACCACAGCCAGGACTTTTTTGCCTGGAACAAATGGAGATTGGGATGGCTTGATGATAACCAGATTGACTGCATTTCTGAATCTGGATCAACTACACATCAGCTTACGGCGTTAGAGACGGTTGGTGGCGTCAAGGCGGTGGTGATCAAGCAGAGCGAGACGGAGGCGCTTGTCGCTGAGGTGCGTTCCAACAACGGGGTAGATAAGGATGTTTGCTCGCCTGGAGTGTTACTTTACACTGTCTCAACTAATGTTGCAACGGGAGAGGGACCTTTCCGCGTTATTGATGGAAGTCCAGGTCGCGGTTCGGCGGCTGGTAACTGCGGGGCAAATGAATTCGATGATGCGCCGCTCAGCCTTAATGGCAGCGGTGCCAAGTTGCTCAAGGTCGACGCGTTTGGTGTCACAGTTACAGTCACAGGACAACGTGGCGAAAATTATACCATCCAAGTGGAAAAATCATGATGATTTATACCAAGCCAGCTCAAGAATTTGCCATCTCGTTCAGACCATTGCATTTTCACCAAATTCCAAACAACGTTTGTACTTTATGCTTGATGATTACGGTATTAGGTGTCCTATAGCAAACAGAGCAAGACCTTAAAGCCATTGATAACCACCCCAGAAACAGGCGTTGATGGAGTAAATAAGAGAGCAACCTTTGCACGTTGGATTAGGATTTAGAGATAATGTCTTTTGTGATATCCAGGTTGATTTGTCAGCCGTTCGAGACCATTATCTAGTTTCCAATGTATATCGCGATGTGAAGTCCACCCGGATATGGAGCTGTCGTGCTCTTAAACCCATTTCTTGGATCTGATAGATGAGCGATAAAATCCTTGTAACCAGCACTACTGGAAACAATGTTGTCAGCCACTACCAAGGCGCCTGGCTTCAGATGAGGCTTTACAGCTGCCAGGGCGGGCATGGCAAGAACAGACCAGACTACCCGTCACGTCAATATTCAAATTAATCATGCTTCAGGGACTTTTGCATGGGCATAATATATGAGGCGATAACTTACTATCCAGAAGAATAAAATCAATCTCTTGAGGTAGATGTGTTTTAAGTGTCTCTCGTAAATCCCCTTCTCGAAGTTCAATCCACTTTTCAACCTCACTTCCTGCTCTCTTCCAATGCTCCCGGGCTCTCTTGGCCTTGGTCGGCTCATTCTCAGTCGCGATGACTTTGGCATCAGCCTTCTGAGCCGCGGCATTCTGTCCCACAGCAAGGGCAAGCCATATTGTGCCTACACCGAACGAAGTTCCCGCTTCAACAACGTATCGCGCACCGGAAGCTCGGAGAAGTAAGTACACCAACGCGCACTTGTCGGGCTCGAGGGCAACGAATCTGTCTAAGACGGCCGAGGCTGGCTGACTGTCTGTACTGGCATACGGGGATCGGTAAGCGCCTGGGTGTGTAGTTCTTTAAGAAGTTTAATGGTTGTTGGGCTGGCCTGCACAGAGGCGAGATGTTTGCTGAGGTTTCAAGAGTAGCCATTTTTGGTTCATGAGAACTGGGGAAGGGAGTGCAGCAATTGCTGAGCAATGCTTCAACAGTTCAGATGTCGGATAGCTCCGAAGACAGCTACATATGAGGGCCTGCAAGGCTTACAGAGTGAATTCTCTGGGAAATGCGATGAGGCTGCGAAACTTGATGGTTGTTACTCCGCATTTGTTGTGTCATCTGGGATACGACTGTAGGTATCTTTGCGTGCGGGGGCGTCCTGCTCCACACCAAGCCACAAAGCTGATGGTTAGAAACAGCGATTGAGGCGGCTGACTCCAAGTGGCATAAATTTACCGTGGCTCTATGACCGTTTCTGCTTTCCACTGTTATTTTTTCTTATTCGTAGTCAATCACCCTTGTGAGCGCACACTTGCTTGCGTGCCTTTGCTGTCAGCCGATCGGTATGCATTTTTCGACGGCAATAGGCTTTCGGCATGCACTACAAGCAAAATAATATCAAAAAGGTCTGTATTTAGTGCGTTGAGTATAGCAAAGCTATAAGATTTGGAGCTTAGTGTATGTTTTCATGTTTGGTGCAGGTCCTTCCTTTGAACATGGGAAGGCTTCGCGAATGTGACTGTCTCAAATGGACCCAGGGGGGAGGTTGTACATCCAAGACATTCCAATTCGAGGGAAACTACTAATATCAGATGTCAGATAATGGCTGACAAGCGCCATGGCGAAGGGCCTTTGCCCCGCTTCCACGCATGTGCCTCCTATACTTTTGTTTCGGCGTCAGGCAACATGCTGGGTTTTCTTTCTTCTTTTTCCTCTTATTCTTCCTTTTCTTTTTCTTTCAGCTACCAATTCTATGGTGGCCAGGTAGTGGCAAAGCTCACCAACCCTCAACTCAGCTTCACCAATCATGGGACTTGCAGCTCGCACACAACTAGTTATGTTTTAAACACGGTTGGACAAGGTAGAGAATATGGGACTTACTACAAGGGTTTCTTATCTGCACCATTTGCCTAAAGTTTCCCAGATTGGTGTCTTCCCGTCGCTTGTGCTGGAAGTGAGCCTGGCACATTCTGCACTGTGCAAAAGCTTAGAGCTCATTAGCATCATGAAACCGCATCGTAAGGAATGCAAATGTCTGGACGTAAATAGAAGTAGTCAAATAATAAGGACATCTCTGATGAATCACCACTTTTCTAAGCTAACACAATCAGCTCGTGATGGATATGATTTGATTGCGTGCATGCGATCTTTCTGTTCAAACTATGTGAGCTTCAGTGTAACCCCAGTGCTGAAAAAATACCCGAGGAACAAAACCATGTTGGAAGACTCGCGCCTGTGTGGCTATCTTTTAACAGGGCCATGTCAGTGCTGGTCTGGTAGAAACATGAGCTTAGGAACGTCCAGTACATGCATAGTGCGGTTATGAAGGTCACACGTGATTATGAAGGATTCGCAGGACACTGGCCTACAAAAGCTCACATCAAGAGGAGGGCTTCATTGAACTCAACCTCCCAAAGTTTCAATCACTTGGAAGAGAACCTCACAGAAAATACAAATCACAGATCATCCGTTACTTTTGGCTCGAGCACAAGAGCATTCGATCAAATACAGTTGAGCAACATCCTCGTCTAGATTGTAAGTTCGGCTCAGTATAACCCAAGATGATGATTTATTCTCCTATTTGCTGCTGCATGCAGGAGCCACAGTTATTAACGTTACTTCATGTCAAATAGTCAACATGACTGGAAATCGGTTTGACCCTTTTCATCATCATCATGTTACCGAATGGGTTTTCGAACCAGACCACGATAACTCCCATCCCGAGTGCAGGCTCGGAACATCTTGCAGCATCAATCGAGAGGGAACATGTCCAGTAATGGCCATATTCTCGACTTACCAAGAATGTGGGCTCTGGGATGCCAGTGACCCTAAGCATCGAGCCTGTATTTCGGGCCAGCCCTGTACCGTGACAGATAACAAACTCTGTGCGCGTATACTCTTCTTAGCCAAACATCAACATGCCTACGGGGCATGTCAGGCGTGGAGTGACCCTGACCACACAAACTGCCCGCCTATCACCAGTGAGGAGAAGTGGCGGCTGTTCCCCCCTTGTCTTTCATGTGGCGTGTTGACAGAGGCCAGGGGACTTATTCTCATCCATCGGCGGATGCTTGATGAGTGGAGTTGTGATGAGAAATTTATTTTGGCAGATAGGCATTACGTTCAGACTGGCTTGATTGGCTACATGCGGGCATATGAAACTAGAAGGGCGATGCATGTGCACGAGCTGCGTGATGGAAGCGAAGCATCGTACCAGTTGGAGAAGAAATACATTGCCGGGGTGGAGGGGCAGGCCTTGGGCGTGGCTGAACGTGCAACCAAGCGGAAGACTCGGTGGTGTAAGATTCTGGAAAAATTCGCCAAGATTGTTCGTCGGCTTTCCTTGGGTATGTAGGTGAGCCTCCTATGAAGAAGTTGGGGGAAAGGTAGCGCAAAACACGGCTTTGATGAGGGGTATAAACGGAGGATTAGGCCCGTAGTGATATGCACAATAGCAAAGCCCTCAGAAATTTATCAAAAGCTTTTGATGCGCGACTACGCAGCCACACTTCCCTGCACCGTAATCATTTGGCTTTAGTACATTCGATGACCACTTCATGGCCTGCATCTGGTCCTAGTGATTTTGACACTGACCACCTTCTTTATAAATGTGTGTGATTTATGATATTAGTTTCTGGTCAATGAAATGCTGTGACTCTCGGACATGGCATCTACGAGATACTTCAAAGGTCCCATGGACAGTAGAGAAGGAAAGAGTGGAGACACTTGGTTGCGGCTGTTGTAAGGCGTACAACCGACTTCCTGGATAGTCCTATGATTTGATTGAATTGTCTTATTTCCGACTTATTCCCAACAGCTTCAGTGTTTAAGAAATGCGTGCTCGTCATCGTCTCTAAGCGACACTGTAGTGTAGTCACAACAAATTGATGCTGGAACGTTGATCAGGCGCCTCCTTGCAGACGCAAGGGCCATTAGCCACCACCTCGCCGACCAATGTGCACCGCAATGAGGTTCGCCATGGTTTCGGAACGTCATCGTCTGCAATTGATTGGTTAGGAGCAAACGTGGCACTGAGACCTGGCATGGAAGGGCTTTTTCGATTGGCTGTATTACCGGAGGAAACTCCGCCAGCTCTCAATATTTTGTTTTCTATCGCGTATCTTATGCTGGCTTGCCTAACGCCACGTTACATGAAAGCTCGCTCGCAAAATACTTCGGGGGTAACACATTATTGTTGCCCACTTGGTTCATGATCTTTCAACGTTCCTCTGATCGGTTTCTTTCCCCAATCTATACCTCTGCAGGGTTTAAATCAATTAGCGTCATTCTGTGCGAACTCTAAGGCGTATCATGTTCGTAGTCCTTGAAGGGCCTAAAGAATTTACAAGTTACAATATGATGGCATCGTTTCCGTATTTTGTGGGCATCAGTGGACTTCCCCTCTCCCCCCCCCCCCCCCCCCCCCCCCCCCTAATTTTCAATGGCAGGAACAAATTCAGAGATACTGGTCACCTCATTTAAAGCTCCCAACATCAACGAGCGGGCCAAGTCACAGACTAACACATTTAATCCCTTTAGAGACGCCACTAATGATTTGTTTTGCCTCTTAAACACAGTCTGCTGGGAAGAAAACTAACTGGGTGGTAAGATAAGCACTATGTCACACGGACCACTGCATATATCGGGGCATGCATTCAACCCATGCACCCGGCTATTGTTTCCCATATAAAACTAACGGGGATGTCATTTTGTGCATGAAAACCTTCAAATCGGTAATTACCGAATAGACGGTTATATAATCAACCCAATAACCCCTAGACAGTCTCTAATGAATGGAAGCATCTTTTTTTACCCCATAAGTGGTGGGCAAATTGACTGCGTGACAGTTATGAGCCCAGTACCTCATGGTGACAATTACCAATTGAAAAACCGACTTCCAGAAGGGAGCAGTTCAGACTTATGCCATAGACAAGGGCACTCAATTGACGAAGTTACCGACCCATGAGACTTTGGCAGTCAAGTCCACCAAACAAAACATCAATTCCAATCACACAAGGCTGAACGTTGAAGTGTTGAAACATTCAATCACAAAAGAACTTCTGGTCATCAATTCATATCATCAACACTTATCAAAAAATCACAAAAAGTTCATCTCAACTCAGGGGGACTTACCACATCTGAGGAGTTGAACCCAGGACTCTTAACTTGAACCTTATATAAGTTCATGCTCGACCATACCACGGATACGCAGCCAGGAGGGTTGGAATTACGAAACGGAAGAGACACCTAGTTGCTCATTTTATGCCTCTGAAAGCTTCGGGCAGATAAGACGAACAGGTGGTTCACTTTATAGTCTTCGTGTAACGGAACCGATAAGACTTTTTACAAATTGCGAAAACTCCACAACCCTGAATTGAACCCACGAAGGGGAGCTTGCCAGTCTTACGGTCCTTGCGAATAGCTACAAGTTGGGTGGCTAGACCAACTACACTAAACGGCAGGTTCATTAGACAGGGGGGGCGTCTTGCGTTTTGTTGAGAATTGAGGCGTTGAGATTGGCTATATACCCTCAAACCTCTAGGCAACAATCGACAAAATCACCAACTTGAAACAAGAAGTGTCTAGTCACGAACTCAATCTTGGCCACGGCGAAAAACCAACTGCACAACGATCAGAAGAGAGAGACCAGTTCTCTTTTCAAGAGAGATCATGAATTCAACTACGGAAACTGCAAAATACACACAGCGGCTACAGACTGACAGCGACTGGAACCACTGGTTCAACAACTTACAGATGCTGGCAAACGTTCATGAAGTCTGGGACTATGTGAATCCAAAAGGAACCAAGATTAATACTAAGCCAAGATTGGAATTCCCAGACCCAAAAGACCTCAGACAAGAAGAACGAGCAAACTATAGCAACGTTATCAGCTATGGAAAAGCTATCTATCAAGAAGAAAAAGACCAATACAACCAGGTTCGGCGAAGTCTTCTAGAAATTCACAGTTGGATCATGAACACTGTAGCAGCCACTTATATCAGCCAAGTCAGCAAGGAGCAAACAGTCAGGGATATCATAAAAGCTCTTGAAAAACAGCTAGCGCCAGACAACTTTGGGAGACAACAAATGGTATTGGAAAGATATAACAAGCATATGCTATCAATCAAAAGAGCAAAACTTGGAGGATGGCTCATAATCTATCGAGAAATCATGGATGAAGCCCAAACAATCGGAATCCCTGCTCTCAGCGATCCAGTTACTCAAGTCTCTGAGTTCTTGAAAGCAGTCAAGCAAATTGCACCAGATTACTACACATCTGCCTCTTACGACTTCACAAAGCGATACAAGGATGACCCAACCTACAGTTCGATCAGCAAGACTGCTGGAATTGAGCAAGCTAACGATTTCCGCAGTTGGGTGAGAACTTTCCACCCAGACTGGCTGAATGCTGCTCCATTAAAAGACACGAGTTTCGCTACTTGGCAAGGAGAAAACGAACAAGGAATAAAACAGGGGGCAAAACGAGAGCAAAAGTGTGCAGCTTGCCCAAACGAAAGTCACCGATTTGTTGATTGCAAACATGCCAACCCTAAGAAGCGAGGCCCAAACTATCATGAAGATAATCCAGAAAATAAGAAAGCACTGGAAAGATTGAATGAGTATCTCCAGAAGAAACCACACTTAAAGAGAATAGTTGAAAAACTACGAAAAGGGGCAAGCGATCAGCAGTCTCAAAAGTCCCCAGATCGAGCAACATCTTCCTCAAACTGGAGAAACACTACACAATCATCATCCCACTATACTCAAGAAGTGTCTGATGGAGAAGGATCACTCTCATCTTTCGTCACTATCGTCAATCAAGGAGAAGCAAGTCTCTATTCAGGATTCCCACTGTCAGACAGTGTGATAGTAGACTCAGGAACAGGATTCCACATCTGCAACGACTCCTCAAGACTTCATGATCTCGACTACACAGTCACAAAAGACTTCACCACTGGAGGAGGAGATGTACATGCAATTGCGAAAGGCACAATGATCATCAAACCAAACCAAGGCGGCAAATCCAACAACAAGGAGATCAAAGTCAGAAATGTATGGCTTGTGCCTGGATACCCAACATCGCTCCTTGGGACAGAACCGCTGAAGCAAAAAGGGATCATCTTTACAACAGGAATACCGGGTCTTATCGACTCAAAAGGCAGACTTCTATTCAAAACACCAAACCGATATGGTCAATACATTATTGAAGCTGGCCCAGCTCTGCTGAACAATACCTCGTTCAGCAATACCGAGAAGACTGTGAGATTCAGCCCAACCGTAGAAAGGAAACCAACCAAAGGTTTTCAGTCAACAAGACAACCACTCCCAACATCATCAGCAGAAGCCAAGTTGTGGCATGAGAGACTTGGTCATCCAGGCGCTGAGGGACTGGAACAGCTACTTAAAACAGCTCTTGGGATACAGATAAAAGGAATCACAAAAGTGGAATGTGATGCCTGTGCTGTTGGGAAGGCAACTCGCCAAATTTCCCGCAGAAACCCAGACCATTGGCCAACTGCTGTAGGAGATTATCTATCTCTCGACTTCTTTACACTTAGCAAAGCATACAATGGGGAGAAGGTAATCCTGCTGGTCAGCGATGGCTGGTCAGGGTTCTTCTGGATAAGAACTCTTCGTACTCGAAAGGAGGGACTACAAGCTATGACAGAATTAGCAGCATACCTCGAGAGACAGTGCTTTATCAAAATCTCTATTCTACGCCTAGATTGGGAGGTTGCTTTACGCAATGCGTTTGAACTATGGGCAGCTGTGAATGGATATATGATTGAAAGATCAGCTGAGTACACTGGTGCTCAAAACCCAGCAGAAAGAGCTGGAGGTGCTGTGTTTATGATCATGAGAGCACTTCGATTTCAATCTCGCTTTCCTGAATTGATGGCACCAGAGCTGGCAAAAGCAGCAGTTTATCTGTCAAACAGATTGCCTCGAAGACGCCACAAGTGGCAGACACCATTGGGGTTGGTCAACACTTGGCTGAACTCTCATCAACAGTCTACCCACAAGAGGGCTGAAAAGCCACAACTAGCACACTTGAGGCGATATGGCTGCAGAGCTTACCCCTTGACACAAAACTACAAGAGAGGAATAGAAAAGTCAAACAAAACTGCGCCAAGAGCTCATATTGGCTATCTATGTGGTTATGACAGCACAAATATCTACAGAATCTGGATCCCAGCAATAGGAAAAGTCATGAGAACTAGAGACGTTACTTTCGACGAAAACACGCTGTATGATCCAAGGATTGAGGATACCAGCAAGTTAAGCCAAATGGAACTTGAATTCCAGTTCACAGAAATGGATATCCCATTCACAAATCCAATTGAACAAGACCTAGACACAGCTGGCTGGGATGGAGAAGATTTCAGCGATAATATTACCGGGCCACTACCCGCCTCGAATCCAGCCGCTCAAGAAACAACACCGGCAACACCGATGCAGGAGAAAGAATCAGGGGATTTTCAATTACCTACACCCACTTCTCTATCACCAACAGTACAGCTGTCAGATTCTCAAACAACTGAGGGGGTGAGGGAGACTCCAGAAACTCCAGAAGTATCGCCAACTCCAGAACAATCGGATCAAAGTGAGACCATAGAGGAAACCTCAACAGACCGACTCGAACTACAACAGACACCAGTCATAGAATTGGAACCAGAAGAAATCATACCACAAGATTCCTCCACAGTAATCCCAAACATAGCGAGAAGGGGAAGACCTCGTGGCAGCAGAAATCACAACATCTACAATCGATCAGCCCCTCTTGGTCAAACAAATCAACAGCCACCAGAAGCAACAAGATCATCACAAAGACTGAGAAGAGCAAGAGAATCCCACTTCACACTGCAATCTACGGATACAGTAAAAGGAAGAGATCAATGGGATGCATCAGCAGATGATTTAGGCAATCCACACCAAAAGACACTTCCACCAGTTCCAAAGAATTACAGTGAAGCGATCAAACACCAATACAGTCACAAATGGATTGCTGCAATGAATATTGAACATTTGATCGAGAAGAACGCAGTATGAATCTGGAATTTGGTAGTAAGTATACGGAGTTCTGAATAGTATCATTTCTGTATTTGAATGAGAATACAGAGAATCAACCTACAACAGGTTGCCTCTCTGAGGGGGTGTGTCACACGGACCACTGCATATATCGGGGCATGCATTCAACCCATGCACCCGGCTATTGTTTCCCATATAAAACTAACGGGGATGTCATTTTGTGCATGAAAACCTTCAAATCGGTAATTACCGAATAGACGGTTATATAATCAACCCAATAACCCCTAGACAGTCTCTAATGAATGGAAGCATCTTTTTTTACCCCATAAGTGGTGGGCAAATTGACTGCGTGACACACTACCCCATCGAGGATAAATTGGCAACGGGTACGAACTGGCCAAATCAAAGTCTACATTCCTCCAAATGCTAACCACAGTCTTCATCATTGGAACAAATCATCATTTCAGTATATGATTGGCTAGTGTCTTGCATGTCATGCACCTGTTGCCCACTCACCCTGGATGGGATCCACCTGCTGCAGTAATAAAGGCTATTGAGTCATTTTCTTACTGCAGTAGGACTTCGTGTTATCTGTTTGGATCAATTTATCATCGCGCTGGTAGCGCCGCGCTCAGTCAGATAAGGCAACGGCAGAGAACGGCGGCAAGAATTTGTTTCTGGCTTCTGTTGCAATTTACCTAGACTAAGGTGCCGTAGCTATTGTGTGCCGAGAGAAACACGTCAGTCTTCTTATCTTTCTAAGACCTTGGCGGCGGCCAAAGTTATCACATCAAGGTTCGGTTGGCTACGGGTACGTAGTCCCAAATTTAACGCCCACTTTTTACCCTTCAGAAAAGGCGTATGTGACGGTACACTACCAACATTTATGCTGTCCTGCCGCACTTCTGTAACTCTTATAATTGCCAATAACTCTTAGATGGTTAGATTATATGCAAAATAGAAGTACTACTAAACTAGGTTGTTTGGTTGATTAGAAGAAGTCCTGGCTAGCTCTGTCGCCCTCGCGGGCATGTACCTACTGCCAGGCTGCAGTCAAAGGGACAGGTAGTGTATTTACTGTGCGTTAGTTGCTAGATAACCGGTGCCAAAAAATAATTATTGTACTTTTCAAGGACCCCTAAATGGTTCTCAATTGAAACCAGTTTACTGAAAAACATAGCAACTGTTCAATAATGATATAAAGAAGATTTCCGAATGTTCTTGCATAGAGGAGGTGTTGAGCATATGCAAAGATAAATGCTTATTACTTCAGACTTAATATTCAATGTGTCCCGAACGCAGAACTGTTTAATAACTGGGATGTTACATGTTCTGTGTTTCAGTAGTTTACAAAAGCTCTTAAACAATCTTGTGTCACTTTCCTCAGTTAGTGTGTTACGACCCGTTAGATACACCTAACAGGACCCACTCGGTTGGGCGGTTATGACAGGACTTTGTATGCAGGGCCACGGGAACAAAAGGTAACCTCTCGGAACGGAAGAACTATAGAACGGAACAAGTCACGTGATGAATCATTCTAGGTCAGAATGATCCAAGAAGAGTTGGGGGCCAACGGATCATGTTCGATCAATATGATCTCCAACGACTACAGACAATACGTGTAGATAGACTCCTATATAGACCAGGACTTGAGTACCTGCTCAAGCCCTCTAGATAGTTCTTCAGCAATCAACTTGTGATTCATCCTCGAATGACTTTCAGCTTACCTCTCAGTATTGTGAATACTAAGAACCTCGTTACCATAGTGTAAGACTGATCACCTTACCCTAACCCTACGATCTACCAGAACGACCTCTACGAACCAGTGTTAGTCTCTTACTGCACCTTCTGTTAGCAGAACCCTACTGTCAGATAGCTGGCCGTAACATAGTGGATCTTCGAACATCAGAATGGTAATTGTCTCTTAGGGTTTTTGCATTATTAGTTGTATTTGATTAATATAATTGAACCATTGGCATTCTACTACTCAGTAATTCCAAATCCACAAAATATCCCGAATAGCCATGCTGTTGAATTTGAAACTCGGTAACCATTCCGTGCTTCGATCTTGCTTGAGCCGATCGAAGTGTGTGCCGTGGTCATGCGCTGTCTGATAGACTATAACACGCTCTGTTCTATCTGAAGAATCGTTACAAAAAAGATTGATATCTTCGAAATCAATATGTCTCATTGGAACGAAAGTTCAAACGTTTACGCAAGGAATACCCACTTACTACACCTTTCACCAAACACCAATCTCGGTCACCTTGACAATTTCTTGGAAATTTGACGTCTTTGTCTGCCACATTCTTATTTTTAATTTCAGAAATGGCCAATCTCAGCATCAAGGATTAATATTGGATTTCTTAGGTTATAAAGAGTTGGACTCATTGCCTTACTCAAACTTTATAATCCTGCATTACTTCTGCTGCCTCGGACAGTGTCTGTTAGAACTGTCAACCTTGGCTTTTGTTATTACAAATAAATAGCGACTATGGAAGAGACTGGATTTGTTAGCTTTCTTTTATGTGTAATGTTTCTTGTATCATAGCTCCTGCCACTGGTAATACATTGACGGGCTAGTTAAAGTGCTCCGGTATATCAATTATTTTACAATGGTTTTTTGGGACAAAATCCCCTAACTCTGGATAAAACATCCTGGCTTTGGCCTAGTCTTCTAGAAGTGCAACTTCTTTCCTTTTGCATTGTCATGGATTGCCAATATCTTGGGAACGGCTAGTTCTGGTTCGGAATGTGGGCGCCTGAGGGTCTTGTTAGGACCCAATTCATACACGAACATAGAAACGTTACAATCTTTTAATTCGCACGTTACGCCAAGACCTTGCACTTAACCTGGGACTCTGGGCCCTGCTGTTGCGTCAGATTTCAATCGCTAAATGATTCCTATGCAGTATTGCATCGGAAAGTGAATAGACGAAGAGGTGCTTAAGTAAGAAAATACAAAGAAGACATGATTAACACCGGAATCATCATGTGACGCCCCTTCTCCGTCACTGGCGGCGAGCGATCAACCCATTAAACCCTCGCAAGTAAACCCGCCATGATTGAGAAATTGCGCGGCTGATTTGGCCCTGCTTTGTGGACACTAGTTGAATGATTACAGCATTTGTTTTGCTCCTCCGTATTTAATGCTCCTTGAATGATGCCTGCTCTTGCCCCTCAGTGGGTGATGTTTCTGTTCTTAGTGTTAGTGGCCTTAGGTTAACAGCGTTGCAAAATGTCTCCCTTTTGTCTATTTCATGTAACTCGGAATCATTCATTAGCCTACGAGCCATAGCAAACTGGTTTTCTATCTCAATATGAATCTCTAGTTTATCTGGGCAAGGTGCCAAGCGTGGCAGTGCCGAGCCCCTTGGCGCGGACTGGGTAACGATCGACACCGAAGTTGGCAAGAAAACCTCTCGGAGCTCGGGGAATTCACTCCACCCAACGGCAGATGATGGCATCTCCTTTCTACCTTAGTGCCACAACGGCTCGGCATGTTTCAAAACGAATTCATCAAATCAATTTTCCACGTGTAATGTCGAATTTCAGATGAACATGCTTGCAATTTTGTTTCTCGAGTTGATGAGTTGATTGTACATCCCTCCCCGGTGCAATTTCATGTAGGACGAGGTTTGATTAGGGCGAGGTTCGATTCAACTTAGACTTTCGGCTGCCGCTCCACTGCCATAGCTTAACAATGTTTACATTCAGTGGGTTCGATCCATAGCGCTATATAGTGATAGTGTCGAGAAGGCAGCCAAAGCCCCTCGTTGGCCAAGACCTCCTTAATTCAGCATCAAGCTCCTGTCTGAGATCGACCTGGAAAATGAAAGAGTATCCACTCCTCAATTGACGTTGGTAAGCATGGCTAAAGACTATAAAGCTTCAAGTCGATGTCCAACATTGCTAAGGAAGTTGGACAAGTGCGCAGGTTTAAGATTTGACATCTTCAGCAACACTCGTTTCTTTCAATCTACCCGTTTCCGACTTCATTTCTCTCATATCAGTCAACATGCGCACCAACGCTTTCAAGTTGCTCGCTGCTCTTGCGGTTTCCCTGCCTGTGGTTTCTGCTTGCGTGGGAAAGGATGCTCTCCCCAACGCCACCAAAACTGTGTCTAGCGATGCGCCCATCGAGGTTGCTGCTGGGGAAACTTACGACGGCAAACTAGCTCGTTTCGACAGAGGATCTGGCGCCTGCAAGGCTCAGACTGAGGGCGGTCAGAAAGACGCCGTCTTCATCCTTCGCAAGGGTGCTACTTTGAGAAACGCCATTATTGGCAAGGACCAGATGGAGGGTGTTTACTGTTTGGGTGGTGGCTGCACCATCGAGAACGTCTGGTTCGAGGACGTTTGCGAGGATGCCATTTCAATGTACGTCCCAATCAGAAGATGTGTCAATTGATCCAAGAATACTAACGGGAATCTCGTTTCAGCAAGGAAGATGAAGCCGGCACGGAAACTCGTATCATCGGCGGCGGTGCCTACAAAGCGGCCGACAAAGTCGTCCAGCACAATGGCTGTGGTCACGTCAGCGTACGTTTGAAATCTCTTCAAAAGAAATGCTTATCAGCTAAACATTAGCAAGATCTCCAACTTTTACGCCGAGGATTATGGCAAGGTCTACAGAGCTTGCGGCACTGTGAGTACTCCAACTTCTCGGATGGGTTATATCGCAACAATCAGTCTAACATTCATGCAGTGCGATGCTTGCAAGCGAACTGTCAGCATTGAGGGCGTATCCGCATACGGCGGTGGCGAGGTTGCTGGCATCAACGAAGATACTGGCGACGAGGCTACGCTAGTTAACATCTGCACTGATGCCAAGACGCCCTGCCAGCTTTACTCCGGCCCTGGCACCAAGTCTGGCCAATGCTAAGTGGCTTGTGAGGAAACATCAGACTCTTTTCTACACGTGCCAGACAGTTTTCTGAGCCTTGATGGACCTGGACGCGGGTATCTAGCGACGGTCTTTGCCAGCGGGTAGAATTGAGTATAAGTTCGTGTATATACTTCTTCATGGAGGATTTAGAATGACTTCATGACATTTTCAAAATCTCGTTCAGCCATACTCTGAATGAGTGCAAAAGAACTCAGGTAGTTTCTAACCAAAAAATCTTGCCATCCAATGGGGTAGACATAATAGTTCTGTTCATACATACCATCAGTGAATTGGCATCTGAATGATGAATGACTTGGTGCAGTAGATTGCTGTGGACTATTGAAGAACGATTGATCAAATAAGACAATTAGGAGACAAAGTGCAGAAGGAATTCCGCCTCATAGTTATACTTCTTAGCCGTGTCCATAATCACAGTATAAGTCAGTGGCTGAGATTGAAAACATGTGTTCATAACATTAAATTGTAACCTATTAACTTCGCTATTTACGCTTAATGAAATCAGACTTTGGTATCATGTCTAGTAATATCTAGAAGAGCAGAACCCCAAGAGTAAATGCTAAACTCCATGTAATGCAACCATAAAATACGTTCCCCGGCATTAAGTTCGCTGCAGCGTTATCAGTGCCGTTATCGGACGAGTTACTAGAATCACCAGCCGGTCCTGGTGTAGAGGTAGTCGCCGTGCCCACACCAGGTGATGCGGAGCTAAGCGCGTCGCATGCTGTTGGATCCGGCTCCGAAGTGCCTACTCTGGCGCCAACATTGACCACGACTGCCTCAGAGTCTCGTAGAACAATGCTTGCCTTGCCGTCCGCCTCAACCTTGACCGTTATGTCTTCGTTGGAGACTTGTTTCATGCTACCGGTGTTGTCTTGCTCAAAGCTGATGCCGTTCCAAGTTGTTCCATGGGTTGCGTCAGCACCATCGCTGGTGAGATATGCGAGGTGCAACGTTTCATCAGCCAGGGAAGATGGGAGGGTCAGATCAACAGTGATGTTACCCTTCGAAGCCTCGGACGCATTTGCCAGCTTGCCATTGATGAGTACAACAGAGGAGAGCGCATCACTCTGATATATCGAGTAGGCTTTGATGTATTCTTGGTATCCAGAAGGCGCATTAGAGACCTTGGTCTCTGCAACTCGAGCCGTGCAAGACCGGCCAATAGCCTGCCCAAAGGCTGCCATACCGTAGTAAAGGGGTCGAACAAAGCGATCACGACCGAACATCCGAGTTGGCTGCCAAGCACTGGCGTTACTGTCAAAGGTCATGTGAAATTGGACAGAAGAAATGTTGAGTGTTGCGGCGTAAAACAGGAAGTTGAAGGTCCATAGGGCGGCAGCAAATGTGTCGCTCAATCCTTCAACACCAAGAGGCCCAACTACGGACATCTCTCTCAGAGCAAATGGGTATGGCGTGTTCTTGGCTTGCTCAAGCTGACCTTCGATTGGGCTGAATTGTTCCTTGGTGTTGTCAAAATGCATCATGTAGTCCAACGTCAGAGGGTATGACATCGACCCGACAAAGTAGTAATAGTTGTGTTGGTTCCAGCTGTTGAGGAACCCCTTGTCGGAGTTGTTGGCCTTGACATCAAGGACTGCTTCCAGGTCTTCTATCTCAAACCCAGTACCGGTGACCCAAGCAGTTGAAGCAGCAGCCTCAAAGAAGTTGCTGTGTAAATTACGTGGTTGAAGTACCTCTTCCCACACGGCGCGGGCGCGATCAAGCCATTCCTGAGCGTATACCGAACCGGTCCATGAACCTTTTCTGAAGCCGTTATCGCCGTAAAGGTCGGGCTCATTGCCGAATTCGAATGAAACCAGGTTGATATTTGTGCATCGCTCAATGATTTGCGTAGCCATGGTTGTGAGTTTCTCAATGTAGTCTGACTCCGCGTATCCAAGGTTCAGACCCCAAGTCACAGGCGTGCCTTTCGGAAGCCGATTGGCAATCTCCATGAACTTGGGACCGACAATAAAGTTGTCTGCTGGCACATTTCCCGGAGCGGTTGGTCGAGGGTTTGGCTTAATGAGCCACTCGTCTTGCGAGTCGTCATAAATCAGATAGTCTTGTGTATTTCCACCTAATCTCATATGCGGCGGGCGGCCGGTGAAGTTGGCAAGGTTGTTCAGAAGGTTGATAGTAAGATCGTTTGGAGTTTCGTCGCCCATAAAGTAGTAGAGGTGGTCAAGTTCGATACCGAAGCCGGCGAATGACGGGTCGACGGTTGCAGAAATGTCGGAGGGGACATCCTCAGACAGCGATAGAGACAGAACATTATCAGCACCACGAGCAGCACAAACGAGGCCCAAGCCTACAAGAAGGGAGTTCTGAAATGGTGCCATTTTGGACCACAGCCGTAAATGGAGTTTGAATACTTTGTCAACAAAGAACACGCTTATGAACCGCAGCGGGGGCGGCCAACCGACTTAAAAGCCTATGGAGGACGAAAGCTAAGGGAAACTGTTTCATTGTCTTTCACACATTTCATCATCCAGGTGGACCAATCGTATCGGAGGACCTAGACTACGTGCGCTGGCATCAGTCTCATCCATGTCCAACTCTGACGGCACCAAGCTGAGCGGCTGCCCCAGTCTGACGCGTTCAGTTCAAAGGTTTTCTTTCGTCAACGGTGCTGGGAGCCAGGCCCTAACATTGGCACCCCGTTTTTTGACAATTTTTTTGGGCCTGCGCAATTGAGCACTACAGAGTCTAGACTGCTTGAGGTGACATGCTATGGTCATTTAGGCGCTTTCCATGCCGTTGTCCCGTGATTGCGACAATCGGTTGGTGGGTTAATGACATCAGGGACGAAAGAATACCTTGTTGGATTGCGGGCCAAGCGTTGGCACTGTGTTCTGCCCCGCAGAATGTGCGTGGACAGCAGGGAGTTCAATCGGTGATGTCAACAGGACGTTATCGATGGAAGCAGGGATATCACCTACCTCCGAGCAATTGTGGATGGAGTTGTTATTTTAGCGTACCGTAGGCAGTTGTGACGGCATTAGGCACGGGGGCACCTACACCGACAAAAACGACTGTGATAAAACGATGCGGCTCTTAATTATCGCAGACTTTTCTCCCTTGACCAAGAAAAATGTCCGATTAACCACGGCGATCGGCCTTGCAGGAAGCATGGCAATGGATGGGCTGTGTCGATGCTAGTCGATTATCACTGACGCTCTACACCCTAAAATGAAAATGGAACCCCACTACTCGCTGGGGTTGTGCAGCTAGCGATGTGTTTTAGGGGATAGATTTGAAAGACAGTCTCGCAAAATGGAAATGGACAGTACACAGAGTGACCAAAAGAGGAGAGAAAGAAATGACAGAAAGGGGGCTACATGGTAAAGTGGGCAACACATTAAGAGCAATAACGATCATCAAGTGCTAGCCAACAGAACAACGGGACGAGCAAGAACATCTCGATATTTCTGGTGTGGTTGACACAACCCACTTGCAGGCCGTTATCGTGATTTTTTATGTTCAGAGGGATCCATCCGGCTTTTTACATCCGGCTGGTTGGCTGGCTGGTCAGCTGGGTTCCACTTGACGCACAGAATTTCGTAACTGGACTTCTACCCACGGACGGAATAATGTGATGGTTTTCCCTCCCTTCTTTGAAGATGAACTTACGAGTTCCTTTTAGTGTTTGTCAAAAGTCAGCAGACAGATGGAGCTAGTCTCCTTAAACCCTGACAAATTTAGACACGATGGCAGTTTTCGGTAGGCGAAATGGAAGTCTTCTCAGTTCTTCACCTCAGGTTAGGATCTCAGCAGTGTTCCCCCACTTCATCCCATATCATTTACCCCCGCACCAGTTTTGAACGTCGATTATCATGTTTGCCATGTTTGTCTGGTTCACGAAGTTTTCAGTCTTGTCAACTTTTAGATCCACAATATTTCTTGGCAGAATTGGCGCGAAGTTCTTGATTCATGGAATTCGTTTTGTGCACGAGGCACCCTTACGAACGTGGTCACATACGGGTCCGGACCTGCCGGCAAGACGGGTAGATCATTGAAATATCGGAGCTCCCCACTGACTTGACTCTCGAGCCACCCCATCCAATGACGCAAACTTGTTTGTACGAGTCTGGAGGTCACTACCGTTGGCTGATTTGTCCGGCGAACGATTGACTAGGCAGCAAAACTGTAGAGCTCATGGTCACACAGTGAAGCTTCATTTTCTATATTTGCTGATTTTCAGGTGAAGACAAAGACTACACTAACATGTGTGATTGTCAATTGCTTCTGTGAGATAATTAAATGAGTGTTGGCTGCTATCCTTGGTCATAGAGAGCACCAGAAAGGTCAGCTGGTGAGAAGTAAGTCAAAGATCACGCATATAGGTAGGTTCTTTCTATCGAGTCAACGATGGAGGGAGGGTCTTTAGTTATCGTAAGACGGAAGGTGTGCAATTAAGAGTCGTATTATTAATACTTTCAGCATAAATATTCATACTTGATTATCCCATGCAGTGCTGTCTTCGATCAACATCATGCTCGTGCCGCTTAGCAGTACTTGCAGGCACCGAGAGGGCAGTAGCCATGACTGCAGCTGAAGCTACAGAGGCCCTTGTAGCTCTCATCCAGCCCATCAGCAGGGCATCCGTCGCGTCCGTCTCCACCAGGGCTGGTGGTTTGCTGGCCGAAAGAATCACATTGGCAAACACCATCGGGGCAGTATCCGTTTGAACAAGCAAAGGCGCAGAGTCCGCTATAGTTGTCAGACAGGCCAGATTTGACCTTGCCAGAAGTGCAGAACGAGCCGGTCGAGGTGGGAGCAGGAACACTCGAGGTCGTGGTCGGAGTGGTTCCGGAGGCCACACACTTCTCCTTGATAAAGGCAGCGCCGTCATTGGTGTAGAGCTGGAAGTAATTGGTGTGCGCGTTCTCTCCCATCGTGCGACCGCCGTTGCCGTAGGCACAGACGGTGTCCTCACCGTTGCACCATGATCGGAGGACGCCGGAGAAGTTGTTCAAGTTCCTGAGTGATGAACTGGAGCGAGCCATCTGACCGCTGAGGCTGGAGCCGGCCTCGACGTTGTAACTCTGCTCGCCGATATGAGTCGGGTCGCCGAAGAGAAGGGCAGCACAGACTATTAAGATCGATATTAGTGACCTATTCATATGAAACTGCCATTCTTTGTAATCTTACCATTGTTGCCCGGAGAAGAAGTGGCATCAAGACCCGAGTCAGCAAGAATGTTTCCAACGACGTTGGCACCCTCGCTGTAGCCGGTCAGGACAACCTTGGAGTTGGGGCACTTCTCCACGTAGGCCTTGATCTGGGAAACACCAGAAGAGCGGCCTTCTTCAACAGCATTCGGGTATCCGCGAGGGTTAGACGCATCAAATCGAATATCTTCGTAGTCGCAGCTTGAGAGGCCGTTACAGGTAGCATCGACGATAGACTGCTGACGGCCAGGGTAGTCTTCATTCCATCCGCGGGCCAGGAAAAGGTGCAGATCAGTGCAAGATCCAGAACCAGTAGACTGGCGTTTTCCGGGGGCTGCAGAGGCCAAGAGTATGAAGTTGAAGAGAGTGGCAACGGCCTTTGGCGACAACATTTTGGTTGATTAGGATTATGACTTATTACTATCGTGTTACGAAGGTTGAAAAGCGAATGATGGTTTGCGAACGAGCGAGTGTATCGAAAACCAAATTTGCGAACTTCAAAGTCCGGGGAATGCGGAGTCTTATTTCAGCCTGGAGCCTTGGATGTGGATCGCAGATAAAGTGTCGGTTCATTGTTGCATCAAGTAAAGCACATATCTCCCTCTAATTTTTACCGACTCAGCCGAGCAATGATATTGTGGGTTCCTCGGTGTTGTCCTTCAAAAATAGTAAGACGATCGCGGGCTAGTATCATTAACAGGGATGCAGAGTGGAACTTTTACGCATGAGCCTAGTTGCCAGGACTACTGGCAATACGAGCTGGGCAGAATGTGGATGTCATTCGATGGAAATTATGCGGTCAAGGAAAAGGGCCCAGCAGGCAACAAAAAAGGAATACAGGCGCATGATAAGTACCGTAACGTCGACGAACACCACCTTTCAGTGCGGAACTCGAGCTCCTCGGTGTATGGCGGATACGATTTCAACACTAATCGGCGGATGGACAAACAACAGGACCATTCAGCCTCAGATGAGTTTTTGGCCATCAAGGCAGGGTTCCTAAGCGAGTGCACCCTAAATCTGATCAGGGGGTACTGGCAAGGTCTCCAGAACTTTGACAGAAATTTGTGGAAATTCGAGTTTTGTGGATACCCAACGTATTGTCATATTTGCGCATGGCAAACATGTTAGTGTCGCAGGTCGGTAGTTGGTATTGATTTCGGAGAGATCGGCCATTATGAAAGATGGCATAGCCCTACATCTATTATTGTGTATCCGTGAGGGGATGACGCAAATCAGGAGGATGTTGACTTAAGTTATGACAGCGCATGATTGCTGATTTAAACCGAGTCATCGGCTAGGTACCTTGAGATGTTGGAATCATATTTGATAAGCTTGGAATATAGCTGCAGTGATCCAGATAATAGGGGGGGGGATAGAAAGATGAAGGGCGTGTTTCTTTTTGTCGCATGCTTGTTAGATACTTGTTCTCGCTGTCGCAAAAAGCTGCCATCTCAAGTTCAGATGAAATGACCAGGACTAGCCCCGTTACTCTCTGATAACTTGAATACGCATGCGCCGTCATTCTCGCGATCCATGTACAATCATTGGGAAGGAGGGCGATCATGTCACCACTCTTCATGGCTAGCTCACTACATGCGTCCTTACTTGACGAGAAAGGTTTTCCTCGAATCATAACTCGTTCTCAGCCATCAAGCTTGTCACTGCAGCTTGGAGGATGGTCCAGCATCCAAGTAAGGTCCTTGGCGTAGGTAAACAAACTATCTAGAGAACTCCTAGATAGAAAATGTTGTTGACAAGCAGAGAAGCGAACTAATTCACCAAAAGATAACAAAATCAATGCCCACAATTCTGATACCCTCGAAATGAGGGTATTCATCAGGTTGAGTTTTTGAAAGAGATTTAGAATATTTATGGGCTTAGAGCTTGGATGGGCTTTGAAAGTGTGCTTTGATGTGCAGACTAAGTGTTGCTGTTGACTAAAGAAGGGCTACTTAGAGGTTAAAATTGCAGTGAATTTCTCTTTTTGGCTCATTCTCTCGCTCTGGAGAGAGATCAACCGAAACAGGAATAGCGGAATTAACGTGCATTGACTAATCCAATAGTCTTGATTCTCACACCTCCCTCTTGTCTCTCGCACTTTCTGGAACAGCTTTTCTCTGGAACCAGATCTGATGTAGGATGCGGTAAAGGTGGAATGTGTCCGCGTGTTGGTTTTGGAACATCGACATTTTATATTGATCTTGAATTTACAGCATTTGACGGGAACATAGTATGGTACATATTTTCGCAATTCAGTCTTTTGATCAATCTCATTCCTAAAGGTAAGCGACGAAATTTGTCCAAGTCTTACCAGTTTGTTCGTTCAGATCAAACAAAACCTTTTCATCAAGACTGAATTTTATGTTTACAACCTCTACAGTTAAATGTGATTGAAGCAGCCAATGCTTATTGTACTGTCTTCAGATCGACATTCACTTGTTTAGCGCCTTCGATCCCTTGGGTTCATCCGAGTGCCATGTGCTAAGAGACGTCTAACAATATTCGCCGCAATCTCCGTAATTGCCCATGTCAAGGTTCAGGTGTGTCAACATGTGATTCTATTCATAAAGTCCTTATTCAACCGTATTGACGTACTAGAACGGCTGAAAGACCTGTGATGTAGGCCGTGGCGTTGGGGTTACTATGAGGAGTTTGATACCGAGAATGGTCTCTTGGCTAGCCGAAGATGATTCTGGAAGAAAAAATATCTAACTGGTTTCGCAAGGTCATTACCCAGCGTTGAAACGTCGTGCAAAATCAGACAATCTATGTTTCCAAAGAAAGAAGTGCAAATTATTTGTACCTGCCTTCCACAGACTAGTACCTTGATTGAGCACCAAGATGATTACAGTGCTAGCAACATAATACTTGCAAACCTGACGAAAGAGCCAAAGACCGAGCCTGTCAATTTAAATATTTGGATTCAATCAAAATCAATCAATGTATTGCTAAATCACGGCTGTAACCTCTAATGTCCGTTATTGTATCAGGGGAGAACATGTATTATTCATAGAATACACCTAGAAGGATACACGGCGCTAAGGTCGAATCGACACGGAAAGAACCTCGTTCTTAGCCACTACGGATATTATGCAGTAAAGGATTAAATCAATAATAGGGTCCTCAAGGGTACGCTTCAGGGTAGTCAATCATACTGCATCGTCGCCCTGTAAAGTTTCCCGATGTTGTTTGTAGCGAGTTCGGGGGGGTTGTGGGGGCATTGATTCGCTGTAAGGAGCACCCTGGAATGCAGTCTGTTGCGTGGCATAGGTACCACTACTTCGTCCACTAAACTGGCGTTTTTCCGAGGCTTCGTCTCTTCCTTGCCCCCAACCCGCCGCTCTTGTGAAGACAAGATGACGATAGTCTGTTCCATCTTCCGCAAAGTAATCGAACTGATCGCGCTTTTCAAGAGGTAGGTGATTGAATCTCCAATCCCATACGGCGGCATAAGATCCGCGGTAAGAGGCGAATGCAACGGCGGTACCAATCGCACTCCCCACCACAATGTCGTACCAGTTGTGAGCTTGATCGATGGTAAGGGAACAGGCGATAAGTAGAGCACCGAAAAGCGGCGCAAACGTCAGGGCTATCTTCCATAATGCAGGGCGGTAGTCGGCCCACACCTTTAGCTTGGCGTTCAGGTACAGGAAAAGGAAGACGAGGCCCGCAAAGGCAGCCGTAGAGTGCCCGGAAGGAAACGATGTCATGGCATTCTTCAGCATATCCTTGTCGGGCTGTGTGCAGACATCGACTGAGTACATGATTTGCCGAAACCCAACTGCGTTGAGTCCGGTAGTGTTGCTCGAGGCTGCACGCGATATATCAGGCATACAAACCTCGAGAAAATAGGGACGGAAACCGCCAATCAGTTGCTTGACGACGACCTGTATCAAGGAACCAAGGATTAAGGAGAAAAGAACACCAATGACAGCGTTGTTGAGGTCCCAAAAACTCCTAACACGGAATTGAGCCAGGAGCATGACCACAATGGGGACTAGGGCGGAGAGCAACCCGGACACCCATGTCTCGATGATCCAACCGCGATAAGGGTACGCGAACTGCGGGTAAACAATGTCGCCAGAGCCGTTGAATGTAATGGGGAAATTTCTTGTTGCAGCCACAGGAGCTTGGTAAATCTGTAGAAAGACAACTCGGTTAGTCTTGGCCTTGTCTCGGTTTCTTCTCAAGTATAGTCATGCTTGCAACATAGCTATAGGTAACTTACACCAAGGGCGGCACCGCCGAGGACTCCCATAGTCAGGATGTCAAACCAGGTGATGCGAAGCCATGCTAAGAAAAAATCCCAAAGGCTGCGGACCGAACGGACAGTATCTCGAGTGAAAGTGGGCTGGGCGCCGTCGCCTTGGACACGCTGCATAAACTGCGACATGGTGGGAGGTAGGTCGACCTCCGGCCTGGTCTCGGGTGATTAACACGGAGATCCCGGGGGCTATTCACGGCGAGTTGGCAGGGATAGAATTCCGAAGGGTTCGGGGTAAAATCCTAAGGGATACCGAAAGGGGGATATGGGGAGAATGCGACGTTAAAAAGATGGAAACGATGCGATGGAGTGAAGTTCGGGTCGGATGACATTTTTAAGAAAAATTGCGTTGCTGCCCAAAATGATCTGTGCAGCTGAAGAAAAACAAGAGGAAAGTGGTCGAATGGACGCTTTCCATCTCATGTTTCGACTTGTTGATGTCATAGCTGAGCAGTTGCGACCGCTTCATGAGACGCGGGAAGCCCGGCGTTTGTTGCTTGGCTCTCTTCTCCTATGTTCTAGGCCGGACGCTTCACAGCAATCGCTGTTTCTTTTGCACTGCCATAAAGCTGCGCTTGGGACGAAAAGACCAAAAAACAAAGCGTTAATGCCAGCGCAACGTCATTAACACGACAAGCCAAGCCACTCAGAAGGCATAAGCGCAGTGACTCCACAAGGTTCGGACGAGCACCTCCCACTTGTGATCCTCATTACTGCTTAAAGTACCTAGGCTAGGTAGATAGTTAGTGCATCCAGTTTGGCTCACTATAAGTAGATTTAGTTCAAGCATCCATACTGCACCAGATACGACCACGCTTTTTTTTTTTTCCGGCGATAATTCCTAGTGACCAATCTCAGCAATGGTAGGCGTCCCATTAATCACCACCACCAGCGAAAAGAATTTTATGTCGGTTGTTGTTACTAGTCCACCTTCAATTCTATCAACTCTGCCCTGTCTAACGCCCCATTAAATGCAAATCATACTCTACCTTACTTGATGGCATCAACGAAACATTCCCTGCATGCCCTTAATTTTAATCAATAGACTTTATTCACAGACATTCAAGATCTACCAATAAAGACATCTCCTTAGAAAGACTTTCTTGGCACTGAAGCAAGCATAGAGAGAAATGTGGTGGTTCAAGGCAGTCAAGTACCCTAGCTTTATGGGATTGAAAATAGCGAAACACTAACTGCATAAGGCACCCTCTGATGAAGATAATGCTTTCAGGCCGGCGTAACCTTCACTGCTTTTCCAATGCTCGTCTGAATCCCATTGTTGTATTCCGTCCCATCCACCAGTATCTTCTCCCCATTGCCGACTCGAAGCTTCAACTCTCCACCAATCCTCGGAGTAACTGTTGCGGACTTGAAAGCCCCGTTTTCCCATTCAATGTCGATGACAAAGTTTCCTTTCGCTACTAGACCCTTGGCGTTTCCATTCGGAATGGCTTCGGCAGGCAACGCAGGCAAGATGTGCACTACACCTGCATGACTCTGGAGTAGCATTTCTGTGATGCCACTGGTGAATCCAAAGTTACCGTCGATCTGGAACGTCGCCCCCTTGTCTGTGTTCCACAGGTTCGCAGTGGGGAAAGTAGCAAACCATCCTTTCACCTGCTCCCATGCGTCTGCACCGCGGAACGCTCTCGCATACATGTTGATCATCCAGGTACGGCTCCATCCAGTAGTTCCCGAGCCTGCGTCCCTGCGACGGTCTAGAAGAACCCCGGCTGCCTTTGCTAGAGTCTCGTTAACCAGCGGCGAGAACTGCTTTCCAGGATGCAGAGCATAAAGCGGGGAAATGTGCCTATGGCTCGCCGCTTTCTCCTTGTATTCATATCGCCACTCGAGAATCTGGCCCTTGGACCCGATTTGGGCTGGTTTAATCCAAGGTAAGAATTCCTTTGCTTTGGAGACATCGGCATCAGTGTCGGGGATGTCGAGTATGTCCGCTGCCTCGAGCAGAGCACTGAAGACATCATACATGAGCTGGTTGTCCATGGGAATGTCGACATCCATCGGCTCAGCGCGGCCGGCAACACTAAAGTTACTCGGGACGATGAACGTGTTCTCCGGCGAAAGCGAGGGGCCAGTGATTCTGTATCCCTCGTGCTCAAAGGTGTAACACTCATAGAACGTAGCCACGTCGATGAGGTAAGGGTATGCAACGTTGGCGAGAAACTCCTTGTCGCCTGTGTAATGATAATGATCGACCATGTGTTGAACAAGCCATGCCGCACCCATCGGCCACATTGTTGACGACGTGTAGTTATCAGTAGCGCCCGGGTCGCCCCAGAGGTCCAGGTTGTGGTGAAACACTGTCCCATCGCATCCGTACATGCGCTTCGCCATCTCTTTACCTCGCGGGTTGGCCACCTTCATCAGGTCAAACAAAGGCTCTTGAGTCTCGATAAGGTTTGTCGGGCCCGCAGACCAGTAGTTCATCTCAGTGTTGATATTGATGGTGTACTTGCCGCCCCATGCCGCCGTCGTCTTGTTGTTCCATATCCCCTGGAGGTTGGCAGGCATGTCAACGTCCGCTTCAGTGTTCCGTGACGCTCCGACAAGCATGTGGCGACCGAGGTTCCATGCCAGAGTTGACAACTCAATATCACTGATATCAGTACGAGCCTTGGCAACGCGCTCATCCGTGGGGAGAGAAGCAAGGCCATCAGGCGACTTGCCAAGATCCAGAGAGGCACGCTCTAAAAGACTCCTTGAATCTTCCAGCGCCTCATCTCTCAGATCAGTATATCCTTTGCCTACCGCCGCATCAAGTTTGCGATCAATTTCAGCCTCCCATTCATCTTGGGATGAGAACCGATAGTTCGTCTCAGCGTCAAACACGATGTCGATGGTCGTAGCTCCGGTGATGCTAAGCACGGAACCATCGGCTTTGAATTCCGCTGATTGCATGTTAGAAAGTGTATTGGATAACTGTTCTGGCCACTAACCTCCAGGAGCAACAAAGCGTGCTTGGCCTGTAAATAGGATTGGATTCTCATTGAGAGGTTGGCCGCTGGAACCCATCATCGTGATTGAGTTGACGCCGCCTGCAGTGGAAGCAACATTGACCAGTATGTTTGCAAGTCGGCTAAAGCTAGCCTTCAGGTTCAGAGAACCTTCTTCACTAGAGGTGAAACGTGCAGCAAGAACGCCTGCAGGGTAGCTTGCAATGAACTCTCGTCTGATTGCTTTTTTCTCAGCGCGTGTCTTGTGTAGCAAGATTGGGGGAAACTACTCACGAGTAATTGACACCATCGTATGTGTACGAAGAGCCGGTGTTTCCTTGCCTGGTATCTAACCATCTCACGTAGTCGGTCAATTCGCCAGAGTGTCCAAAGTCGAGATCTAGATTGCCAAAATATCCAAACTGGCGTTCGGATTTCTCAGCAGGGGTCATCTCTCTTAGTACAAGCTGGCCGCCTTCGGTTATTTTTCCGGCCAGGAACAACTCCCGAGCGATCGGCAGGGCCTCGAGTGCATTGGGTGGAGTGCGATCTTGAATAGGGCCGGACCAGATAGAGTTCTCGTTGATAGTGAGGGTCTCATTTGCACCACCCCACACCGTGCCTCCCAACCGACCATTTCCAATTGGAAGTGCTCCTTTCTCCCATTCTTGCGTTGGTGTTTTGTACCAGAGGAAACGACTACCATCAAGCGCAGCATTGGAGTTTGCTACGACTCCTAAGACGCCCGCAACAGTAAAGAAACGCCGCGCCATCACGATTTGAATTGACTTCGGAAGGGCATAAACAGATGTCGTCTCATCATCAGACTGGGGACTTAGCCTCGCTTTAATGACGGTTTTATACGCATGAGAGCCTCCAAGGTTTGATGCATTTTGATCTCAGGTATTAGGTCACGGCAGCCTTTTGGCCGTCGGATGAGGCCCATGACCTGGATGAACGACTGATCGACGCAGCGGGGAACGAAGCTATTGCGGAAAAACTCAAGTTGAGTGGGGAATGGTTCCTTTGCGCCCATATTTACGTCCTACTAAAGCGCAAAAGGCGTCATCATATTCGTGGAGAAACCGAAGAGATGCCCGTTTTATTGGCATCGTGTTTTTAATTGCCAATTGCCCGCCAGAGTTCAGAGTCCCCGCCGGTTAAATGCTACCTGGTGTCGATTCCCACCTAACTGAGAAAAAGTCGCCTGCGTGATGACTAACTACATGCTACGAAACTATAATAGAATTATGGCAAAGGTTGTTTTCGATTGGCCAGGAAGACCAAAATGGCTACAATTCTGCTCGTGCCATTGGCAAATAGACACCCAACCCCAGTTAGCACAATTTTCCGATATGCTTCCGACGGATATTTAACATTTGATCGTCCTCCAGATCTATACTTTGCCTCCCACATTCGTCAAAATAAGCTGAAATTGAGACCTTCCCATACCGGAAGACCACAAGTCTTTCAAAAATGTGTGAGGCTAATGATGCAGCTCCTCTATATTCAAACCCAAGCGTATCCCATCGAGGGTTGGCTTGCAGCAGTTACTTGGCGTGCCAAGGGTAAGACAAAAGTCTTGAGACTATGGCTATTCTTAAACAAAAATAGCATGTGGTTCAGTATTTGAAGAAAGTGGGGTCAAAGCACGAATGAGTTAGCTTTTGGTGTCAGTTAATACTCAACAAAACAATGGTTCAACCCTTACTATCGGTTTTCGCGTACCCTTTAAAGCCTTTCGACTCTCATCTCATCAACACCATTATCCCAACTTCTCACAAGAGACTTGAGAAATACAAACCTCGAGTCGTAGTAAGTTTGGCGAGTTGGGCATACAAAACTGAGTTATCGCAGTGTATGATGCCAGCCGGAATGAACACGTAGTTCCGGCTATTGTTATCCTTGTGTTGCCTCAAGCCCCACTAAAGCCTTGGTATGTCTGTCTATATTAAGAACAAGAACCATGCAGCTCTAGCTCCTGGTATAAGATATTACCTGATGTTTGCGCAATGCATGAAGCACTACTACTTGATTTTTTACCGTAAACTACTTTATGGCTTTGTCTTATCGCAAGGCCTTCTCAGAAAGATCATTTCTTAAGTCAGCATTATCACTATCATTGTTACAGAAGGGGGGCATCTACTGGCATATGGCCATAGAGAAGACGATGTTTTTACATGCGCCAACAACCAGCATCAGACCGTTCCTTATAAACGGTTTACGTCAGCTCTGGCAATGGAGCATCTTAGTCTACAGATATATTGACCTGCTATTGGGAAGAAATAGCAATAGGGGAAACATGGTATGCTGTTTGAGAAATTTTTAAGGCTAAGAACACTTTTTGCTTATCCATGTTGCAGTTTGTCCGTGATTATAAGACAAATACTTATTCTACATTCAATACGGGGTCCATTGCAGCATCAGGCCCCTGTGAAACCCTACTCACTCGCAAATCATTCCCCCTATTTCTAAACTCCATAAAACTTTGCAAACCTGACACCATTCAGCGCTGGTTCCCAGGGTTGACCTCGTATGTTGTTGTGACCATGATGCCACTATGCTGACCGCTAGACTTGCTCGTCAAGCTCCCGCCCTGGCCGCCACCACTCTCAGGCCAGTTAGCAGACTCTGATGACTTTACAATATGTTCCTCGCTCGAGTTGTTATCTAACTCCGTCATGTTATACTTGTTGTGCCTTCTCTTGGCTGGCAAAGAGCGGTCAGTGCTCTGGCCTCCTCCTCCAATTGTGACGAGCTGATGGCCGTATTTGTCACTTGAGCCAACGTACTTCATCCCTCCGCTACTGCTGCCCTTGCTCGAGCTTAGCCAGTGTGCCGAGGAAAACAGCGGTCTTATACAGGCTGCATTGACTGCTATGATGCCCACAAACTAGAGAACGCAAAAACTTTAGCATGTCGTGAAATAAACAGAAACTACGGGAGGCACTTGAAGCATCTTACCGTCTCTCGAATCGCCCAAATAGTACTGACGTTGATACCATCAATGTCTCTCAGTGAAAGTACGCAACGCAGTAAGGCGGCAATCATTATGAAGACACCGGAGCAAAGCAGTACACCGATGGCCAGTTTACGCTTCAAGCTTAGCTTGACAGTCCACAATAAAGGTAATGGAATCGAGACTATGCACATGTCCGTTCTTGAGGAGATTTCAGTTTCAGGCCTTGAGTTGATTAGCTTTGGAATAGAAACATCACTTACGTTACGTTTAAAACTACCAAACTCAAATAGTTGGGCACTGCCAATGTGCATTCATCTCCAGGGTATGGCACAACTTGCCAATTTCTGTGAACCGGAGTGCAGTGACCCCAAACTACAATAATGACGCCACAGTAGGCGATAACAGTAGCAATGGCTGTCCATTTAACAATTTTCTGTTGCCGTGTAGCTAGACTACACCATCGTGAGCAATTGATTGTGAACACCTCGAGGTTGAAGGCGGGTCATAACGCACGTGATGCGACTGAAAAAGAAAAGTATGCACGCCTTGAGGCACCAGATAAGTGTAACATAGAAATTCCAACCTGCCAGCAGGCACTTCGAGCCGAATTCGAATCTAGAGATTTCTTCAGGTGTCAGGGTGGCGCCTATTTCGTTCGTGATTCCGATATTGGTCCCGTTTTGGCCTGTGATTTCACACGTTAGGAAAAAGTCAAGCGATTTACTTAAAGACAAGGCGAATGGTTGGTTCACTTACCTATAAGCTCCAACATGCATAACTCCAACTTTGGATCGCAATAACAAATCAGTGTTTCCACTTCCTAGACAAAGATCCGATAGTGTGTACTTACTGTCCAGAAGCTCAAGCACAAGACTGCAAAGTAGTCGTCCCCTTGCCAGTTAAATCCAACGACTCTCCATCGTGCAAAGATTCGAAGGAGGAGTACAATAACCCCAAGGCCATATTCCGTCCATGCCTCAGTTTGGAAGGGTGTTGCCATCATAACGAGATGTACAAAAGAAATTAACGAGCGAAGAAACTAATCTAGCAAGCACCTCTGCATGTGCCCTAACTGCCTATACGTCTAACATGAGGCTGATGAAGACTTTTGGGGCGTCTCGGATTAAAAACTGCGTTTCTTAGTGACAACCGATATTCGCTTACGTACATCGGGCCTTCAACATCTAGACATGGCTTGAGTCCCCCTTCCCCTGTTTGTGATAGGCAGGGGATAGCACCCGGGATGACAAAAGTTTTCCGGCAAGTAATGTTGAGCTGAAGCTGATAAACCCTGCAGGCGAATACTACTAGATCGCCACCTTCTATTGTTACCTTGGAGGATGACGATGAGGCCCTAGTTCGAAAGTGCCCCTGCATGTAACAAGTCATTATTGTTTGATGATAAGAGGAGGCATTTGGTCCGCGACCTCTCGGAGCTGGCACATCTGCAGACAAAGACTTGGGGTTATTGTGAATTTACTCTAGCTGCACAGGAACTGAAAGTACGATGCTGCTTAATAGTGACATACAAGGCGCACAAATGCAAAAAACGAGTTACGCAAAAGCTGCGGATGCACCTTGCATATTCCCCAGCAGACATTGCAGAACACGTTTATGATATTACAAGGGCTGGACAAGTATTGTGAGGCTCGGTGGTAGGTCTAAACTTGAATGACACGTCTTGGTCCACATAATTAGATGACCGAGGAACAACAGTTGGGTGGTCCATCACTGTTGGTAATTCTTCAGTCACATCTCAGGTAGTCCAACAGTGGAATCTGCTCCCTCTGTGTCTTGGCTCCAACACAACGTAGTATTCAAAATGCCATTGATCCGCAGAACCGCCTCACGAATTTCTCAGGGCCCAATTGAACCAAGGCATTCCCCGAGGGTGTCTTTGCCAAGCGAACCGCAAGAAGAGGGGCTAGTCGGCAGGGGCTTGCGCTCTACACTACCTAATCTGGCCACGTATGATACGTTATGTAAGTCCATGCATGAAGATAATTCTTTCGCAAGGCAGCGGGTCAATGGACCATCAGGTGGGTTAGCTGTTGGCAATATCAAATTTGAACGTAATCTCATCCAGCCATTGAAAGCATGGGCCCTTGATGGCAGGCTCTTCAACGCTCAAGTCCTTGAATAGTTGGAGACGGCCCACATGTCGTCTCACCGGCCAAAGGGAGTGCTTAATCTAAATTTGAAGTGATGTGGGCGCTACTCCTTCCCGTCCGTCCGGCCCCATATTCCGGTTTTCACTGTCTTTTTTTTTTACGAAATTTCCCACGGGGGATTTAGAAGGACTAGAAAGACCCTGGAACTCGAGTTCGTTGGACGCCAAAAATCAGAGACTTCTCCACAGATTCAAATGCAGCCAACCCTGGACATGAAGCAGGTTCTGAGATCGCGATAGCTTGAGACAGATTTAAGCTGCTCTATAATGTCGGAAAAAAATTGATTTGATACTTCTCAATCATGTCAATATTCAACGCGGCATATAGGATGAAGGTCTTCGAATGGTTCGACAAAACTGCCCAGCTTAAAGCACCTTGCATTGCCGAAACATTCCGTGGCCCCATCCCAAGGTGTGCGCGGTTTTGGGAAGCTTGGTGTGCTCATCTTTACTGAAAGAAGAAGGAGGTAACAGTTGGGCGATTTACGTGCCACTCACTGCCGAACAAGACTATCAACAACACGCGCCTGGGGGGGGGGAGGCGTTTTCTGTTTCGTTTGTTCCAGACCAGGTGTTGTTTTCACTAGCTTCCAAACGCGGGAGACTTTGTGCGCCATAGGAACTATTCGTATGATTCTCACTCACCAGTGATGGCCATCATTGGTCTCCGACGTCTCAGTTATGATGATCTTCACTCCCTACTTCACCGCACGCGGCGACAACAACCGAAATGACCCATCCATTTCTGTTAATGGAACGTCGTTAGTGCTGGCCAGAAAACCCCAGTCAGTTCAGGATAGGCTTAAAGCATGCATACTTAGTAGGGGATCTGCCCGCTGCTCTCCCCTATTGCTGTCGAATTTGTGTGGATGTTCTGTGATATGCACAGCGGGTCGCTGAAAACTTCCAACCCTGGCACCAACAGTCTTACTGTTTTGCATGTGCGGGGACCCCGTACATCGGTGCAGCCGGGATGGAGAGGGCTTAGTCGGACCCTGCATGCCGCGATAGCCACCGATATCACCCGGAAGTGAATCCGGCGCCTTTCCTTTCGCAGAAGGCCAACGCTTGGGTACATATCTGCCTTTTTCATGCATGTAAGGGATTTCTCACCCCTTGTAAAAGAACGAGACTCGTGTATCCTGGACCAGGCTACCGTAGGTGGCCTGCAAGAGACAGGTGTCACAGTTCGGACAGCCATTTGAAGGCCGTGAGTTGAGATTGCATACAAAAATGCCGACCCAAGCCGCTCAGTGTGACCTACCTGCCGCTTCTTTCTTTTGTTGTCAAAGCTTCCCGCAAGAAGTTCACCCTAACCTGCTAGCTTGACACAAGCATATAACATGGGTTCTATTCCTCAAGACATTGTCTATGACTTCGTCATTTGTGGGTGAGTGCTTCACATCACACCATACTTAACTGGCAAGAGACCCTTGGCGGCTAACAAGTTCCATTTTCCTTCTAGCGGCGGCACATCTGGATGTGTAGTAGCCAGCCGTCTTGCAGAAGATTCCGATGTGAGTGTCCTCGTCATCGAGGCAGGCCAGCACAACAAGGATCTCGAGAATGTCCACATGACTGGAGGGTAAGTAGTCGATTGCGATGATACTACATACCTTACTACGAGAACCTGCTGACATACAAATTTCTTGACTAGTTGGTCTCAACTTTTTGATAAAGAGACAGATTGGAATGTGATCAGCGAAGCAAAGCCTGCTGTAAATAACAGGCAGGTTAAACTTAGTCGTGGCAAGTTCCTTGGCGGCTGCTCTGGATGTAATGGAACCCTCTGTATCCGTGGCGCCAAGCAGGACTACGATGATTGGGGTGTTGAAGGTTGGAGTGGCGAGGACTTTTTCAGATACATTCGCAAGGTAAGGCATCTCATGGACATTTTATTCTTAACAGAACTCACTAAAACTGCCATCCAGGCTGAGAACTTCCATGGAAAGGACTGGTTCAAGGCGTCCAATGACCATGGCACCGATGGTCACTTAGACATTGAGCCCCACGACCTGGCGCCCATATCCAATCTGATCATGGACTCCATGGTGGATAAGGGACTCCCTCTTGACCATGACATGTTCACTCATGGCGAAAACCCTCATGGGTGCGGCCACGCACCCAGAACGGTTTATAAGGGCTCGCGTACCACAGCCGCTAACTTCGTCACCAATCACAACACAAGAGATAACCTTCATCTTTTGACGGAGACACACGTCGACAAGGTGATCATAGAGAATTCTGATGGTGAGCTAAAAGCTGTCGGCGTCCAAGCAGTCAAGGCCGACGGTTCCATCGTCACCATTAGGGCTCGCAAGGAAGTTATCGTCAGCGGCGGTGCCTATTGCAGTCCGAACATCCTGAACCGCTCTGGTATTGGTGCCAGGGACGAACTGGAAAAGTTCGGTATCGAGACTCTCGTTGACTTGCCTGGTGTTGGAAAGAATCTGATGGATCATCTTGTAAGTGTTTCTCGCTCTGAAAGGGGGCTGTATTTATTGACAGAAGCATATAGATTGTTTTCATGTTTTATGAAACTGAAAGGGAGGGTCTGACTAACGACCACCACGTCTACCATGGTGATAACTTCGCCAAGACATACGCTTTGTGGAAGGATCATAAGGCGGGTTTTCTTTCGACCTTCCCTTTCGGCGCCTTTGCCTACGCCCGTTTAGACGAGCGCCTCAAAGATTCCGACCTCTGGAAGAACGCCCCGCGCAGCGAGGGACGTGACCCTATGGGGCTTACTCCCAAACAGCCCAACATTGAGTTCTTTACAACCGAGTGTTATGGCGGGCCTAAGCAATTTGACAAATTTCCTACCGATGGAAAACATGCTTTCAGCATGATTGCCGAGCTTTTTGCCCCGAAATCACGCGGTACAGTCACGCTTCGTAGTACTGATGCTACTGCTGTCCCTGTTGTTGACACGAACTATCTTGCCGATCCCCTCGATGTGGAGGTCCTCGCCGAGGCTTGCCGATTCGGCAACGAAATCATTATGGAAGGTAGCGGCACCAAGGACATTGTGAAGGGTTCGTGGCCTAGTGACCTTGTACATCACAAGTACAAAACTCGGGAGGAATGGATCCCTTACGTCAAAGACAATGCAACAACTTGTAAGTCTTGCTTATTCTTGTGGGTTCAGCGAACAATTACTAACGTCAAATGTTAGGTTACCACGCCGCTGGTACATGCGCCATGGGAAACACAAATGATCCCAAGGCTGTTGTTGATGCGACGCTGACTGTGAAGGGCGTGAAGGGACTGCGAGTTGCTGACTGTAGCATCATGCCGATTCTCAACGGCGGTCACACCCAAATGCCTGCATATGGCATTGGCGAGAAGGCTGCTGATCTCATTAAGCAGACGTGGAAGCTTAAGTGATGCTCAGTTTAGATGGTAGACTAGTAATGCATGCTATTTACCGTGCCGCATTATCCGAGTCAACATATAAGTTTTCATTAAGTACATTGCGAAAACAAGGTTGGTGTCAAGTTATTGGAAAAGCAAATAAATCATGATATGCTACCCCGCAAAAGAGTGCATGCTCAAGTTGAAATAAGCAGGGCTTTTACACTAAATTCAAACGTAAATAGAGCTGGCGAATTATGATCTCCCCTGTGGTCCACACGTGCTTGTGTGTCGCGAACTATCGATGCATGTCGGCTTATCTCGCCACATCCAGATTTCAGCTCGGCTAACCATTCTAGCTGCCTAAAACGATGTGCAGATTTTGTTTGATAAAATGAATCACATTGTGTTACACAACTAGTCTCGAAGTGCTGAGATTCTTGTCCACTTGATACAGAGGAACACATGCTTAAAATCGAACTCAAGAGAAATGGGCATCCGTATGTCACGTCATATTGATGACAGTTGCAGAATCTGCAAACTTGTCAACGGGTTTGTTTTCGAAACAAAGCATTTCACCATGTCCGATATCAAAGACAGCGCTTTGACTGGCTGTCCAACCGCCAAAGTATTCATGCTAGCCATAACAAAAGCTCATCAATCTCCAACTGTTGATGGAGAAGAGCTGGGTTATCGGGTCTCGGCGGGAGACAACTGCCCTGTGAGGATTGGATCCATCGAATTACTCAGCAGCATTGAAATACCGAAAGGACTGAAAATCGGACACCTTCCTTCAATCTCAGAATTTCCAGGCTCAGAATGCTGCCTTGATCGGGTTACAGCCTGGGTACAGCACTGTAACGAAAAACATAGAGACACAGAGTGCTTACCAAGCCAATCGCCTCGCCTTCCTCACAGAGTTCTCAAAATAGGTAGTTCCAATAACGACATATCACTTCTGGAAACAGATGGTGAAGAAGGACTTTACGTCGCACTCAGTCATCGTTGGGGAAATCAAAAGTCATGCATCACAACTAAGGTGAATTTAGAAGAAAGAAAGGAGTAAGATGGAGCGAGCTTCCAAAGACCTTCCAAGACGCCGTCATGGTATCTCGAAGTCTGGGCGTTCAATACCTCTGGATAGACTCTTTATGCATTATTCAAGGAGATGAGGAAGATTGGCAGTTAGAATCAGCAAAAATGGCCAGCCTTTACCAAGACTCGTACCTCACCATTGCAGCAGCCGTTGCATGGGGCGACGAAGAAGGCTTTTTAAAAACACGGCCAGCGCAATATCTTTCCCAAGATGTTACCATGGGTATCATGGCCCGACAGCAAATAGACCACGTCAGCTATACTGGTAAAGAGCCGATCTGGCTACGAGCATGGTGTTTTCAGGAGCGCCTAGTACCTCGACGCGTTTTGACATTCCGAGATACGGAAGTAACTTTTGAGTGTCGATCAGCTCATTGGTGCGAATGCGGTCGCAATGAAAGTTACGCCCAATGTCCTGATAGGATACAATATGAGCGCAAGATTCTGGACTTCTCAGCAAATGTTGCCAATCAGATAGAGTACTGGTATACCAATCTTATCAGAGAATACACTCAAATGTCTCTCAGCTTCGAACGAGATCGACTTCCAGCCATATCAGCAATGGCTGCACAGGTTCTTGCTCACAAAGAAGACCGGTGTATATCAGGCGTTTGGGAGAGTCACACGCTTCTGGGCCTTTTATGGCGGTGCTTTGGAAGTGTTCGTCTTGATAGAACTGGTACGCAGAAGATATTCTTTCCTTTGGCAAAGATTGCAACCGAGGTTCAAGCGCCGTCATGGAGCTGGGCGTCCGTCGAGGGCCCCATTAATTACAGTTTAATACGCAGCGTCCGCAACATTTCTTTCGACGCCGAAATCGTGGTTTTGGACTATCCAAAGTTATTTAACAACACCTACTGGATCATGAGCCCAACCTGCAGTCTCACACTTCGAGGGCGAGTGATGGACATTGCCGTAGAGGTACCTGGCCAGCTTCTTCTACGCGGGTCTCCGATCGCCAGCCATCCGCATTGCAGCTTTTTACTGAACCCTCCTACAATTCAGTCAGACTTGGCAATCCCTAAATACGATATTTTCTATCAGGGTCATGGTCCTATTCAACCCCATTGCGATACTTGCAGTCTTATTCATGAAACTGTTGTTTTCTGGCCCGACACACAATTGTCACCGGAGCAAGATCGGACTGGGAAGTACTACTTACAAAAGTGCATCTGGCCTGTGGAAAGACCCAAGCCGGCCATGATTCAGACGCAGTGTCTTCTGTTATATAACCGGCCAGGAATATGTTGGGGCGGGCTAATGTTGCAGAAATCTCAACAATGTGAGGAAGCATATGAACGCTTGGGCTTCGTGGAATTTTATTCGACACATCCATTGTTCGAACAGTTGGAGGAACTTCCATATGATGTACTAAAACTGCTTTAACGTTCTTGAATGCATGTCATCATGACTAGATCGGGCTTTTTTTGGAGATAGAGCTGGTGGAGCTCATGCGATCTAATTGGTAATTTGATGACCTGGATCAACAAGAGACGAAAGGCTAGTATTCTAAATACTATTCCAAGTCCTTAGTATTATTTCATTTTACTTTCCCTTTTACACAAGTATCTTTGTTGGCTCAAGTATCTACTCCCTCTTGAAAACTGGCATCCAGTCCAAAGGCGCTTCCACATCGATCCATTGACCACCCTCATACGAGTCATCCTTGCCCTCCTGTAGAGACTTCCACTTGCCGCCATCAATCTTCGGCAAGTAAACCTTGATGTTCCTCTGCTCAGGCTCCAATACTGGACACACCAGGTACTTCTCGCCATACATGTACTGCTGGCCGATGCTCCAAGTTTCCTTGTCGTTGGGGAACTCGTAGAACAACGTCCGCATAACTGGGGTTCCCTTTTCGTGAGCTACCTTCATCAGCGATCGAGTGTAGTCTCTCAGCTCCTCACGGAGGAACATGTATTTCTTGCAAATCTCGTAGACCTCTGGGCCGTATGACCAGACCTCGTTCGGCGCGCCACTTCGGCACGTCGCACCGCCAGTTGTGCCGTGCTGAGGCTGCTCAGGCTCACGGCAACCGTGAAGTCTGAATACGGGGCAGAATGCACCCCACTGGAACCATCGAACAAAGAGTTCACGGAACTTCTCGTCGTCGGGGTTACCACCGTGGAATCCTCCAATATCCGTGGTCCACCATGGGAAACCAGAAAGACCCATGTGGAGGCCGGCAGCAACTTGGTTCCGAAGACTGCCCCAAGAAGAGGCAATGTCTCCGCTCCACACGAGGGCACCGTACTTCTGACTTCCGGCCCAAGCACAGCGGATGAGATTGACAATGTTCTCTTGTCCCTCAGCTTCCATGCCCTCATAAAAGGCACGGGCGTACTCCACAGGGTAAATGTTACCAACAGAGACGTTGGATCCTAAGTGGTAGCGATACAACTCGAAGTCATAAATCGTGTATTCGGGCTCTGCTTCGTCGAGCCAAAAAACGCGAATGCCCTTATCGTAGTAGTTCTTCTTTGCCTTCTTCCATACGTAGTCCCTGGCTTCGGGATTCGTGGTGTCAAAGTGCGTCGTATCACCCTGGAAGTTCATGCCGATCCGGATACCTCTGTCATGCTGGATGAGGTAGCCCTTCTCAACCATCTCCTTCCAATTCTCAGACTTTTGATCAACCGTGGGCCAGATGGAAACCATCAGCTCGATCTTCAGTTCCTGCAACTCCTTGATCATAGCCTCAGGATCAGGCCAGTAGGTAGGATCAAATTTCCACTCTCCTTGCAAAGGCCAATGGAAAAAGTCGATAACAATAAGATCAATGGGGAGTTCGCGTCGTCTGTATTCACGTGCAACTTCAAGAAGTTCCTCTTGTGTCTGGTATCGCAGTTTACACTGCCAGAATCCGAGACCGTATTCAGGCATCATGGGAACCTTGCCGGTAGCGTCTGCGTATGCTTCGACAATCTCGGCAGGGGAGTCACCGGCCACGATCCAGTAGTCCAGAGCTTTTGTAGCCTTTGCCTCGAAGCTCATGATGTTTCTTCCAAGCATAGCCCGGCCAATTGAGGGGTTGTTCCAGAGGAATCCATATCCGAGTGATGAAACGGCAAAGGGAACACTGGCTTGGGAGTTCCGATGGGCGAGTTCAAGGTCATGTCCCTTGAGATCCAGGAAAGGTTGCTGATATTGGCCCATGCCATAGATCTTTTCGTCAGGGTTGACGCTCTCGAATCTGGCCGTAAGGTGGTAGTCATTGCTGTTAAGAATGGCTAGAAACTCGCGAGCCTCAACATCAAGGGCACTGCACTTCGGATCCAAGACATCACGGCGGTGACGCGAATATTCCTCGAGCAAGAGTTCGCCTTTGCTGTTCCATACCAACAGCTTACCGCCACGGGTGATGGAGGCTTTAATCTTGCCGTTGGTGATGGTGCCGGCCTCGTCGTCAATAGTGATCTTTACGTCGGCCTTCTTTGGTTCAAGAAGAGCCCAGTCCTCCGTAGGCATTTCACGAGCCTTGGTGGCTCGCACACGGAATGCATTGGGACCCCATGGCTCTATCCAGAGCTTCTCGGCGTCGTAGGTGAAGACGAGCTTGTCGTCTTTTTCGTAGATGGGCATATTGGCGTGAGGTCGAATTAAAAGGTGTAGAGACCCCAAAACTCAATGAGGAACCAAGAGCAAAAAATGAAGGCTGCGATCCAAATGCCTTGTAGGAACAACGCTGACGATAAAGACACCGTTGTGAGGGGTAGTTGGTGGTAAATCGTGAGGCGCCTTCTACTCTTGTACTACGTCCGCAGGTAGTCGGCACGTACCGCGAATACCCTGTGGTCTGGGTGCGGAGTTCTCCTGTTGCTAGACCGATGGACGGAGATCGCAGGCCACGACGATGCCACGAAAAAAGGCAGATGACATGACATTGTTCAGAATTGACCACTTGGATGCCTTGAAAGCCGCCGTGCCCACAATCGGCGGTGTTAATGCCCCGCATCTGCCGAGCGAATGATACGAATTGAGGGGGAATTTGGGGGAGATTCAGGAGTGATCCATGTTGTCCAGGGGTCCCACCCCCGCGGACGCGGACTTGGGAAGACCTGTGCGACACCTCAACTTTACATCAAAGGATTTTGCCTGAATTACACGCCGCCTGGCGGAGAGTTTCACCTGTTCCTAGTGGAGCTGAGGAGCTATTGATACCGATTTTATATATTTCCGGATGCTTATTACTGCTGTTTCGGTCAACGTCGATGAGTAAGCCTTATACTGTTACGGTTTAGGTCATACCAGTCCCCAATCTTTCAGGATCCAATAACGCCGCGGTTGTTCCAAAACTGTGGTTAATATTCTGTACACTGTCAAAGATTAACCTGATATCAAAAAATCATTCAAATCCATCCCCAATAGCATTCATCTAGGACCCCATTAAAAGTTTTTCGTTTGTTGTTATATTGTCAGGTTATTGAGGCCCTGTATCAGTCCACTTCTCCACAGCAAATCAATCATCCATCACGGGTTGTGGTGTTGCCTGTAATGTCTTGGTACCTCTTAGTGAGCTTTAATATCCGTACCTATCTTCTCTTAAAGCAGCTCATGTTAGCAGAAACCTGAAATGGGCATAAGCCAGTGCCTTTGAAAGGAAGTTGACCTGAATGCTTTTCAGAAGCAAGTGTTGTATGTAATATTGTAGAGCAATCTCATGGGTTACTGATTTACCATTTGACGTCACCTTGCTCCTACGCTCCAATGTGGCAGCAAGTTTGCAGTGCAACATAGTTCAAGGTTACTTCACCTGGAGACGTGAGTGATGAACCTGCCAAATACAGAAACATAGAGCAAGACGAAATATCATATTCAAAACGCTGAACCTTGGAATCACCGTGATGTATATCCTCCATCAACCATAAGTGCTGAGCCGGTAACAAACGAGCTTCGACCGCCTGCGAGGTACAAAACTCCGTCCGCAATCTCCTTCGCATTGCCCATCCGCTGCATCGGCACCGCACTTGCCACCCTCTCTTCCATCGCTTTCAACACCTGCGGGTTCTTCGTCGTCATAGGTGTTTCTGTGTACCCAGGACAGATAGCATTGATGCGTAGTCCATCCTGAGCATAATCCTCAGATGCCGTGCGAGTAAGCCCAATAACTGCATGTTTTGTCGTTGTGTATGCTGTGGACAAGGTGATACCAACCACGCCCTGAATTGAACCAAAGTTGACGATGGAACCACGCTGCAGAGGCCGACCGTCTAAGCTAGACAGTATCCGCTCCTGTTTCAGCATGATCTGCGCAGCCGCTCTCAGTACGTAAAATGTGCCGTTGATGTTGACATCCAAGATGCGTTGCCAATCATTCGTTGCAGCGAAGGCGGCTCCCCCTTCATGTTTCATAGCTATTCCGGCGGCGTTCACGACGTAATCCAGTCTGCCGAACTTCTTGGCTGCATCGCTTACGACGCGATTGACCTCTGCTTCATCGGTAATGTTGATAGGATATACGAGCAAGTCAATTCGTCGGTCGCGCACGTCCCCATTTGTCTGTTTCTTGTTGATTTGAGCTTCGATCTCGTCCTTAACGATGTTCAGAGCTTCTGCATTGAGATCCAGTAAAGCAATACCAGCGGAACCTTCTTGAGCGAAAGCGTTGGCACATGCTCTACCAATGCCTGAAGCTGCTCCTGTGATCAAAGCAAAACCGGGGACGTCCATTGTGGTCTTTGGTATTAGATAATTGAGATTCGACAACAGTGGCAAATAAAGCGGCGGAAGCAAGTAGTACACATTCTGGGTGCTGTGTGAACTAGTTCTATTGAGGATACATTCCCACGGTCTATGAAGCATTAAATAAATACCTGGTGATCACAATGCTGCACTTGAGATGCTCTTACAAGAGAACACTAGCTGGGATAACTTTCCGTTGGGGTTATTCTCAGCTTGGGAAGGACTTTCCTGATTCGATTTAAGCCACACATGGACTTGCGTCAGGCCGTCCCCTCCCCGCAGTGGTATTTTGCAGGGGGGTTGACCGTCATCCCATCTCCACTAACTAGGACACATCTGTTCTAACCAGGCTTATCGGCAAGTCTAAATCACTGTCACATGGTGGATGGAGCAGCCTCTCAGGTAGTATCTTCCTGGAGGCTTCTCAAGCAAGAAAATACGTATCAAGTCCGATAACTATCAAGTAAGGACAGTAGATGTGTGTCATTAGACTGTTGCGGGTTGTTTTGGCGATGAGAAAAACCCCACAAAGCGAAGTCGGGGGATTTCATCCCCTTCCCCGTGGAAAATTGGTCATATGGAATCTCCGATGATGTTGCATCCTGGACCTATGTTAACACCATTAGATAAACTTATGTGCTTGTTATCGCAAAATGATACCACCGACCGCATTACAATCAGTTACGCATCTCCAGTTTATATGCATTCTGCCTCAACATTCGTTAAACCTTTTTTGCTGATTGGCATCTTTGGTGCTTTCTACATGGCACATATTTGGAGGAACTTGGACGGCTTCTTTGCGTTGACCACCACCTGGCTTTCGATAGGATTCCTCACAACTACAACTTGGCGAAACTGAAATCATACTTTGTTTAAAAAAGATCAATTGTAGTTCGATGTTCTCAAGCAAGTAGCAGCCCCTTGTACCCGGATTCTTTCACTTCTCTGCATCGTCTCTGGTATTCCTGCGCAGGACCTCCATATCTGACAACACTCCGAACGGCTTTGCCCTTGATGTTGGTGTTAACACCAGTCATCCAACTATCAACTTCATTGACTAATGAACCCTTACTGCAGTCAAAAACGTGCTCTGTCCACTCATCTGCAGCCTCCTCTGTCGCTTCCGCATATGTATATCCATTCTTCCTGCAGTGCTGCAACAAGTCTACAACAACCTGCACGGCGTGCTCAATGTTACGTGTAGCATTGCCAAAAGGCTGGTGTGGACCCAAGACCATAAACATGTTTGGCATGTACGGAACCGTCATGCCAAGGAAGGTATAGGGTCGATTGTCAACCCAGACCGCACGATCGCCTTTGGGGGTCCCGCTGGGTGCAATTAGGGGGCGGCCATCTTTACCTTGCCACTCGATGGCACTGAATGACCCTGTAATAGCATCAAAACCTGTAGCATAAATGAGAATGTCGAGTTCATGCTCCTTTCCGTCCGATGTTATGATGCCTTTAGATGTAACTTCGGAAACGGGCGTCTTCTTCAGGTCGACGAGGTGAACATTAGGCTGATTGAAAGCCTCAAAGTAGCCGCTCTCAAGCGGGACGCGACGGGTCCCGAAACCATGCGTCTTGGGGATTAGAGAGTCTGCAACATCGGGATCATTGACTCTCTGACGGATCTTGTCTGCAATAAACTTTGAATACAGCTCGTTGGCGTGGCGGTCGGTGTAAGCGTCGCTAAACACTCCCTGCCATTTACCGAAACCTGGCTCTTCGTAAAGCTTCTCCCAGAGTGCAATACGTTCCTCTTCTGAGACTTCGAGGGTTTTTCGGGGATCAGCCTTGTGCATGAATCCAGAGGGCGTCGAGCGGCAAATTTCAAAAATCTTATCATAATCGTTCTTCAAGTCTTCCATTACCTCTGTCGAGATGTTATAGTTGCGAAGAGGCACAGTCCAAGTCGCTGTCCGCTGGAATACACTGAGCGACTTTACACTTGGCTCTTTGGACAAGGCAGTAATAATCTGAATTCCAGTGGCTCCGGTCCCTATGACGCCGATGCGCTTTCCGGCAAAATCCCGGCTTACGTCGAGATTCTCCGGCCATCTTGAAGTATGGAAAGATTTGCCTTTGAAATTTTCAATGCCGGGAATAGCAGGCAGGGATGGCGTTGAAAGGAACCCGATACAGCTCAAGAAAAAGGTGGTCTCGTATTGATTGCCGTCCTGGTCGGTAAATGTCCAGGTACGGTCTTTGTCATTCCAGTGCCCAGACTTGATAGTTGTGTTGAATTGAATATGCTTGTATAAATCGTTCTTCTGCGCGAAACGGCGAATGTACTTTTGCGTCTCTGCTTGGGGCGAGAAAGCCTCCTTCCAGTGCCATTCTTTCAAGAGATCTTTATCAAAAGAGTAACCATAGGAAACGGACTCGCAATCAAATCGGCAATCGGGGTAACGGTTCCAAAACCAGGTACCACCAACGTCTGAGCCGTTATCAAGGACTTGGACGCGGCAGTCGGGCATCTGTTTGCGGATATGATGAAGGCTTGCAAGGCCAGAAAGTCCGGAACCAATGATGAGGATATCAAAGACCTTTTTGTTTGGTGTCGGAATAGATCCCATTGTTGGCGTAGCAATGTGTAGGTTACTGTGGAGATGGCAAAACTAGGTGTAATTAAAGCGTTGCTTGAGTCACGATTGAGTTGACTCAGTCTTTATGTGAAGAATCGAGGTCATCTAAATAAATAAGCACCATAATGACATGATATGAATCATAAGAGCAGAAGCTCGTGCAATTATTCTGCCGCCAAAAAGGTCTCTGCCCAACTTTCCTGTCACGACATTCCGATTGTCCGCCTCAGATCACCCATGGCGAGTGGGGCCAAAATCCAAGAGACTATCAAGTCCGGGGGATAACTTTCCAATCTTGGAATTGGCAGACAGTGATAGGAAAGTCGCGCCAGTGGTGTCCATCCCCCGCATTCCCCGCTCCACTTAGCGCACTATAATCCGATGTAGAAAGGCTTCCCTGTTCCAAACCCCAGTCAAACTACTTTATCTTTATCTGATATTGGGACATTAACAGACCGCAAGCTCTATTGTTGTGCCACTGTAGATCTCATTGTTACTAGTTTTCTGTTTTTTTTTTTTTCTTTTTTCTTTGAAAAGACTTCTGGTTTAATAGCTACAATCACAAGTCGTTGTATGCCAGCATACCTAACTTGGCTCGGCATGTGTCAACGCCGAGATGGTATTTATTACGAGGACAACAAAATGAGCTCAGTTACGTTCCACAACAATTATCAAATGTGTAATTCAGACACTTAGTAGCCTGACTGATCTTTATTGAACTACAGGAAGAGGCACTAGTCTGGGCGATCACAGTTGATGAGACCTCGGCGGCATTGCTTACTAAATACCTAGCTACAAAATTTAACGTTGGACATCAATTGAACTTGTTCACTCCCAAATGAGTGAGAGCTTGCGCCACCAATTCTTGCTTTGATGGCCTACTTTGCTGGCTTCTTCCGTGTTAGTCCACCACTCAGCTTCAGCCTCAACCTCCCTCAGGTCAGAAGTCAAGTCTACATCCTCAGGTGCGTGGACCCATGGGTCGTTTCGTCCCGCGATGACCTTGTGGCCCAAGAAGATTACCAAGAAAAATGGAATTCCAATGTACGCTGTGAGGAAGCTGGACACAGAGAATCGTCCCGGATAAAACACGGTAAATCCGTTAGCAAAGAGAAGGAAAGCAAAGCAAACCATCGATATCCACGCTCCATATGGTTGGCACCAAGATCGATAAGGGGGTTTGATATCTTGGACATCACACGCTTTGCGAAAGCGCAGGAATATGAATGCGCAAAGTATCCAGGAGGTATAGCCAGCAGTATTGGTTAGACTGACGAACCAGTTGAAAACGACGCCGGCGTCCGATGACACGCTCAAGTATGCTAAAACAGTGAAGCAACTCGAGGCAAGTACGGCATAGGTGGGCAGGCCGTAGCTGTTGCAGCGAGCAAATATTCGAGGAGCATTACCCGCAACTGCGAGGGAATACAGTGACCGGCTCGACATGTACAGATACGAGTTACCGGCTGACCAGGCGCTTGTCAGGATTCCGGCATTGACGACAGAGGGCAGTCCACTGATACCGGCATTTTTGATGGCAACAACCCAAGGCGATGCATCTGCGTTGCCGGCGCCAGATGTAAGTGCCTCTGCATTCGAACTGCAGATCGCTCCGATAGCCAACGAACCCAAAAGGTAGAAGATGATGAGGCGGTAGAAGAAACGTCGGCTTGCAATCGGAAGGTTTTTGCGAGGGTTTCTCATTTCGCCGCCGGTAATAATAATCAGTTCTGGGCTGAAGTAGAACGAAAACCCAGAAAACACCCAACAGTACAGCAGTGCAGTAAATCTGCCTCCAGGGCCGGCCACAAGGTATTCCTTTGTTGCGCCTGGGTCTACCCAAAAGTAAAAACCCAGACGTTGCCCATTGGGGCCACCTCCAAGGATGAGGACAAGAGACATTATAAGCAAGCCGATAAATAAGATGATCTTTAGACTTGCAAACCAAAACTCTGTCTCTGCGTATACGCCCACGGGAGAGAAGTTGAGAGCCACTATGACGATGATGAGAATTGTTAACCACAACGAGACATGGATGTTGTTAGGCCAGTAGTTGATGATGATTGATCCGACTACAATTTCGTACGCGAGTATGATGCCGAAAGAGTAAAAGTAAAGCCAGCCAAGGGCAAATCCGAGAGATCGCGAGGTGTATCTGGCACAATAGTAGGACATGGAACTACCCGAGACGGGAAGATATGTCCCTACTTCCATGACCGCTGTGACAATACCGTATACGAGGATGGACGTCAAGGCATAAGAGATGAACAGAAATGCAGGGCCTCCAACTGCGAGGACCTGACCAGAACCCACGAAGAGTCCAGTCCCGATGCTGCCACCAATAGCAATCATTTGGGCATGTCGTGATTTGACGTTTCGTTTGGTCCCACCTTGACTGACAAGATGTGACTCTCCAAAGGTATTACTTTCGAGCCGACAGAGACCATCGTCTTGAGTCTTTTGGTCGTTGGCGAGATCCATGGCATTTGACTCCTTTGGGAAGGGTGACTTGTCGTTAATTGAAGCCATGGCGGTAGGAGGATAATGAAAATCACTGATCCATTATATCTTACAGAAGACTAAACATTGGGTGGGAAGTTAAGATCTTTTAAATTATCCAATGCTACAAATGTACCTTTTACACGGGCAAACTCCTTGTCATTTATTCCCAAGCTGCACTAGCTTATCTACCGCTACGTCTACTTCAAACCAGCTTGACGATAACCATTCCGTCCGCCCCCAATGCTATGTAGCTGCTTGAATACTCTTTAGTGCCCTGTTAGTTTCTGCAGATTTTCTTTGAATGCTTCTCACATTGATAAGCGTAGTTGACCATGTGCCCTGCCATCTGGAGCGGGGGTCAAAGATAGGAAAGCTTCCCCAGTGCCAAGCCCGAACATGTACCCCAGGTTAATTCTGGGGCCGGGCCGGGCTCTTTCCCCGCTCTTATCTCCCCCACTCAGACAGATGTGATGCATTATCTGTACCCTCGTCTCTCTTCTCATCTTCTTCCCCAATAGAATGGCCTTGTTTGGAAGACATTTAACAACTCAGCCTCCTGATATAACTTTCCATGTTTGAATCGATTTGATGACTTGTTGCAGCTACTTTCTACTTTCCAAATTACCATCTTTGTGCTCAAGGCAGCAAGCGAGCCCTGTGGAAGAATTGCTCGTTTCGACGAAGCATGGGTAGGCAAAACCACTCATTGCAGCTTATCAACATGGATGCGCGCCGAAATCGGTCCTTCGGTGGATGCGGTACGGTATGTGGTGCTGCACTGCTCATTAGACCCCCTGGGCAACATTTGGCAAAGCTGACCAAGTACAGTGTCGGAACCGCCGTATGAAGTGTGATGAGGGGCGACCGACATGCTCTTTGTGCGAGGCATCTGGCCTTGCATGTAGTGGTTACGAGAAAAACATCTTTTTCGATTTCGAAAATATTCCCAGCTCTGGCATGTCGCGGTTTCGACGTCCTTTGCTCACAGAAGAGGAACGTGAGTCTATGAGCGATGAGTTGGTTTCGAGCATTCCACCAGCTTTAACTCTCTGGCACATTGCTCAGATTGAGGAAGAGTGTGAGAGACTCTCAGCCGCTCAAAGCATAGAGATAAGTCGGGGTCCTTTCGGAGTAATCCGGTTACCTCGGTTGCCAAATAAGTCTCATAAGGTCTTGTGCAAAACTAGTGAGGAACCAAGTTTTGCCGATGGTGCGGTTGCTGCTGGAGATGTCGAGGGCGCTTATCATAGAGAGCCTGAAGCAGTTGATGAGGAGCTCGAAGTTCATTCTGAAGGTGTGCCTTTGGAAGAACCGCCATTACCGGTAGATCCGAGCCTTCAAACTCTAGACGAGAGGTCATCCAGTTCCATGACCGACTTGTGGAATACGAGTGAATGGTGGAGCATGGACGACCTACCTTGCATGGATGGTTGGTGGGATGGGCCGATAGATTTGGATTCAAGCCAACATATTCCGGCCGATATATCATTCACCATGTTTCAGCAGTCTCCATCAGGTTTTATGGACTCCCGTCATCCAAATGTCTCAAGTATCCTTACTGAGGCACAACCCCAGCAGTTGACAACACGGCGAAGCTCATCCATACCGCCCACCATCGACTGTGCCGTTCCTCATGATGCAGTCTTTCTCCTCAAGCATTACTCTACAACAGTACTTCGCTGTTTCACACCGTTCCGCCACAGTAAAACGCCCTGGCATGTTCTGTTTATCCCTTACGTTAAAGGCTGCTTGGCCGCTCTCACACTAGGAGAAGAGATGGACCACGCCAGCTTGACCGTGTTCTTTGGAACCCTTGCAGTTAGTGCGTCCAGCCTTGGCGGCATTTCCAACTCCAGCAAATGGTCAGAGCAGGCAAAACAATACAAACAGCGGGCTTATCGCCATGCTCGTTCGATGCTACAGACAGCTTATGACGTCCCCAAGACGGCAAAGTACAAGTCCACACTCATAGCAATTTTAACCATGGTTCAGATCTCGAGCGTTTCCGGCACCAGAGATCAAGTGGAATGTTACTTACTCGAGGCGGAAAAGTTCATTCGTGTCAAGGGTCTTAACCGCAAGAAGTCGCGCAAAGTCCGTCTTCTACATCATTGCTATGCTTTCGAGAGGTTCTTGCATGAGAGCACATTTTCTGGTAGTAGCCAGTCCGCACAACGCAAGCATGTGCGCAAGGAAATCGAGTCCAGCAACGCCAGCTCCTATAGCCAGGACAGCTTATCTTTTCGGTTGGCGGACTGGGTCAATCTCGACCAAGAGATGCTCAAGGTCAAAGGTCAGCAAGAAGGGGAAAATGATCTACACTTACAGATACCTGGCATATGGGCCCCCACACTTTACCCTGAAATTTTCGGTATCCCCGAAATTCACATATTCTTGCTCTCCCTTGTCATCCGCCTAAGAAGAGCAAAGAACGAAGAAGAATACTCAGGCATGACTGGTCTCTCAGACTTCATGAGCCGCTCCAAAGCTGTTGAAAAGTGTATCCATCAACTCAAGCGAACATTCAACCATGTAGTAGCAGATACGCCGGTCATGGACCGGGACGCGCAACATTGCCAGCAACTCCTGGATAATCTTGCCCAGGCCATGCGGCTTGCGCTGGCTATATACTTTTATCGAGTAGTTTACGATGTGGAGGCTGACATGTTGCAAGATAAGGTTGCCGGTGTTCGAGACTGCCTGCTTCGGTTTGAAGCGACAGAGTCAGAGATGGCACACGGTTCTGCTAGGCTTGTGTGGCCTGCTTTCATAGCTGCTAGTGAGGCTGAGGATACGGAGATGCGGCTATCATTTAGTAAATGGTTCAAGGACTGGGAGCGCCGCAGTGGTCTCCGAATATTTAGTGACTCGTTGGCTGACGTTGAGAGACGCTGGGAGGTGAAGAGACGGGCGCAAGAGGCAAATGTTGACTTCGTTTTGGCTTAGCAGAAGCAAATGAATCCAGTTGTCTTTTGGGACTGTTCTGGTGGCTACATAACATGTGATATCCTTTAACCCTCTCAACCTTTTGAAAGCACAGATGATTGGCCGATCTGTACACTTTATCCGTAATTGTGCTAGGGATAACTTTCCTATTCCTCTTTAGGTACTACGTACTCACATATCACCAGAAAGGACTGTGGGTCTTATGAAATCCAGCTTTGAAAAGAGAGTATAAGACTTCATAAAATTGACTCAGGTATACTCATCGTTAGACAACATTTTCATAGTTTCACCCAATTATAAAATTTGCTTGCAATACACTGGAGGCCAGTCATGTCCTCTTTTCAAAACAAAGTAGTACGTATTCGTCACTTTTATTAATCTCCTGGACAATTTGCTAAATACAACACAGGTGGCTGTTACCGGCGCAGGGTCAGGTATTGGCCTTGCCACCGCTCAACTTCTGGCCTCGCGAGGCGCCAAGTTATCTCTTGCCGACATAAACGAAACGTCATTGAAAGAAGCTGTCGATTCTCTGGCAGACTCAAGTATACACATGTACGAGGTTGTTGATGTCAGAAACGGTGAAGCGGTAGACAAGTGGATTCAAACCACCGTTCAGAAGTTCGGCCGGCTCGATGGCGCGGTGAACATGGCTGGAGTCATCACTCACGCCAGCCCTGTGACAGAACTTTCAGACAAGGACTGGGATTTCGTCTTCTCTGTAAATGTAAAAGGTGTTTTCAACTGCCTGCGAGCTCAATTAAATGCCATGACTGCCGGTGCAAGCATTGTACGTCAAATCCCTCTGCCAGCAATCGAGATGGAGGATCCACTACTGCAATTTATACTTTTTGATAGCCTCCCAGTACCCCGAAGTGAATTTTGTTCTAACACTTCTACTTTAGGTATCAGCTGCGAGCGTTTTTGGTCAATTTGGTGCCCCTGGAAACTCCGCATATTGCGCAAGTAAAGCAGCTGTCATCGGATTATCAAGGACCGCAGCGAAGGAAAATCAACATATTCGTGTTAACTGCGTCTCACCAGGTAAGTTTTGACGTCTGAACTCACGGGAAGTTCCATGTAGTAACCATGTTATCAGGATCTGTCAACACACCGTTATCAAGAGGTGAGAACCCAGAGGACGTGAAGCGTGGCCTACAGGTCACCGTCCAGAAGCGAAGAGCAGAGCCTATCGAGGTTGCGCGAGTCATCGCATTTCTTCTCAGCGACGAAGCAACTTTCGTTACGGGAGCTGTATATAATGTTGATGGCGGTTGGGTGTGTTAGGGACGGCTATCGGGGAAAACAGTCATCAGTCTCTTGTGGTCCAAACGAAGTATTGCGAAGGAAGTTCAGTTAAAAATCTTTTGTGTTACTTCATGTCTGCTTGCTGGTACGTCTACATTTGTGATTATGGCTTCGAGGTGGAGGCCAGATGAGCAGGGAGAGTACGCAGTGTTAATGCGCAGTTCAGGCATCACCAAAGTTTGCAGAGCCAGAAACTTCGCAGCTACTAGAAAAGCACTCCGATGAGTTAAGAGCGCTCATTCAAAAATTCGATAGCTGAGCCATAGTGCGCGTTCATCTCATGTACAAGATGTCAAGAAGGACGCACGGTCTGAGAGGCTGAGGGAAGCATTTAATTTCAGCCACATTTGAAGGGCAGCAATAGAGGAACGTAAAACTCAACACCTTCGCCATGAATTAATACACAATATTTTGGAACTTTCAATAGCTCAAAAATGCCTTGAGGCAGTGGCTCCACTTTGTGAAGCCTCAGAATCAGTCAAAGAGGCATTAATGTGCTAAGGAAAGACAATGCTATCGCCCATATGATGACTTCCTTCATGTAACTCCCCCTTCTTTCTGCACACTGAGTGGATTATGATCATGAACTAGGGATTTTACTTTTATCCATGCTCAAATAATTTAATGCCTCATAGGTAGGCTGAAAATCTCGTCGGAGCCACGTAGCATGATTTCTTAATCTCTCCGCATGAGCTAAATCAGCACACAGCTCTACCTCCGCCGTAGGCATCGGACTCTAATTCGCAAGCAAACCCATCAGGTGGCCGAGGTTCATGGTGATCTTCAAAGATGCCCCTCTTGTTGAGCATGCCAAGTTGCTAGTTAGTTGACTCCCAGACAACAGGTTTTAGCAGATATCCTCTCATTGGTGTTCACACATGGATAGAACACCCTTGGTGGATACCCCAGAACACTTCTCATGGATACGACCAACTCTTCCAATGGTTTCCGGCTCATCCTGACCCCTCAAAAGGATGGAGGTCTTTGTTTACGATTGAAGGGCGGATTAGCAATGCTGCAGGCAGCCCGGCCGGCGTAAGCAGGTTTCTAGTCCAAAATTGATACCCAAAAGGGGCTATGCTCTGATTCTGATTGATGTGCACAATAACAACTTGCTCTCTTTCCCACGTCTACCAACTGAGACTGTTCTGCATCTTGCTGTCCCACGGTTTATAAATCGTTTAAACTTTACAGTTCACTTCTAGCTGCCAACGTCACCTGCACATTGAAGGCTTCCTCAACTTTAACCTGAAAACTATACCTAACTTCAGTGAGACAAAGACATTCTCACCGGATTTGAGAGTACGTAAGCACAGCCATGGTCCTGTCAAGCCAACTTGACAGGCTCGCAAACATTTACACAATAAGGAATAGCTTCAATCTTCTCTGCAGTCTATCCCACATCTGAGACCACCTACCCCAGACAACCCACATACCGAGCAGAAATTCTAGTGTAGCCACGCACACGTGCACATGCAGCAGCAGCTTGGCTCTTTCGATTTTCTACAATCAACCATACAAATACCGTATAGGGACTCTCGCGATGTCTGCCAAGTTGAGAAACGGTGACATTCGTGCCGAAAAAGAACTAGCCCGGCCCTGCAGCCGAGGCATTCAACGTCGCCGAGTTGCGGGGTCCTGCGGGGATTGCAGTTCTCTACCGGCTACCTTGCATAAACTAGACTGTTGTGGCGTTGTATTATGTTGCAACGTAAACCAAGGACCCTGTTAATCCCTTACAACTTTCCTCTGGCAGAGTAAACCAGAAAGACATCGCGAAACTCGTAGGGGTTGACCATATCACTCGATCACCGTCAAATCGAGAAAGTCATAGGCCGCATTTTCCCCTCACTCCAAAGTCATGCTTCTTCCCTGGCGTCAGACGGTGGACCGAGGCTGGCCCCTTTTCCTCAGCCAAAGAGATGGAAGAGTTTCTTCCGACCATTCCCAATTTGATGTTCTGTCGCGAAAAGCCGATCCTCATGTGATCTCGCAGCCTTGGAACATCTACCTTGCGGACTGTGGGATCTAGGTAGTCGGGGATGGCTTCAAGATGCGACTGGCGGAGGAATATTGTATGTGTTTCTCTGGTTGTTGAGATCCGGTTAGTACGCGGCTTGAATAGTTCAGGAGTGGACAGCTAGTGAGAGCATCATGGAATGGATTGTAAGCCGGATAACGAGGCAATCATGGCCATAGACGCTCCAAGGCATGAAGATAAATAGCTCCTGAACAACCCACGAAAAGACTCTTGATATCCAGACCATCATCAGATTCAATCTCTCACTCAGACCCCAAACACTCTCTCCTTCGCTCGAAGCTCAGCCAGCGCGCTCACTCCAAAGACCATTCTCTTCTGCCGCAAGTCGTCGCATCTGAAGACCAGTCCCAATACACAAAATGAAGTTCCTCAGCATCATCTCTCTTGCCGTTTCCCTTGTCGCTGCCGCTCCTGTCGAAGTCGGCTTGGACACCGGTGTTGCCAACCTCGAGGCCCGCCAGTCCTCGACCCGCAACGAGCTTGAGTCCGGTAGCAGCTCCAACTGCCCTAAGGTCATCTACATCTTTGCTCGTGCCTCCACTGAGCCCGGTAACATGGTAAGCGACAGTCAAGCGTCCTCCCTTCCACAGGATGATAACTGACTTCTATAACAGGGTATCAGCGCAGGCCCCATTGTCGCCGACGCTCTCGAAAGCCGCTACGGCGCCTCGCAGGTCTGGGTTCAGGGCGTTGGCGGCCCTTACTCTGCCGACCTGGCCTCCAACTTCATCATCCCCGAGGGCACCTCCCGCGTCGCCATCAACGAGGCTAAGAGACTCTTCACGCTCGCAAACACCAAGTGCCCCAACTCCGCCGTCGTCGCAGGCGGATACAGCCAGGGCACAGCCGTGATGGCGTCCTCCATCTCCGAGTTGAGCTCCACGATCCAGAACCAGATCAAGGGCGTCGTCCTGTTCGGCTACACCAAGAACCTGCAGAACCTTGGACGCATCCCCAACTTCTCGACGTCCAAGACCGAGGTGTACTGTGCCCTCGCCGATGCTGTGTGCTATGGCACGCTGTTTATCCTGCCGGCGCATTTCTTGTACCAGGCCGATGCTGCTACTTCTGCCCCGAGATTCCTTGCTGCTCGCATTGGTTGAGCTCCACGCGAGGGAAATATTTCCACGGACCTAGGCTGAGGGGAGAACGGGTCTGAACATGGCTCGAAGGACGGGCGTCCGTGGAAAAGATACTGAGTATCTGGTTGTGGCTGTTGATCGGTTAGCTTTGGGGAGGAGGTCGAAGTGGATGCGGACTTTCGTTTCTTATGCTTATGCTGGCTTTAACACTCTTTTTTTGGTCACTCTTTCATGCTATATGGTTTTTGAGTATTGTAGCGAGGGAAGTAAAACAAAATGCAACGTGTTTGTATTGCTAAGGGGTATCATTGACTCATTACTTCTCAAGTGGTATCATGATAATGTCTCACACGGCGCTCTCCGACAAAAATCTGACTGCATCTCTCAGGTTCTCGGTCTGCCCCGCAAGTACGCCGCATGCCTCTGAGAATGGTACTTGACATCAGGGGGATGCAGCGGGTTGTACACTATACGACATGTCTTGCATTCCTCGAATGTAGGTTTTGATGAGATGTTGATAGTTGTCTGTATCGTGGCGGTTGATTTAGATCGCAAGTTCGGTTTGCTCGTCTGCTGGTTCGGCTTCGCTTTTACGCCCTTCCTCCTTTCGTTAAGCTTGCTCTCCGTCGTTTCCTGTAATTGTTTTGTGACCCGTTTACTTGAACGAGTGATCCTCCTCGTGGCCACTTCAACATTTACCCACTTATCGTCCGCTTCTTCTTCGGTCTCATTTATTGTATCTGATGACGGAATAGTCGCTGAGCTATGTCGTAACCTAAGCCTGCGAGGCTCTCTTATCCTTCTGATAACGGGCGGCGACGACGGCGGAGTATTGACGAGCTTTTCCGAGTCGGAGAGGGGATCGGACGCTTCTGTTGCCGAGCTAGAGCGGCAGGGCTTGAAGTAACTCAGAATAGAGCTCTTGGGAATATTGCTCGCCTTAGCAGAAGGCCGTGGTAGTTCGGATTGTGCGACAGGTGTCTCGTCAATAGGTATCTTCTGCCTTTTCAGCGGCTTAGCGTTCGCATCGTCCTCGGTCGACCGCGATCGTTTGCTGTAGGTTCGCAGAGTCCGGCTAACATAGGTTAGTTGAGAGCGAAGGGTTCGTTGGCGAATGAACGGTACCGTTTCTCTGTTACGGGTCGCGAGATTTCGGACGTGCTTGAAGTGCTAGATAACTGTCAGAGCTAAAATACTGATTCGGACATGGAGAAGCCATACAATGATAACTCTTCAGTTTGATCCATTTTAGGAATGAAGATGGCGAGGGGTGTCGGGATGAATTAAGAATTCGAATGCGATCCGACGCGTGATGTTGTGTTTATTCGGAACTAGGCGCTCAGAACAAGGTCTTTTTTAGACCAGACTAAACATAATGAGGCATCCAGAACTACCAAGCCACAAACTGCACAGACATTAATACGCAACAGAGAATTAAAGGTGGGATGGTGCCGAGGTGAAGGTTGGGGTTGTAAATGGTTTGGCTGGGAGAGTGGACGGGGAGCTTTCAGTGCTGCCCCACAGAGGCGCGTCGCGTTCCGGGAATGACGTGCAGAACGCGACTCAACGCGTACCCCACGAACCAGGTCACGTGTACCGTTGGCAAGGTCAGACTGCTAGAAACCTTTTTCCTCCCCAGGCGATGTGCCCTTGTTAAATGAATAAAAAGTAAGCGAGTCTATGCGATCGTCGTTCATGTTCAGCAGCGCTTCCGTTTTCGGCGATTGTGTTAGTATCAACTGGCCCGTTGCAATGTTGTGTTGAATCAAGGGGCAAACACAGATTCAGGAAACAAAACATTGTCGTGAAATAGCTGGAGAACTATGTCAAACCCTTCAGCCTCCGTCGTATACCCTCATCCATGTCCTGGGACTTTGTATCCAGCAAGATTGTTGCATCTTTCTCAGCGGGGGGCTCGTCTTTGCCCACCACCCACGTCTGCACCACTTCTTTGACTTCTTTAGGCTCCTTTCGATTCGTTTTCGCCTCCGTAAGCCTCCATACATAGCCTGAGTAGACTGCAACCTCAGCGATCAAGACAACAATAGAGCCACCCATGGTCAAGAATATCCGCGCTGTCAGACTCCACCAGCGCGCGGCAATCCATATCGTAGCACCAACGCCAATGACACTCAGAAGGAAATTAAGGATAACCATCAGCTGCTTCTGAACGTCACCATATGTGGCTTCATCGTCGCCGTTATCGGACTCTCGCATCGGTCGATTAACTTCGGCAAAAACGTGTGCTCTGGCAGATGCGTTCGGAAACTGCTGGGAGAAGGCTTCTAGGCGGGATGGCTGCTTGAGCATGCGCTGGTAAGATCGTTCTTCCTCGTCGCGCCGGAGGCGGGCCATAAGAGCCTTGTACTCATCGGACTATAGCATTACCGTCAGCATTATAAGGTGAAGGAGATATTCGGGATTCCCTACTGGCTCCGGTTTGGGTGGTGGTGGCGGGATGTATACCCGAGAGCCTCGCAGCAACCCCTCCAGAGAGAACCCAGCGATGCCCTCGCTTTTTAGATTCCTCCAAAGGTCCAAAATCTGGCTATGGGTAATCGGGTTTCCGATAGCGGGATCTTCAAGACTCGGTTCTTCAGCCTCGTTTGGTGCAGCCACGGGACTCGACTCTTGTGGTGATTCTCGTCCTTCAACATCCTGAACTTCCGTATCCTCCACCTTTGGTCTGACCTCAGAAAGTTTCCGGAGGCCCTCCGTAATGGAAGAGGTCATCGTAAGCCGAACCATATTGTAAATGTGATCTTTCAGATTCACGAGAACATTTCGGAACAAGAGAGTTTGCAGTCTGAAGATGTGGCTGTCAGATCGGGGTAATAGCGTTGCGTCTCCAAATGCATATTGCGACGCCGAGGCAAGCACATACCACCCACCCATACACACAATAGCAGAGCTTCTTTACCGTTCTGGACAGCAAGCTAAGGGTGGAAAATGGCCATTTACCCAATCAGATCACTTATGCCCCACTATCTCCCCCAACAGTATGTACCCCCACAAGCTGTGCCTGGACCACCCACAGCAGCACGTTGTCGGTACGTACCTTACCTAAGGAATCATCAGAGGGAAGGACCGGGTGCGCAGTGAGAGAGGGAGAAAAAAAAAAGTCATCGACTCGAAGCATCATCACTCGCCTCCAGCTGCCAATTGATCCAACCACGAATTTTGAGCATTTCTACGTAATATCGGAAGCCGTTGGACTCCCTGGAGATTCTTTATTTTCTCCATTGAAACCCTTTGGAGCATTACCGGAGCCATGCAGCTCCGTCCGGGAGCAGCGGTGCTGCGTAGCACCTACACAGTCTCACGATCTGCCCTCCTATCTTCGTCATCCCGATGCGCGCAATGTCGGCGGATCGCACCCCTCGATGTCCGGTTACCCGTGACCGCTGCCTTGTACCATTCCTCGTCGAAGCGATCCTCCGCCTGGGGAGCTGCCGTGTCTGTCGCTTCCAACATCGCATCTAATGCTATCAACCGAGTGGTCCCGAAGGGGGATATGCACATCGACCCTCTACGGACGGTGGCCAAGGAAATGAAGTTTCTCACGGGCAACATTCGAAAGCTGCTTGGTTCAGGCCATCCTTCGCTGGATCGTGCTGCCAAGTACTACACACAGGCTGAGGGCAAACACATGCGGCCCTTGATTGTCCTGCTGATGTCAAGAGCAACATCGTTGTGCCCCAAGGGCCCACGCCTTCAATCCGCGCAGGCTATTGGCGGTGTCGACACGGCTATATCTCCTCCCGGAATCCTCGTCGACGTCAACCCAAGCACGCCCCTGAGCGGCGTGGCTGCTGACCCCGTCGAGTCGGAATCCGACATTCTTCCTTCCCAGCGCCGTTTGGCCGAGATTACGGAGCTGATCCACACCGCCTCTCTGCTTCACGACGATGTCATCGACCACTCTGTCTCGCGCCGTGGTAACCCGTCGGCGAACCTCGAGTTTGGTAACAAGATGGCCGTGCTGGCTGGTGACTTCCTTCTCGGCCGTGCCTCTGTTGCGCTGGCGCGCCTGCGGAACGCCGAGGTGATCGAGCTCCTGGCCACCGTTATCGCCAACCTTGTCGAGGGCGAGTTTATGCAGCTGAAGAACACCGCGCACGACGAGCGTAAGCCGGTTTGGTCCGAGGAGGCCCTCACTTACTACCTTCAAAAGACTTACCTCAAGACGGCCAGCTTGATTTCCAAGTCTTGCCGTGCTGCCGCCATTCTCGGTGGTGCGGATGCAGCTTCGGTGGAGGCTGCTTACCTCTATGGCAAGAACCTAGGTCTCGCATTCCAGCTAGTTGACGACTTGCTCGACTATACAAGGAGCGAGAAGGAATTGGGCAAGCCTGCGGGAGCCGACCTGGAGCTAGGCCTCGCGACGGCCCCGCTGTTGTTCGCGTGGAAGCAGATGCCGGAGTTGGGTGCTCTGGTTGGCAGGAAGTTTGAGCAAGAGGGCGACGTGGCAAGGGTGAGCACTGTTCATTTCAGATGGTTTGCAGAGCTTAGCTAACATGGTTTCAGGCACGCGAGTTGGTTCTCCAGAGCGACGGCATTGAACAGACAAGGGCACTGGCGCAGGATTACGCGGAGCAGGCGATCGCCGCTCTGGCCGATTTCCCCGACAGCGAGGCCAAGGACGGTCTCATTGAGATGGCCATGAAGTCTCTGAAGAGACAGAAGTAAAGAGACCGAGGGGGAGGGGGGGTTGGATCGGTGTTGTTCGACCACGAGACACAACCCAAAACTTGTACAAACAAAAAACCTGGAATGCATGCATTATGATATGTTGCATTCGACCTGTACAACAGAATCATCTGGGCTCTTTGGAGAGTACATGTAACGATATTATTCAATACTACTTACTAGACGGCGACGTTGGGAAGGGGGAAGGAGGATGGCGGGGAACTGGGATACGGAAAGATAGAGGTGACAAAACACCTGCAGCTCAATACCACACAACTTCCCATCTGACACCGTGCTCGGCATGAACAGCGGATATCGGACAGAGCGTCTCATCGACATGTCGGGCTTTGCAGAGCGATTCACAGACAGTGCGGAATGGGGCTGCTGACAGGAAACCGGTATAGACCGGGGATTGGACAGCTGGAGATTTTTACTCGATAGAAATACCCATGGCATTGGAAAGTCAAAACCCGTGTGCGGTCTCGACAAGGTCGATACAACTGGAGAGGGCCCAGGAAAGCGGCGAGCTCCGTGGAGAAGGGGTTTCCATTACGTTGCGCTGTTGCTCGATGGCTCCAGCATGTAGCGGCGGCCAGCAAGTTTGCCATGATCAGACGCAGGGATCGGTCAGGGACCAGCGAAGCTTAGCTCAGTGGCCGGTTCCATGTCACTGTCTCCCATGGCCATGATGGCTGAAGTGTGTTCCATCTGATCTATACGTGGGAAAAAAAAGAACTAGAGTGGTCTCGAGCTGAGAAAACATATGCCAAGTACAGATCAAACAAAGCCTTTGTCACGAGGGGACCAAAGGACTTAAAACGAGACAGTGGCGGGGGCGGGGGACCGGGCGAGGCTGTTGAACGGTACAATAGCGAAAACGAGGGACCGGCTATCGGGGCCGGATCGGTGATTTCGTTGCCGCTCACTTTCCATCACCACCTTTACTCCTCCTAATGACGCCTCGACTGTAAATGGGCAATGGAAAGAGAGAGATGGCTTGGTCATCCGCACGGGTGCGCGACGGGTGCGTGATCACCGCCATCGAGGTGGCTCTCCCGGCAGTTGGGGCATTTCATTTGCCCCTGGCGACCTCCACTGGGGTTTCCCTGATGGGGCCATGATTTGCCTCCATCGCGAATTGATCGAGTAACAGGCAAAAAGCCAGCCAACAGCGGCCACTCCTGGTGTTGAGTCCATTACTCGATGAAGACTTCAAACACCAGGCCAGAACAACGTATTAAACCCTGGCACGTCGCATCAGCAGAATCTGCAAACTGCATAGAAAACCCTAAGACATCCACCAGAGATGGCGCATTAACAAGCCGGCGGGCCAGATTCCCCAAAGGAGCGGTGTTTTACTCGATCATTACTCGATTGAAACTCGAGAAAGCTGAAGCTCGGGCCTTGGACGCAACGGCAGATAAGCACTAGAAAGCCAAAAATGAAGGGCCAGAGGGGGAAAATAAAATAAAAAAGGATAAAAAAGAAATAAAAATAAAAGTTATGGGGTCCTAACCTTTCCAAAAACGACCAATGGTCACCCACACAGTGGATATCCCTACCCATAGCAACAATAAGACTTCTCATTGGCCTGGATGGATGACTAAAGGACTACTGAATCGGGAAACGGCTGCATCCGATGAAGTTCCAACCAATTACATGGCGTTGATAACAACGATGAAGAAGGGACATTCAGGGTCTCCCGGGGTGAGCGAGTTCGATACGGTCCAGTACCGGAAGGAGGGTTCGATAACGTACCCCACATTAGGCCGACGGCACCGTCCCAGCACCGTCATGACAGCGGGCAACCAGAAATAAGCCAGTGTGTGTGTGGGAGGTCTCGGCCTGAGTCCTCGTTGGCTGGATTGGTCGTTCCCTTTGTCCTTCCTGCGCTTTGTCAAGACCACGTTATCTTATCAGGGGTGTGTGTGGCACAAACTGGGAATGGAAGGCCCCCAGAACACCAAATGGAAGGGACTGGCTGGTCTGGATCGACGACGGTCATGAGCGAGGGTGAGGCCGAGAGAGAGAAAGGTGGGCGGTGGATCGACTGAAGGTCGAATTTCTTCGGACTCCAGGTTCAACACGCCGAGTCCCTTCTTTGGTTCCCTTTTATTTCCTCCTCCTTCCCTCTGTCGCCCTCCTTCCTGTTTCTCTCTCTTCTTTCTCTTTTCTCTCTTATCTGTAGACACGGTGCTTAGTTTCATTTTATTTTTAGTTCATAGACTCTATCAGGATACCCGAGATAACTTACTCCGTTTGTTACTGAATCTCACCTCCTTATCACAAGCCACACACCTCATACCTCAACACCGCTTATCTCTCTCAATCACCCCGCCACCCTTCGGCACAGATAAGCTCGTGTCGTCCCCAGATCCAGAGGAAACAGCAAACCGTCTCTCGGACACTTTTTCGCGGGGAAGCTCTTCGAAACGCCGTCAACATATTCCCTTTATCGGACCGTCCAAGCTCTTATCGTAGCTCCCCCACCATGACGGTCTCCCACGATCTCGCGACGCCCATCGTCGTTCTCGTCTCGACCCGTGCGGTCCTTACCCTCCCGGAAGACAAACTCGTACTCACGCCTGCCACAATCTCCATCTCCCCTGTAACCGGCAAGATTCTGGATATTACCTCCGCTGTCCTCCCCCAGTCGTCCTTCCCGGCCTCAACAACGTATGTCGATTATGGCGATAAGCTTCTTCTACCTGGCCTCGTCGACGCTCACGTCCACCTCAACGAGCCTGGCCGCACAGAATGGGAGGGTTTCTGGACTGGCACCCGCGCCGCCGCCTCTGGCGGTGTAACCACCGTCGTTGACATGCCGCTGAACGCTATTCCGCCTACCACTACCGTCGCCGGTTTCAAGGAGAAGCTTGCTGCTAGCGAGGGGCAATGCTGGGTTGACGTTGGCTTCTACGGCGGTGTGATCCCCGGTAACGCGGATGAGCTGCTCCCTCTTGTCGAGGCTGGTGTGCGAGGCTTCAAGGGCTTCCTCATCGAGTCTGGCGTAAGTACCTCCCGCTCCGACACAGGTGTTGCGAATGTAACCTGACCGAAAAACAGGTCGATGAGTTCCCCGCAGTCTCTGCCCAAGATATCGCCTTGGCGATGAAAACGCTCAACGGCACCCCGACGACCCTTATGTTCCACGCTGAGATGATCCCTCCCATCGCGGACTCCGTAGGCGATGCCGTCCAGCAATCCGAACCCCCCGCCGCCCCCACCGGCGAACTGACCTCCTACAACACATTCCTCGAATCCCGTCCCCCGTCCTTTGAGACCTATGCCGTCGAAGAAATCCTGTCGCTGGCCCACCTCGCCCCCGATCTGCACCTGCACATCGTCCATCTCTCCGCAACCCAAGCTATCCCTCTCCTCCGCAACGCAAGGCAGAACGGCATCAACATCACCGCCGAGACCTGCTTCCACTACCTTGGCTTCGCATCCGAGGACATCGCCGACGGCGACACCAGACACAAGTGCTGCCCGCCGATCCGCGAGCGCTCCAACCGCGACGGCCTGTGGGAGGAGCTGGTCGCCGAGGACTCATGCATCAAGACCATCGTCTCGGACCACTCGCCTTGCACACCGCAGCTCAAGCTCCTCCCAGCGAGTCTCGAAGCTCCCCCTCCCCCGACAGAAGAATCCCTCAGCAGGCCAAAGATGCACCACGCCGATTCCGGTATCGACATGACGATCCCTGGCGAACGCCTCAACAAGATTATCGCGGAGAAGACGCTCGAGGAGGCAGCCGTCGCTGTCGCTGAGGCCAGCACGAAGGGCGACTTCTTCGCTGCCTGGGGCGGCATCTCGTCCGTGGGACTGGGATTGCCAATTGTGCACTCGGCGTCGGTCGCGCGAATCGCGGAGGCCGGTGAGGGTGCGGCGCCGTCGATTCTGGATATCGTCAGATTGTGCAGCCAGGCCACGGCCAAGCAGGTCGGTCTGTCACACCGCAAGGGCGCGTTAAAGGTCGGCATGGACGCCGATATTTGCGTGTTTGACGATGCGGACATTTGGACCCTCCGGTCTGGCGACATGCGATGGAAGAACAAGTGCTCGCCGTGGGAAGGCCACGAGTTCACGGGCAGAGTCAGGGACACCTGGGTTAGAGGCCGCAAGGTCTGGGAGTTTGGCGGTGTGAATGGTGGATTTATCGGGCAGGGACCCGTTGGTGAGGCTATCACCGAGAAGAGAATTGCTTGAGTTATGGAATGAGGGGTGCATTGTTGGAATTTATAGCGAGCTGGTAGCATGTTTGTGCTTTGAATAATGATATCAATTGTTGAAACAATATTTGCGGTCTTCTTTACATGCTTGATGATTTATCGCTTGATAAACGGTCCCAAAGATGTCTAAACTGGCTCTCAGGTCTCTGTGGGAAACATTGTCGTGTATTGGTATAATCTTTCACTTGAAAGACTCACGACAGAAAAGAGAGTTGAGATTGGACTGCAAAATGAAACAAGAAAAGACTTGGTGTGGCAGTTACAACGAGAGCTTGCGAAGCAAGTTACTCCTGGTGTAGAATCTCGTCACAGACGGCTACCAACCAGCCCAGAGCCTTTCAAACGCTCGATGAAAGTGAAATGTTGAATACGACTGAAGCTACGCTGCTATGCCTATGACTGAGTCATGGCATCCACGATAACGGTAGCAAAAGACAAACGGCAGACGACGTTCTGACTCGGAGAACGTGTGCTCCGTACTCGTAGGCTGCTCTAGATTATTTGCGGCGACTAGGTTATCGATGATAGAGGCGAGGCGATGGACCAGATCGATCCCCAGCGCCCGCAGCCTCCCGCCGATCTGTCTCGGCTGCATGGCCGACGCCCGTGTATCAAGCCGACGGGAGAACGGGTACTCAACTAGAATGAAGACGAATTCTTGCCTTGGATAAAAACGGAGATAGCCGGCTTACCTTTCTACTGATCTCTTTTAATTACCCATGGTGCCATGCTGCCAGAACACCAGCGTGCGGTTCTGTTAGGAAAGAGGCGGGGATGACGAGAGACAGGGTCGTGTTCGCTTCGGAGCCGAGGTGATTCCCATCCAGGCTATCAAACTCTGGCCTTGTAAGCGACATGGGACGCGACAGCAACTCGTGGGGCTGAGGGTTGGCTGAATGAAAGGGGCGGATCCCACTTCTTTTGCTCGTTTTTTGAGTTGGGAGACAAGAAGATGAAGTAGATCATGTTTTTTGTTTTATTCCCTCTCTTCATCGGACGTTGCGATGAGGGGACGGATGAGACAAATGATGGATCGTCATCGTGATGTCAAATATAATGGACTTTTGCTTACTCCAACATTTTTTTGTTCACCATCTCACGTGAAAATGTGGAAACGAAACAGCATGGCGAGGCAATGAGACATTCTGGTCACGCGAGGCTTTAGTTGACAACCGCGGAGACTTGATTGACTGACTCTTGAGTGATAACCAACGATGCCCAAACCGTGTGTCTATGCCCTGCCGTTAGTTGATCCACCCAAAGCGCTGTGATCGGCGTTCCAGCGGGTTTTGTTCACAAGGGACCCCCACTGCGGCCCCCAAATATCCCACTGTAGCCGTGTTATATGATAGTGCGGAGTACGGATACATGGTATATTATAGGGCCCTCCGCTGTCATCTAGGTGTGTGTAAGCGAGGCCAGTGTAAGCGAACAATGCGAGCAAGACGAGTTAAGCGAGCCTACATCTCCGGGGATGTGCCGCCAACTGTTTACAGGAGACCCCGCTTCGCGGTGGGTGATTCCTTAACCGTAGTCTTAGTACGAAAAGTACGTACCGGCATATCCTAAGCGAGCTGCCGGAAACGGACACTGCTGTCAAAAGGTAGGTATGCTCCTGCTGGTATTGCGAATTGTTATTTGTTATTACCCTTCGTCTCTCAATCGGGTGCCATTTTTCTCAAGGCGGAAAATCCAAGCATCAAACTCACATCATCTCTCTATTCAGGTCCCTCAAATCAACCGTTCCCACGCCGACTCATGCCAGGACAGATGACGCCTCGTGCTTCCAATTTCCCGACTGGCTTGAGTCGAGGCGCTACCGCTGCATCGGTGTCAGCAGCAGCACTAGCAGCATCAGCGGCATCAGAGGTTGGACACGTCCTTGGGTACCATCAGAAGACAACCTGCGGTTATCTACTAGGTATTATAGTCAGAAGCATCTCTGGATCGCTGTCGCCTTGTCGTCGATATTGCATTGACCAACACCTTGGGAATCTTCGAATCTCGCCATCCGCCCCGGTCTAACCCCATCCGTCGCCCACTCCTATATGTCGTTTGTCCACTTCCGGCTTGTGCTAGCCCTCTCTGCCCACATGGCGCTTCCACTCTAGCCCATCCTTGTCCTCGTCTGTCTTTTGCCATCAGGCTGGCTGAGGCACGACTCTTCAGGTCGTAACTTTAGTGCCAACGAACGCCTCTCGCACGCCGCCGCCAGGGCCACCATTCTTTGGGCTCTTCAGGTTGACGACACTATCAGTGCAGAAGCGTGCGTGCCCTCGGAACGGGCTAGAATGAGTGCTCGACCAGCAAAAGATTGTTCGGCATGTCCTAGCAAAAAAGAAAAAGGCACCATGTCGGGATGGGGCCGTGGAACGAGGGCATGCGGACTTCCTGTGGAGGAGGGACCATATGCAGCTGCAGCTAATCCTGGCCTCGCTTCGCCTGTCGCCTGTCCTGTCCTGTCGTCTGCACGGGAGGCGAGGTGTTGGGGCAGCAGAGCATTGGCAAAGCAAGCATCGGTCCGACCAACCCTTTAACGGCGACCCTGAAAAGACGAGGTCGACGAGCTCGAGGTTGCATCCATCAGCCAAAGCTGCCCTGTCGGGCCCATATTGCTTTAATTCTCTTCGTGGCGCCCCTCGTCGTTTCATCCGTCCAACCATATTTCAACATGATTATTTGAAAGACTCCTTCGCTCACCTGCGGGCTGACCAACGTCTTCCTCTCTGCCGCCCGTTTCATGATATTCCCAAAGGATTTCTATCTTGTACATATCAATCATTGTCTATCGCGTCTCACGTAGGGAATCCTCTTTTCCGGCTGTTCCTTCAACATTGACCTATTGAGCCAAAGTCCAAGTCCCACATCATTCCTCGTCACTTCAGCCCGCCACAGAGCTTCGTTTGTGGCTGCTGTGTTCGGAATCGGCAGCTCGTAATTGCTCTTGCACGCCGTCATCTTTCTCACCATTCATCCCGTCTGCCATTCCGTCACGACTCTCCTGTTGGCTATACATTACTTCTGACCTGTCTCTGAAGTCAGCGCTTGGGCAATCCCCGAGTTCCCATAAGCGACCGCTTCGAGTACCTGATCGCCACCCAGGTCTTACCCCCCCATACTTATTTTCTAAGTCAAACACCACCGACCATCATATAGCACAGCATGCTGAAGACGATCGCAAGGTGATATACAGAGCTGCAGCGTCCGTTGCCCGTCATGTCGCTGGAATACCCCGACACCACTGCCAACTTACCGCCGTCGAGCAATACGACTGGCGACAACCCCGTCATCCTTGACGTCGACAAGATCGACCGCGCCAGTTCCATTGAGACTGCGATGGAGCCAATCGCGCCAGCCGATCAACCGCAACAGGGGAATCGCTTTTCATTGTCGGGTGCCGGCCACATTTCTCTCGACGATGTTGAAGCTGTCAATGTCCAAATACGTGATCTCGCGGTGAGCGTTGACACTTCACCTTCATGGTTCGACCCTGCAACATATTCGGATTTAGCAAAGGCGAAGTTTAACCCCCAACCGAGCTCCAAAACTCTGTTGCACCATGTCAGCGCTTCCCTGCCAGCTGGGACCCTGACGGCGATCATTGGCGGTAGCGGATCTGGTAAAACGACGCTGCTCAACACCATGTCGGAACGTATGATTAGCACTCGGCTGTCGCAGGGCGGGTCTATTACTTTCAATGGAAGCGAAGGAGTGCACAACGCTCGCCATGCGTACGTGATGCAACAGGATATTCTCTTGCCCACCTTAACTGTACGGGAAACACTTCAGTATTCTGCCGATTTGCGATTGCCGCCACCAACAACGGCCGAAGAGCGAAAACGCATTGTGGAGGAGGTTATTCTCGAGTTGGGATTGAAAGAATGCGCCGATACAAGGATAGGAAACAGTCAGCATCGCGGATGCTCGGGAGGTGAGAAGAGAAGGGTTAGCATTGGTGTTCAGCTTCTGGCGAATCCCTCGGTGGTCTTCCTCGACGAACCGACGACAGGCCTCGATGCCACCAGTGCCTTTCAGCTTGTGCGCACGCTGAAGAAATTGGCCACGAAGGGTAGGACAGTCATTACGACCATTCACCAACCTAGGTCCGAAATCTGGGACCTCTTCGACAACCTCATCATCCTCACTAGGGGAAGCCCAGTATATTCGGGCCCGGCCAAGGACTGTGTACCGTGGTTTGAGGGCATGAATTTTAAGCTTCCGCCCTTCGTCAACCCGGCCGAGTTCGTCATCGATATTGCTGCCATAGACAACCGCACACCAGAACTCGAGGAAGAGACGACGGCACGGGTAGACCGTCTCAAGACGGCGTGGAACAACGAGAGCGAGAAGAAGTTTGCGCCGTCAGAGAAGCTCGTAGAGACGTCTGGACGCAGACGAAGTAGTAAAACGGCGACTACAAAACATGCTGCCTATGGACGACAAATACGAGTCCTGACTGACAGGACTTTCAAAGTCACTTATCGTGACCCAATGGGAATGGCGGCCGCGATTATGGAGGCCATTTTGATGGCCCTTGTCACAGGGTATATCTTTTTCGACTTGCCCAGAGACCTTTCCGGCATTAGGTCGCGTCAAGGTGCACTCTACACCGTCTCTGGCCTGCAGGGATACTTGACACTCATGTTCGAGGTCTACCGTCTCACGTTGGATGTACCTACATATGACCGCGAACACAGCGAGCACTGCGTCGATGCCGTCCCGTTCCTTCTCTCGCGCCGCCTTGCTCGTCTTTTCACCGAGGACCTACCCGTGCCGTTCCTGTTCTCCGTAATCTTTTATTTTATGGCCGGTTTCGATAGAGAAGCGGGCCAGTTCTTCACCTTCTTCGCCATTACGCTCATCAACCATTACATCGCCGTCACATGCGCCATTACCTGCGTAACGGCCTCTCGCAACTTCCCAGGTGCAAGTTTGATCGCCAACATGGTCTTTACGCTGCAGAGTATGGCTTGTGGCTACTTTATCCAGTCAAACACCATTCCCGTTTACGTGAGATGGCTCAAGTGGATCACGTACCAGGTATGTTTCTGAGCAACTTTTCTAACAAACTTGTACTAATGGTATAGTTCTACGGTTTTGGTGCTTACTGCGGTAACGAATTCACGGACGCCTTCTACGATTGCCCAGTTGAGGGCGGCCCTTCCAATCCGGAGTGTAACCAATACACGGGAAGCTTCGTAATGAATTCTCTCGGATTCCCTCCCAATTGGGTTTGGCGGCCAATTATCGTCATGCTATCCTTTGTGGTCTTTTTCTGCGCGCTGGCAGCTATTGGCTTGCAGTTTATCAAGCAGGAGATGACCATTGCGCGAGCCAGAAATTCCGACGCTGACTTGTCAGCTGGTAAGGAGAAGATGAAGGCGCAGTCTATATCCGAAGTACGCACTATCGACGTGGGACTGGATGACTTTGCCCTGGACCTGGATAAGAGAGCTGCATCGGGCAAGAAGCTGCCGCGAAAGACTATCCTGAACCCAGTCAACACTACATTCCAAGCTGGCAAGCTGAACATCATCATGGGTCCCTCGGGAAGCGGTAAAACCTCTCTACTAAATGCTATGGCTCTGCGACTGCATAATAGCGTGGGCACAAGGTACTTGCCATCCGGCAAGCTGACGTTCAACGGAGCTGCACCTTCAAACTCAGTCATCCGATCGGCGTGCTCGTATGTCTGCCAGGACGATGACGCCCTGCTACCGTCTCTGACGGTACGCGAAACTCTTCGATTCTCCGCTGGTCTGCGTCTTCCATCCCATATGACCAAGGATGAAAAGTACAGACGGGCAGAGGAGGTGCTTCTGAAGATGGGCCTGAAGGATTGTGCGGATAATCTCGTCGGTAACGAGCTGGTCAAGGGTATTTCTGGTGGCGAGAAGCGACGAGTAACCATCGCCGTGCAACTGCTCAGCGACCCCCGCGTTCTGTTACTCGATGAGCCCACTAGCGGTTTGGACGCGTTTACCGCTAATTCCATCATGGAGGTCTTGCAAGGTCTCGCACATGAGGGTCGCACACTCATCCTTACCATCCACCAGGCCCGATCTGACCTGTTTAAGCACTTTGGAAATGTCCTATTGCTGGCCCGCGGAGGCTCCCCTGCCTACGCCGGCTCGGCTAAGGACATGCTAGCCTATTTTACCCGCCAGGGGTTCGAATGTCCCCCGCACACGAATCCCGCTGACTTTGCGCTTGATCTCATCACGATCGATCTGCAGCATGAGCAAAGAGAGGCCGAGAGTCGTGAGAAGGTTAAGAAGCTGGTCGAGGCGTGGCAGACACAGACTGTGACGGAGTATGAAGGGACGAACGAGAAACGGCTTCCAGGTATTGAAGAAACGGAAGAAGGCAACTCAACAGAAACGCAAACCCTCGATGCAAAAACCAGCCAGGACCAAGATGCCATCGCCAGGCCATCGTTGTCCCGCCCCGGTCCCCGCAAATCCTTCAACAAAACGTCGCTGGCAACTCCAGCAGAACTAGGTGCTCTTGTGCGCAAACGTGCATCATTCTTTACCGCCTTCCCTATTCTCCTGCACCGTGGGTTGATCAACTTCCGCCGACAACCGCCGCTCCTCGTTGCGCGTGTGATGCAAGTTGTGAGTCTTGGTGTTGTCCTGGCCCTCTTCTTCGCCCCCGTCAAGAACGACTTCTTCTCGGTTCAAAACCGCATGGGTTTCGTGCAAGAGATTGCCGCCTTGTACTTTGTTGGCATGCTCCAAAACGTCGCCGTATTCCCTGCCGAGCGTGACGTCTTCTACCGCGAGGACGATGACGGCGTCTACAGCGTCGAAGCCTTCCTTGCAGCCTACTCAGTTCTCGAGTTCCCGTTCGAGGTGATCAGCTGTCTCATTTTCGGAGTACTCGGCACTTTTGCTGTGGGTTTGCCTCGGACCGTCCCCATGTACTTCTCGTGTGTTTTCGCCTGCTTCGGTATCGTCTCATGCGGCGAGTCTGTGGGCATCATGTTCAACACTCTTTTCAACCACACCGGTTTCGCCGTGAACATCATCTCCGTCTTCATGTCTGTGGCCAACACCATGGCGGGTATCATGTCTATCGACATGCCGCAGCTGTACAAGATTTTCAACTATCTCTCCCCAATCAAGTACGCCACTCGCGCTGTCGCGCCGTACAGTCTCGAAGGCGTCCTCTTCACGTGCAACGACGAGCAGAGGTTGCCCAACGGCCGGTGCCCGATCGAGACGGGCGAGGAGGTGTTGGATCTGTACAAGTTCAACGTTGATCCGAAGGTGAATATCGCGGCGCTGGCGGGATGTGTCATCATTTACCGCCTCGTTGCGTGGGTTTTGCTCAGAGCAGCGAGGACGAGGTTTGACGGGCTGAGGGGGAAATAAGTCTTGTCCATCTTTTTAGATAATCATTTCATATTTGCATGTATGCGGTGCATATGGTGTTGGTTAGCGGATACCTTTGACTTTCAATATTAAATTTCACCACCTCTTGAACAAATTTTGTTAACATTGGCATATAGGATGCGATGGATGCCCTGTTATTAATTTTCTGTAGACTTGATCGACATGAATAATAGCGGTTGTAATTCTAGTCTCATGGATTTCTTGCAGAGTAAGAGCTCCGGATTCAACCCATCCGTCCGCCCCATGACCAGAATCACCACGGTACTTGGTTCATACACTTGCTTGGTCGAGTGCTTGACTAATCATCTTAGCAGTTCCTTGCCTACATGACCAGGACGATTTAGAATTTTGGCGTCTGTCTCTTCCAAATTGTCATCCCCACCTTAACCTATAAGTCAGCTCGCAAATGGTTTGTTTAAAAAATCGCAGCGACCACTCTACCGTCGTGAAAGCACGCTTTACCTTGGGATCTGAGAAATTGAGCGAGGCAAAAAGCAACACACTACGCTAGAAGATTTGAGTGATGGTTCAACCCGACGGAAAGCTCCGTGAGTCGGGTCAACTGGTGGTCTCCTGCAGGATACGGTGGGATTATCGATTCTCATCACTTCCTTTTTCGGTGAGAAAGGCTAGTCTTTCCTCCAATGACAGCTTACTATGTGAGGACAAGAAAGAAGGGGCGGAGAACATTTGCCATGATGTGTGCTCCGTAGACAGTTTGCTATTCTCTCCGAGAAACTAATGTTCTAATAGTGTACATGCTGGGAACTTGGTAGCAAGGTTCACTACACGTCGACAAACGGCCCACGTCATTAACTTGCGTGAATCCAGTCCAAAAGAAAGAAACCAATGACTGCTTCTGTATAAGCTGCCCTCTACATTGCACTACCCGCAAAATATTAACCCGAACCGCATAGCCTTAGCCTGGGGATTACGGACGCTTGGCATCGGGCTCTCGGGGTAAAACTCACTACATTACGAAAATGGTCTAAACATCTCGCACACTGTCTTCCCGGAATGGATCAACATATCCAATTACATACTTATATCCTGTAAGATACACTTTTGGGTATGGGGAAGAAAGCGGGAAGCGGGGAAATTCGCAACCTGGACTAAAAATGGCTTCTGTCAACCATTTCCGTAATCATATTAACTGAAGTACAAGTGCCATAGCCAAAGGCGGACTCGCAATGGAAGACGCATACTTAAATACTTCCTCACTCTACCGCTTCTTTTTAATTGAGAATGATATGATCCTTCTTCTTCCGCCGTCTTGACAATCTTGTCTCTTCTCGTCATGGTTTTGCGCACTTTGATCACGTTGACTTGGCTGCTGGTGATCTTTGGAGTTGCTTCGGGGATCCCTTATGAAACATACATTCTCGCACCCAGGTCACGAGAGCTCAAACCAGTATCGGTAAAAGACGTCCGAGGGACCGTCAAAAACTCAGAAGCTCTGCTTGACGGTAAAAGTGGCACTGCAACCTTTGAGGGCGATGGCTGGGTGACGCTTGATTATGGAAAGAACATTGGCGGCCTCCTTTCGATCGACGTCGAAAAGGTCAGCGGCGAAGGTGCTCGTATTGGAATCACTTTCTCCGAATCGCCGGTTTTCATCAGTGTCAATTCTAGCGACGGCCAGTCGGACGGCGGTCGCGGCGAAAAGATTTATCTTACCGTTACCCCCGATCACAAGAGATTCACTCTCCCGGAGGATCGCATCCGAGGCGGATTCCGGTATGTCAGTCTCTCAACGAGTGCAGGGGATACAGTCGAGGTCAACGCCGTCACAACCTACTTTACGCCTGTTTCTCACCGAGATCCTCGAGACTACACTGGATACTTCCACTCCAGCGATGAGCTCTTGAATAGAATCTGGTACGCTGGTAGGTACACGACTCTACTGCTCCTCATATCAGAATGAGAGTCTAAGTAATTCAGGGGCGTACACGAATCAAATGAACACTATCGAACCAACTACAGGAGAATCGAACTTTGGTGGGCGCACAGCTGAGGGAACGTACACATGGTCGCTCAACACTACCGTCTGCGAGGGTATTGCATGCGTCGTCGATGGAGCAAAGCGAGACCGATTGGTTTGGCCGGGAGACCTTGTCGTTCAAGTACAGACTATGGCAGTCTCGACCTACGACATGGAGCCTCTTCGGGTTTCACTCGAGTCTCTCTTTTTTGGTCAAGCAGCGAATGGTATGCTCCCATACCTCGGCTGGGACTTCCAGGGGAGGAAGCACGGCTATGTTTCCTTCACATACCACCTGCACAATTTGAATAGTCTCGCTCACTACGTTCGGTATTCTGGCGATAATGAGTATCTGGCTGCGAAATGGCCAGCTTTTGTCAAGGCCATCAACTGGTCTTTGAGCCACATCGACTCCACTGGCCTGATGCTGGTGACTTCAAACAGAGATTGGCTGAGAGCTGGTATGGGGGGCCATGTAAGTTACTTGTTCCCAGCTAGTGAAGGGCCCTTTGCTGAAAGAGAAACATTCACAGAACATCGAAGCCAACGCGATTTTGTACTACACGCTCCAACTCGGCATTCAATTCGCGCTGCAGTTTAATGATACTCAGATTGCAGGAAATTGGTCTACGTACGCCCAGACTATTAAGAAACAGGCCAACACTTTACTCTGGGATCCACAGTCAAGTTTGTACTTTGACAACGAGACTACGACGCTTCACCCGCAAGATGGCAACGTCTGGGCGATCGTTACCCTGCCCCGGAGGCTTTTGGAACAACGATATCGCCATTCATCAGTGGCCTGGAGTGCGAGGCGAACCTACTTATTCGAAATCCCACCAGGGCGCTAGATCTTATTCGTCTACAATGGGGTTATATGCTTGATGGTGCGCCGATGACCAACTCCACATTCGTGGAAGGCTACTCGACGGATGGGTCCCTGGTTTACCGAGCATACAGGGAGTATTCAAGAATTAGCCACACTCATGGCTGGTCCACGGCTCAAACGTATCTCCTTACCTCCTACATAGGAGGAATTCATGTTGAGAAGAAGGCGGGGACACGTTGGCGCGTAGAACCTTTGGTAGGAGATTTGAAGACCATAGATGCCGGCTTCTCAACACGGAAGGGCGACTTCTCTATTAAGATTGAAGCAGACGAGAAAGGCAACATTTCATCTTTGAAATTTTGTGCACCTTTATGCACTCGTGGAACTTTTGTATTGGTTGAGAATGGATTTCTACGTCAAGGGGATAACAAGGTGCGCGTGGGAGATGCCAAGGCTACAGAAGAGTTGCAAGGTGGGTGCTGGGAGTTTGAGCCTATCAAAGCTTGAGACAGTACCCAATTATACAGTCACCATTAGTTTGACCCTGATCGAATGTCTAAATAGCCGTAGAAGAAGCAGCGGGAGATAAGATGGAGAACTATTAGAGGTTAACTCTTCCTACAACTTGGACGGTCTACGCAACACGATTTGGTTGTCATAGCATCGCTGAACATTCCTGATCTGTATAACAAAAGTGTTATATCTGAAGACCAACCTTGTTCCGTCAACATTTAGCGGGTGTGACTTAAGCAAAGCCAGTTTCTAACGTCACGGAAACACAGAAGTTATCTGCACGGCACAGGTGCAGAATCGCGAAGTTGCAGGGCTTATTTTGATATAGTGTAGCACTCATCACAGTTGAACAGATTCCATACTCGTGCAGTAACTGTTGTTTACCCCATACAATACACAAAATATGTAGACATAACAACGGAAAAGACCAATGCCCTGAAACTCCGTTCCTTCAAGCTCGCCAAACTCTCAGGTAGCTGACATCGCGGCCCTAGCTTTCCCTCGGGATCTGGCCATGTCCCATTGGGGCACTCAGCAAAATTCAGCATTTTCAACCGTACATGTTCTTCCAGGTCATGTTCGTCCAAGTTGAGTCCGCATGGATTAGGCGAATTATTCAAAGCCGTCTGCATACACTGCTCGCCGTCTGTGGTGTTTCTGCGACCAGCATAATCAAAGGAGGTAATGTGCATAGGGCATGAGCTTGAGATGTTGGCGAAGTCGGGAAGCTGGGACGAGTCGGGGTCTAAGAAGAATTGCACCGCGCCTCTGTGGGTAGTTTCTTCTATCTTCGTGGTTCCGTTTGGAGAACATATGTTGGCCACTGTCGTCAAATAATCCAACCTAAACACCCGCTCTGGGCCATTGATGATGTTGCTATTGGGCGACGTAATAAGTAAATGGACCCCTTCATCCAGGATACGATTTTCGTTTCCACTGCTCGTTGTCAACCAGTAATTGATAGAAAAGACACGTCCTTCTTTTTCCAAGTCATCCTCGTTTGTGTGACCTTTGATCGACCAGGTAGTTTGAAAAGGTGCAAGCTCGTCATCCCCTACTTCTGGCAGCTTTGAGGCGTTCCGAACGGCGAATATAATAGGAAAAGGCCAAATGTGTTTATACGTCTGATTAGCCACCGGGAAGACTAGATCAAACTCTATGGCGGAAGCGGCGGTACAAGTGAACGGAAAAAGCAGAAGCAGCTGAAATATTGAAAGATAGAAGAGACGCATCTCAAACGTGGCTGCCAAGATCTAGTTGAGCCTCTTAATACAGATTTATGATGTAAGTGAGATAGGTTCACAACAGAGAATCAAATGGCAGAATCAGGCCATTATATTGGATGAAGCCAAGCAAAATCCCGCCCTTGGAGCCTCTTGGCCACACCAACTTCGGGCAATTGCGACAAGAATCCCAAAATGGTTCATACGTCATCCAAAGAAACGGCCAAGATAGGATCAGTTGAATATGACGTCAAACCTCGAATTATGTTTGCAAAGCCAGGAATAGTTCTTTGAGAACGTAAGTTTTGCAGGATCTAGTCAATGACCGATGCTAAACAACAGACAAGTTCATAATTGTTTTAACCAAGCTTTTCAAAGTTGCAGTCTGCAGTGGGGTGGTTAGCCATGTCCACGCACCTCATCGTTCTATAGGTATCAACTCTCGATACAATGGCTATCAGATTGTATTCAGCATAGGCGTAAGTTTTAAAGAGCATTTTATCCTCGCTTAAAATGATGTAGGCAACGCTGCGGGCCACTTCAATGAGCGTCAATGCCAGTATACTCATGGTAGCATTCCAGTTGCCCATGCTAGAAGCGAAGAAATTCATTGAGAGGTCGTCAGTACATTGGCACCACTATGGAGTTAAGAATCCGCGTGGCCGCAGCATTGTGTCTGCTGTCTCTCGCATCAGCAGGGATGTCCCGGTTGACTGCTTCAACGGTGCAAGATTGGATAAGAGGGCCAACTACGTAACAGCTGATTTTCTTTATTGCATCAACCCTCGTACATCTGGTTGTGTTGTTCGCATTATCTATTTTCGGATTGAGAGGGGTTGCTTCTCATGAAGACTGTGCCTATGCAGGAATGCCCACTAGCCTCCGGCTTGTCAAGTGGAAGCATCTGCAGCTCTAGAGGCGGATGAAGAAACCTTCTAATCAATCAAAATCCAAAACCTTTACCAGGAATTTGAAAATAAAAATAACACAAAGTAACCAATCATGCCGAGAACAAAATGAGCTGGAGGCTAAAGATAGCCGTAGTTGACGGTTGGCCTGCGGATCGCTATCAGATGATAGCTTGCCCGATTTTTGAGCATTTTCCAAACAAAGAGATAAGAAGGGTTTCTCCATCCCAAGTTCTTCGTCGCGCAGATTACAACGAGGGGTAAGGAATGTACACCCTTGGGGGTGGTGGAATTGAGATGAATGTTGTGTGATTCACAACCATACTAAGAAGACTCATCCGTCTTCGTCCCGCTTTTATTAGAGAGCCATTAGTGCTTACAGTCACACTATCAACACCATAGGGCCAGCCCATGAATTAGACTAGTGTCGTGAGCCTTCCTAACGCCTCAATATAATGCGCTTCGCATTCTTAGTCGCCGTGTTAAAGACTCAGTACGTGACTCGCTCTTGGGAGTTTCCAGACTGTTGTATTCATTCGCTGGAGTCAGCTTCATATTAACATGGATCACGGAGATTTAATACGTCATCCAGCTTGAGGTTGGCTGCAACACAAGTGCTACGAGCACCGCCAAATTTCTCCGATGCGCATTCATTCCAGGCCCACCCCTTGAATTAATTTAAGCGTTCAATCAATCGAGAAGGTTGACAGCATTTCCCTAATGATCGGTGCACATGGCTATCCAGAATCAGACGAACAGCCGAGCAAAGCTCCCGATAGCCGAGGAGCAAGATCCCGGTCCTGGTCTTGACGGAGCATACACGCCGCTATCGCACCCCCCAATCCTCTAACAGAAGCTTGTGCGGGGCAGTTTCGCAAGCTTCAACCAGCTGCCGAATCGGGAGGTCTGGGGGGCCACACCATTTGTCATACGCGAGCACATCATCGATTGCGATCCTTATCTGTGACGGTCGCTTTCCATCCTTTTTCTTGCATTCTTTCTTCCTTCATCTAACAATTGATTGTTCGTACATTAGCGAATACATCAATTGGGTTCCCGTTAAAGCGCTTGACCAAGGACGCCGTCGAGTAGAGGCACTATCAGCCATGTCCGAAAAACTCCCCTTCACCAACCCTCCGGCCCCGGAGTCACGCCGCCGCAGGACGGCGTGGTGGTCCCTCATCCCGGCCGCCCTCCTGCTGACTTACCTTCACGCCCCATCCGTCGTTCCCTCATTCGGGGGGCATCACGGCGGTGCGTCGCCGGCTTCAGGTGCCTGCCACCAAGTCTCCCCCCTCCTCCCAACCCTGACAACCTCGTCTCTGTCTGAGCTGGACAAGTACCTCGACACACCCAAGTTCCGCAACGAGACCGTCGCTCGCCTCTCTGGCGCCGTGAAAATCCCTACAGAATCTTTCGACGACTATGGAAAGGTGGGCGAGGACGACCGCTGGGACAAGCTGTTTGCCTTCTCCGAATACCTACTCAAGACCTTCCCCAAGGTCCATGAGCACCTGAAGCTTGAGAAGGTCAACACCCACGGGCTGTTGTACACTTGGCAGGGCTCTGATGCGGAGCTGAAGCCGACGGTTTTGATGGCCCACCAGGACACCGTCCCGGTCGCCCCCACGACCATCGACAGCTGGACTCACCCTCCTTTCAGCGGCACCTACGATGGAAAATTCGTTTGGGGACGCGGAGCGATGGACTGCAAGAACTCGCTCATCGGCATTCTAGAGTCCGTCGAGTTGCTTCTTGGTGCCGGGTTCGAGCCAAAGCGCACTCTCGTCCTCTCTTTCGGTTTCGACGAGGAGATTTCCGGCGCTAGAGGTGCTGGCCACCTGGCTCCTACGCTCATTGAGCGCTACGGCAAGGATGGTGCTGCCATCCTCATCGATGAGGGATCCGGTTTCGATACCCAATGGGGTCAAACATTCGCGCTCCCCGGCACCGCCGAGAAGGGATACATTGACGTTGAGATTGTCGTGCGCACGCCTGGAGGTCACAGTTCGATTCCCCCACCGCACACCGGCATTGGTATCGTCTCTGAGATTGTCACCAAGGTTGAGGGATCGCCCTACGAACCTGAGCTGCTCCCCGGAAACCCCTACTTGGGTAAGCTGCAATGCGGCGCCGCATATGCACCCGATTTCCCTTCCAACCTCCGCAAGCTTCTGCCGAGAGGCGAACAGCAGGTCTGCAAGCGCAAGACGGATCGTCTGGCCAAGGAGGCAGCCAAGGCAGGCCCCCAGGTCAAGTACCTCTTCACCACCTCCGTTGCGGCGGATATCATTGACGGAGGCGTCAAGAGCAACGCCCTCCCTGAAAGGACCCGTGTTCTGGTCAACCACCGCGTGAACGTCGGCGACACCCCCGCCAGCGTCAAGAAGCACCTGACAAATCTCATTCGCCCCATCGCTGAGAAGTATAACCTTACACTCCAAGCCTTCTCCGGCGCAGCTGAGGCGCCCTCGAGCATCAACCTTTTGGATAACGACCGTGTCCTCGAGCCCGCGCCGGTTACACCCACTTCCGTAGATGGCGTCACGCCCTACGGTATCTTGTCAGGCACAACAAGAGCTCTGTATGGCGAAGAGATTGTTGTGTCTCCGGGTATCATGACCGGTAACACCGACACACGCTACTACTGGGATCTGACGAAGCACATCTTCCGGTTTTTGCCCGGATTTGATCCCGAGAGCGACGAGTGGGCCGGAATCCATACCGTTGATGAGAAGACCAGTGTGAAGGGACATATCAACTTGGTCAAGTGGTACACTACCTTTTTGAGGAACATTGATGAGGCGGAATTCCAGTAAACGGGCAGAATCAATGAGGAAAGCAAGAGAAAACGGCTTTGTCTCCGTAGCTGGATAGCATGAATTCTAGCGTTTGAAATCAGTTGAAACCCAATTAATAGGACAATTAGCACCTGATCACTCGGTTTATGGTTTGTAATTTCTCTCGTGAGCAGCTACAAATTCTTAACTTGCCGCCAGGCTTAGATAGCAATTACCGCTCGCTTTTACCCGGTGACAAAATCAGAAAGGAAAAAATCAGAGCCACGAGCGGCGGAATCAATACTATACTCAGTGTCATAGACAACTTGATCCAAAAAGCTCGGGGTTGTGTTGCCAGCTACACTACCTCGTTGTCGAAAGGCGGCGGACACAGACCTCTGTCTTCCATCATACCACCAATTTCAGAACAGGATAGGACTTTAGCCAGCAAGAGACAACATCAGGAGAAAATCTGGGGTTGGAAGACAGAACGCCGCAGAAAGATGGATTTGGTTTTCATTGACAAACATAGCACTAACAAAGCTCTGTGACCGGGCTGGAGGAAAGCGATTAGCGTAACTGGATGTGATGAAGACGTTGACACTCAAACCTAGGGCGACCAAAGTCCAGTAGTTCAAGAGGAGCACGTCAATATAGGTGATTCATAACACCAAGAGGGAGCTAAACCGATTTGATAAAAATACATACGGAACAGCTTACTCGTGCCAAAGGCATCGTGACTCGTCTGATAAATCCCCTCCTCCTCGCCACAGCCGTCCAACGCTCCTCCCTCAGCTGACCTCAGCCTATGATCTTTCCACGCCCTTGCTTTGTGAAATACACACTACCGTGAAGATAGACTGGGCCAAAGCCCAAGCAGGCTTTGTAAGGTGCCAAGTGGTTTGCAAGAATTCAACCCCTCACAACAGCCCCTGTCAGCTTGAGAACTTGGTGTTTGTTGTGCCGTGCTCTGTAATACCACAGCACCCACTTTCACAAATATAGTATCTGCCCGAACGCTCCCTTCAACAAAGTGTAGCTATGGGGTTCATTTTCCCTTACTAGAGCTGCCAAACAGAAATCGAAATCTTGTTTTCGTCTGTCCAATCCCTTGAAAACATACATCCTGCTGCTGGTCATGAACCTTCACCATTCCCACTTTCCAGAAATTTACCTTGAAACCTCTTACTCCCACTTTTCGAGAGCGGTACCTATGTATTCCAAGCTCATATCAGCTTTGCCCGTGATCACGGTCATTGGCTCTACTTTCATGGCTTGGAAGCTACTCTGCTTGACGCTTAATTGCTCCAACCCAGCCATGGTGGTACTTTCAGAGTCCATGTACCCAGCCTTTAGCCGAGGGGATGTGATATTCCTATCGAACTGGAAGGAAGAGTTAGAAGTCGGCGATATTCCTGTGGTATGGTTCGAGGGTCACCAGCTACCAATGGTGCATCGCGCTATTGCAGTGCTGTACGAGTAAGTTAGAACAATCGCCCTTCTTCCAGTCATCTTCAAATGATTCAGGAAGAGAAAAGGTTAGGTAGACAGAAGGCCAAATAAACTGACATTATAGTAGTGACAGTGGTCGACAGTCAATCCTAACGAAGGGTGACAACAACAGGTTGACAGATGAGATGCTATATCCTTTTGGCCAAGACTATGTACTAAGAGAGCAGGTTGTAGGCCTTGTGGTAGGCTACATGCCTTACGTGGGCTGGATAACGCTTGCGGCCAGAACGTTCTCAGGATACAAGCAGTTGTTGGCATGATAGCTGTCTATCAATTGACTATAATAACTGTCAAGATAACATTATTCTACCAAGCAATATAAGAATATATGGGACAGTCGTATCAAAGTCTCGCGAAGTGTCGGTTTTCGAGACCAAACTGTATGAGGATTAAAGCTTTAGACACCACGAACTAACTCTCCGTAACGTAATCTTCATTTCTTGTTTGTTCTACGGCGTAAAAATGAGACAGGCAATCGATCAATCATTTCAACACCCATCGGCTCATCATCTCCGATCTGCAGATTCACAATGGCTTACAAAAATGGGTTTTCGGACTGTATTAGGGCTTCTTTGATGAGGAAACGCAAGGTTTTGGGATATATCCACCTCGGAACTGCCCAGAAGAACCACGTAAAAACCCATATGAAACCGAGAGTCCTGCTAGCTACACACAGCCAAGGATCCGGTCTTAGATGTACTGACAGCCCTGTTCTCCTGACTACGCGATTGTAGATTTGGGAGACAAGTATCTCAACCGCAACAACAAGGAAGTTCGCGCAGAAAAACCATATATCTAGGTCTGCAAAACGTTGGCCGGTGCGCCATGCCGCTGTCGCATGCATCAGCCCAGAAAGAAAGAAGACACCAAATGCCACAGCCGCATTTCCAATTGCTGTTCTTGACTTTACTCTCAAGATGATTTCTGCCCACTTCGTGAATGTTGGCGTTGCTATGCGATGCCAAAAGCGGCCCCAGAACCGTCGTATAGTCCAGGCATCAGCAAGGCTGCCAAACAAGGGCGGCCAGTCGTCTGGGTCGTCAAGTCGAAGAACAGCAACAAAGAAGACTGCCAGAATGGCGTGGTAACATTCGAGAGTCATGAAGTTAAACCATATCCACGAAAGACTCATGAAGGCCCGTAGCGATATCTGGCGGCCCGTTACTGAGTTGTATTCAAGGTTTTCAGTGTCAAAGGCAACAGAAGACAACTGGCTAACGAGGGGCCTGATTATGTGGTGCTGGTCAGGCGCGAAATCGAGAATGCTACCGTCAATGAATAGGCGCTCTCGGATTAGCTGGACTATCCAACGGTCGACAAAAACGATCGAAAAAGCCTTGAGTCCGCGGAGAAGAGCAAATCGTAGACGCGATGACCAGGCCGCACAGCTTGGGCTGGTACGACCTCGGAAATCCAATTTCCGAGGATTGTTCCAAATGCGACATGCTGCTGAGATGCTGCGTCGACTGGGCCATACAAAACCACTGTGTCTCAATTCCCTGGAAGGCTTTTCGTTGGTGATTGGCGCTAATGAGTGGTCTTCCAGAACAAGGATATTGGGGAGTATAAACATGAAGAGGAAGCATGTTATAGCTGTGTACGAGTTCAGCCCCGTGAGCACGCCTGTCAGCCCCGTGTTCCCAGTTACTGAAGCTAAAGACCAAGCCGCAAGCAACCATGTAGGCAAAAGAAAGAAACAATGAAACTTGGTCGGAAAATGAAGAGCTACTACAGTCAAAGTAGCAGATGATATGAACAGATAGGCTGGTTTGAGAATTTCGACGGGAATCATAGAAGAAAACCTAACCATCGTGTCAGATTTGCTCGCCATGTTGAATCACGCTGGTCGTTTAGATTAGTAGGCAGCTATTAAAGCAAGTAGCGGGCTTGTTAAAAGCCTTTTTTTTTTCATCCCAGATTGCTTCTTACGGAAATGAATTGCTTCCAGTTGAACAGCATGGTATAGCGCATATTTTAACGTCGCACCCGGCAGTTCCATGTGGTGAAATGGCGCTGGAAGCCTCTTTCCACATGCTTCTGTGACATGCCTCAACAAGGACCTGGTTAGGAGCTTGTGCGCCTGTAGGATGATAAACATGTATTGTTCGGAGCATAATAATAGGGAGACTATGATGGAGCAAACAGTATCCCCAGAACCCCCAACAAGGCAAAAATAATTCGAGTGTTCTGGTAGGAGCACTTTCCATGGTGAAAATAGTACTTTAATAGAGTTCAAGTAACAAAACCAAACACAGAGAATAAGAAACCCCTTTCGATCTGCATTGACAGTCTCCTGCGCTTGAATTCTAAGCCTTCGGCCTCAGGAGTCTTGTGACACAATGTATGACTTAAACTCCCTTTCGCTCTTTCAAATTTGGCTGCATTGACCGCTCTTTTATTTTTGGTGACCTAAGCTGTTAAATCATGGTTTATTCCATTTGTATTGTGCCGACTTTGTAGCTGAATGTTCATCAAGACAGACCGAAGAGATGCTGTTACTTTTAAAGGCCTGCGGTTCAATCACATGAGGCATGGGTATTAGATGTACTGGCTATTGAACGAAGAAACTTGATTAGACTATGAGCATTCGATCACGAGTTGGAACCCTGAGAGATTTTCAGTTTGATCATCAGAAGGAGAGTCTTGGGACGTTCAGGGACATGCTTTTGCGCCAAGGTCTGTGTCGGCTGGAATTACAGTGTGATGAACTGCAACAAAAAAGAGGAAACTAAGGCACCTGTCACGTTTGCACGGCATCCCGGCCTGCCACACGGCCAGATACCTGTCTCATGGGCAGAGACCCAGTAGTCTCCCCCTTCCTCACGGTGAGGGTCATCCTGGGTGACATATTTCTTCTATTCATTTCAGATCCTGAGTTTTCTGCATTTTACGACCATTGTTTATTGCCACCAGAAATTCTCGTTTCATAACGGTTTGTTTGTCCGTGCGGGTGACCTCTGTGAAACCCGCAAAACCAGACACACTTGGCTTTCAGTCTCCCGAAGTTAAGGCTCTAGAAGTTGAAAGGTCGAGAGCGAATCATGAATAAGTGGCTCCTTCTACAAACATATCGATATGGGCGAAAATCCATAGTCTTTGTGCTTCAAGCCTTCAACTGTCAAGCATTTATGTTCCTGCTTTTCTACCTTTTTGGGAGAGAAAGAGTTTGACAACATCCGCACAGAGGTTTGAAGCAGGGGTACCCCTTACGGACTCCGCAGGAGACGTCAAACTCAGTCGTTGCGACAGGCACGCATGGCAGGTCCCAGGGACAAATTAGAGAGTAATGATAAGCCAAGGCTCTTAACAATGTATATAACGAGATGAATAAGTATAAGAATGTTTGATTAAATACTGAGAATGAACTGTCGCCTTATGTGTGCAATAGCAGAAACAAGTAGACTTCTTTTTGGTAACGATAGAACGGTTTCCTGCTTCAAATAGTACATTAAATATGGAACGAAGAACCACTAACAAACATAAATTATTTCCGACCAGAAACATCAGAATGTGCACCGTCCGCGTACAACGAATGATGCCGGACTTCTCATTGTTGTCCGTCAACCGTGGGGATGCACCGAAACATCGGACGTGGCAGCTCGAAAGACTCATAGAATTTCCCAAAAGAGCAGGCGGATGGATGAGAAAGCTGTGGAGGTCGTGCAACAGGGAAAGTTCAGGTAGGGTTGTGCATGTATCATGTCTAAGCTACTTTGACGCTCTGACTAGTTCTTATTGGCGACGACTGCGAGCTGGCTCACTCAGCCCTTCCGGTCTGGCGGCATCGGTGGCCCCTTTCTCACAAGAAACATCGCCAAAATGTCCGATCCCAACTGACAACATAGTCTTAAAACAGAAACCAATGTATTCTCAAGATATAGCATGGATCCTGTTAAAGATGGGATGGTAAGGAGTCCTTATATCGCGCACAGAAGTTGATTTGTCGGAGGCTTTGCAGCACATGGTGACGAGGTCAGGTAGGGGAGTTGGTCCCAAAATGACTACATTTATCTTTGGCCTCTCTAATCATTTATGAGATATTAGTCCCTTTAAATACGTAGCCCTCGCAACATCCCTTGCATTCCTCAGCTTCCCAACACATAACATCGGCATATAACATAATAAGAACTACGAAAGTCAATCTCACACCCAAACGTTTAGGTTCACGGAAATACTGGCAAATAGACTGTTCCTATTTACCAATTTTACTCTTAGTTTGCCGACCTATTCTTTTCTTGCGGCGCCACAATGTCTTTCAATGGGAAAGCACCTCTCAACTTGGTCCTAGGAGCCTCAAGCGTACGTAGCCCTCTCTTTATTAATTGTCTTGAATGTTTGACATCGAACCTCAATAGATTGGGGATACTGCTATTGATTCAATGGCACGTTTTAATAGCCCTGATGAGGTTAATGGCTTTCTGAACGCCTTTGCTAAACGCGGGTACTTTCAACTCGACACCGCACGCCTTTACTCGCCCCATGCGCCAGGAAGCTCCGAACCTCGGATGGGAGCTGTCGGCGCTGGTGATAGATTCATAATTGACACAAAAGTCATGTCGGGTAAACCGGGCCTTCATTCAAAAGACAACATTTTGAAAGAAATCGATATCTCGCTTGAGGCATTGAAGATCAAGCAAATCAACATTGAGTATTTGCACATGCCGGACCGAGAAACGCCATTCCGGGAGGCATGTGAAGCCATGAATCAAGCACATACGGAGGGGAAGATCAAGCACTGGGGAATTTCCAACTATTCCGCCGAAGAAGTACAGACATTTGTGGACATCTGCAATGAACACGGCTTCGTCAAGCCCAGCGTCTATCAGGGACAATACAACCCGATCGTGCGAAGCAATGAGAAGGAACTCTTTCCTCTCCTACGAAAGAATGGCATTGCATTTTATGCATTTAGCCCCGCTGCTGCTGGCTTCTTTGCTGGCAACCACAAGAATGTGCAGGCAGGTGGACGATACGACAAATCTGTGAGGAAACACGTCACTCCTGGTTGAGAATGTAGCACAAGAACTGACCAAATCTCCGAAGAACCCCTCGGGTATAGCATACTCAAACTTCTACTTGAAACCATCCATTGCGGCCGCCACCGAAAAAGCCCTGGAAGTCGCGTCCAAGCACGGAATTGGAGGCCATGCTGCAGCCCTTCGGTGGACATCGTATCATAGCGTCCTCAGCAAGACGCACGGGGACTCTGTCATCATTGGGGCATCCAGCCCCGAACAGCTGGAATCTAACATCGATATGATTGAGCAGGGCCCATTACCAGAGGATGTTGTGGCTGCTTTTGAAGCCGTATACAAGGAGATTGGTGATGTAGTTCCGTACCACATGTGAAAATGAGTCTGCTAAGCATGTACTAGAATCGCAGCTAGATTTAATGTGGCACGGGCAACTTTGGCACGGGTTGAACTTAAGCTTTAAGCTTTCATTAGATGGTTAATAGGGGCTTCACGTGCATGGCGTCCACTTGGCTGAGATTTAGCTTTTTAAGTGACCAATAAGTGAGATCATCATGGCTGCTCATATGGCCTTGAGGTAAACTTTCCTATCTCCAACCTCTTAAATGGTGTTCATCATATTAATCATTTGGCTTCGATGGGATAGACTAAGTTGAAGCTACAAATCCGTTTCCATGCGGCTCTACGCTAAAGCACTCAGAATGAGAAGCATAAATGTGAATAAGTTTTAAAGTTATATTTAATTCACCCACCTGCTTACCCGGATGTGGCTGTTTGTATTGTCTTTGGGTGCTGCTTAGTGTACAGGATAAGTTAGCTAGGAAGCAGGAAGAATGCTAAACCCTTCCGTTAGAAATGGTTGCCCCAACTCGCCGTAGAGACGTCAGATTATATTCACCTCCTGTCCGGCAAAATGAGGAGTTGTGCCGTAGTGCTTATATTCGGCAAGCAGAACAATAGAACAGCAAAACAAAGCGCTGATAGTGAGAGAACCAACTAAAAAGAGAGGAAATTTGGGTAGATCTTCCAGTCTGCTGCTTAGCAGATTGTCCCTTCAAATGTTGAGGGCAATAACCTTAAACCAATCGGTCAGGTGGAATTCTACATGGATAACAGGGATTCTTGTTACTTAAGTAACCAGACTGAATTGGGAATTTTGCACCGAAATCTTGTCTACGCGAACGGCATGGTAGTTGATTATTTCGGACTTTGTCTACATTCAAGACCAGTTAACCCATGACTAGACGTTGAAAGAACATTGTGAAGGCTTTAAACGCACATATTGACTTTTTTAAGCTCAGTGACTGCGACATAATTAGAACAAGATCGAAAGGCTGTCAGCTTAGCGTAAGAGAGACTGGCGGGAGCATAACCTTGAATTTTTCCTATGCCGAAAGTCAAATTTTAGACTTCAGGTAATCACTGGAACCATGGCACAATCAAGTTTCTACGGAAACTGCCGACACGACAACGATGAATGACTTTATATACTCTAATTCTTCATTTATTGCTCTTTTCCTTAGCGAAAACGATGGTCATTCGAAAGATTAATGCCCACGCGTCCTATTAGTCAATTTCTTTTTAACCGGTGACCGTCAAAAGCCGAGTCCGAGAACGAGTCAGGTATCTTGTCATGTATTAATGAGATGATCGTAAAGCCAGCTAGCTAGTCATTCTAGCAATTAGAGTTTACAGGGATGTCTTTAGACCCTTTTCTCAAGGCACTTTCAGAAGGGGATCATCAGCTTAGTTCAACAATGTTCAACGGTGTTCAACGAACGCTAGCTCTTTTTCGTGGCTTGAACTCAGAATAGCATCTTGATCTAGTAGTTTAGTATTTTGATCTTGGTACGCCCTCATGCAACCTTGCTAAACGTAGGATGACGAAAACGAGTCGCTTGGAGCCTCCACTTTTGAGCCGCATGCTTTCTGGGGATGTACCGCTGGATCCGGCCCTCTGGATACGAGCAATATTGAGTCGACTGAAGCTGATTTAACTTGTGGAGCTGTCTCAGTACTGGTGTTGCCTGAAAAGCGGTGTTATGTTCACCCTCAGCGGAAGCTGCGGATCTTGCTGGCATCAAGCAGCGGTTATAAAGGGTGGCTACACCAGACCTTCGGCCTTCTTCCGGTTCCAAATTTCCAACACAAGTTTCTGTCTTTCCCAATTTCTCTTGAAAGTTTTTCATCAATATCACTCCAGCCAGACAGTAAGATCTGTTGAACCACAGTCTGCAAAATGTAGGATTATTATGACTAATATTTCCTCAGCAATGAAGTTCACTATCGCCACTAGCTGCCTTTTGGTCTTGTACACCGGCCTTGCGAATGCCGCTACCGGTTGCCGGATCGAGTTGCTCAACTTTAACCAAGCCGTCGTTGGCAGTGCTTGCATTCCTTTCAACTACAACGCCAACATCATCGACTCTTCCACTCGCCAGGGCTACAACGTCAAAGTTAATAACATTTGTGGCGCTGACTTTTCTGGCGGCCAGAGAACTGTAAATTACTCTCTGCGCAAAGCGGGCTACTGCTGAACTTCAAATGATGTCGTCTACTCTCAGCCAATAGTAGCTTCTGGCGCTTTCAATGCGATTACCACCAATGGGTGCCGATAAGCGGATTATGTCCAACGCCGTCCCAGACAGGCCGCGCAAGTCTCCAAGATATGTAAAGACAGGTCACCTACTCGGTTGGGTTCTTTTGTTATCCACATAATCTCAGCAAAGATTGTGAGGGCTTTCTGTCATGCACTATTATAATACACTTTCCTGATTTATGGTTATAAGAATTGACAAGTACTTGAGAATTGTCCAGGCTATGCGTGATATGAAGCGTTATTTTTAACGTAGCCAAGCCTGGAATCAGCAGATCTAGCCAGAGCAGACCCAGCGCGTTTCTATCTGGGATTCATAAAATCATGCGGCGAAGATGGGCCATAGCCTATTGTTCGACGACCCTCCCGTTCATGTTCATGATACACGCCATTTAAGAATTTAAAGCTGTTTCAAATGATCGCACATTTCGAGGGGTGCTGTTACTTTCGCTCTGCATCGAACAAGCTAACGCTGTGAAGGGCTGACCCCGCCTACAGGGTTACAGTGACAGCCGCACACTAATTAGCCTTCAGCACGTGTGAAAACAGAAGTGCTACCACATTGAGCTAAACCCACAAAAGGATAACGTAACAAAATGTCGCTTCCTTGTTGTGTGGCTGCACTTAAAGAGGGATAATGCGTAGGCACAGCTTATGGTGTATCTACAATGACTGCATACAAACCCAGCGCTATTGCATTCGGTAACGCATTAATTGTAACTGTCATATTGATTTTCTTACTAATCAAGCTTGGCATGCTTCTCTTGGTTCCACTGAGATGCATGCTTCGTATATCTTACTCTGCGCGCAAGCCATTTGGGCGTCCTCAATGGCCTGCGCAAGAAGATCTTGACGAATGGATATCACTCGTATCCTCTGCACGCACCCACATAGAAAATAACGCTGCACTAACTTCAGCCGCTCGTGATGACTGCAGTTTCGATTTCGATTGGGTGGTTAGGATTATACGGTGAACAAATTTCACCAGGGATTTTGAAAACATCCATGGCTTGCTGACTCAATCATAGAGTGGTTAGGGTTGCAATTTATGGGCTCACCTCAGCTTTGTAGTCCCTTCCAAAAACAGTTTCTATAGGACACGATTATTTACAAATACCTAACAAATGCCCTCTTTGAAGGACAACTGAAGCATTTCTCTTTTCAAGCCACTGACCCCTACATTGTATCTGTAGCCTCCGTATTGTACGACCATGGAGACGGCGAGACAGAAAATTATGTTTTTAACGAACAGCGACTATGGGCAGGCCAACGTTGTTCTCTCTATAGCATATGTTATTGTTCGCAGCTCGCCGCGCATCGAGGTGCATATCGCATCACAGAGCAAGCTCAAAGAGCCAATGGCCCGCCTTGTCAAGCAGGTAGCGGCTGACATAGGGTCAGCGGCCGCGGACGCTCTTGTTTTTCACCAGTTGATAGGGCTGTCTCATTTTGATTCAATAGACACACCTGGCAGCCCCGGTTTCGCGCCATGGATGACTGTCCCAAGTTTCATCAACGTCACTCGTAACATGCTGGATTTTGCAAATCTCCTTCTCCCTTGGAGTGTAGAGGGGTTTGTGGAGATTTATAGAGACATTGATCGGGTTTGGAATGAGGTCAAGCCAGACGTGACGGTTTCCGAGGCGATGTTTGCTCCTGCGCTTACTTTTTGCAAAAGCAACAAGATGAAGTGGATTGCTCTCGCCCCAAACACCATCAAGGAATTCGCACTACCCCTTCAGCCCAGGTTGGGGATGCTCTGGAAGTTCCCAATGTAAATAAGGCATTTATCAACTTTTTCCTGTTCATTGCTGACTGTTCTATTTAGGACCAGCACCAGCTTCCCATATCCCGTCCCCCTTCACTTAATACCGCTTAATGTATTCTACACCATCGTCGCTGGTGTAATTGTTTCCACTAGTAAAAGGCAAAGTCAGATATCTGAGCACCTCCATCGCGCCATAGACCCGAAAATCGAAGTCTTTACTATTACCCATATGGGCTTGATGAAGGCACCACCAGAAGGCCTACGTGTATTAGTCGCCAACAGCCCTGACATCGACTTCCCCTTTGAGGTCATCCCTAACTTTATCACCCCTTGTGGTCCTATCACACTTGCCTCTCCACCAATCTCGGATGGAAGTCAAGACCCTGAGTTAGCCGGCTGGCTGAGCCGTGGGCCGACAGTTTACATGAACCTTGGTACACACCACTTATTCGATATCTCTCTCGCAAGAGAAGCCGCGCTAGCCTTCCGGTACTTGCTTGACGAAGCTCAGGTATCCCAGCATCACAGAAAGCTTCAAATTCTCTGGAAAATGCCTCGAAAGTCATCAGAAGGGGACCATACTGACCCCTCAAGCACGGAGTTCCTCGGCCCCTGGCAAGAAATCAAGGCGATCCTGGGTTCTGAGATTGACAGAGACCAAGTCCGTATCGTGAACTGGATCACTGCCGAACCCAAATCTGTCCTCGAATCAGGCCATGTTGTCCTGGCTATCAATCACGGGGGCGCTAATAGTTTCCATGAGGCACTGTGGTTAGTCACTTTTCCACATTTGCACTACTTTTTTCTTAAAAAAGATTACTGACGTGTATTTCATTAAAGTACTGGCATTCCTCAAGTAATTCTTCCGGGATGGCTTGACTGCTACGATTTTGCCCAGAGGTGTGAGATTCTCGGAATAGGAAAATGGGCAAACAGAAAAGCTAAGCCTTACTGGGAGCGCAACGAACTCGGCGAAGGTCTTGTGGATACCTTGCTGGGACCCGAAGCAGGAGCAATGAAAGCTCGTGCCAAGGAACTGGGTGATCGCCACCCTGAGGGTGCTGGCCGAGAAAAGGCCGCCAGGGAGATTCTGGCGCTATTGTAAGAAGCAGGGCAAATATCTCACACAGCTAGAAACCATTTCAAAGGTAAGTCGGAGTCATGTCAGCTTCAGACATAACAAGAAATCACCAGGTGTGATGGTTTTATTTTGCAACTGACAATTCCACTTATGTTACCGATGTTGTTTCGTTTCTTATCATTGAATCTATAGAATTTACTAGCATTTAGGTAAATTTCTAATACAGTATTGCTATTACGATGGCTTCTCTTCTTTCTGCCACCCCCTCATAGCCTGGCATGGAGTTGTTATGCCGCATCCACCAGTACTCAGAGTGCTGTAGGAAACACAACAGAAGTGTTGATAGGCTCCTGTCCTCCAAAGAATATTTGTTCTGCCTCTAATGTTATATATGTACTTATTGAGTTTTACACATCTTTGATTACTGAGAGGCGGTTAACAGCGCGGTAATTTATCATAACCAAGCAACCAGGGTAAAATCTACAAAACAGGTAGTTCCGCATCTGCTTCTAGGCGGTTAAAACGGAAATCCTACCGAATCATAAGGTTCTGGTGAGCCCTTAGTCTCGGGCCATGCCAATCTCTTCGAATCCTACATTACTGGTCTTTCTAGTTATACGGAAGTTTTTTTTTCGGTTCGCGGGCATTCAAAACGATGACACTTATTCAGAGCTGACATGGTTTTGTGGCTCAGACGAACCTCAAACTCAGAAAATTCACAGAGCAGTTTCTTGAACGTGGGATAAAAACCGAAGAAATACTGCAATCGGGTATGCCATCGAGGTCCTTTTCGTCCCTCCTGCGCCCTCAGCAGGTATCCCACACAACTTCAAAATTTAACGGGGTAATACTTGCCTCCATAACCTGCTGGACTATCCCTCCTCTATTCTACCTTTATAGTCTTTGCGTGTCAGCAAGGAGATTGATCCTCCGAACAAGATTTATCGTCCCCTCAGATTAGACTCATACAACGTGCTGAACCATGCCTGGTCTAAGTTGTTCTTACGATGCCGCAGAAACTCAACTAAACGGCTCTATTCTTGCCAGATGACCCACAATTTTATCAATATCAACCGCCGAACATCCAGACCATCGGCCGCCCGTTTGATGATGGATAAGTGATTGAGGTCATATCTGTCATAGGCTTGGTTGTTAATGAAGGAGAAAACTCCAAATTGCGAGGCAATGAGAAACTTTAGGTCAACCTTTGATGAGAACTTTCAAAAGTGCTTACGCATGTCGATTTTATGTCTTTGCAATAAACGTCCTGTGTGTGGCTGTACACCAGAGAAGGAGATTATGTACGCCCCTCTCGAACGATAGTTCTTACTTTTCAAATTGATTCTTTCTTTATGATGTCTGAGCCTCCCACTCTCAGCTAGATCCAGAATCACATGGTTACATTAGGGTACCTCGAACGTAATAGGCCATAGTTGAGCAGGATGGACCATAACTGCTACCTCAAAGAACATGCTGAGAGTGCGACTACTAACTTGCCGGAATAAATTAACTCTTCTCAAACCCAAGAAGATGAGCTTTTGGAGTTGCGTTCCCAAAGCCCGGGTAAAAAGATGACAGAATTACGACAAGCGTTGAGGTAGAAACATCAAAGCGATACTTGGGTTTTCTTGATTTCCTAGAAGAATCCAAGAAGACCCAACAGTACCACAAAAAGGCGTGACGATGACAACTATAGGATCCAAGGTGAAAAGCAGGAAAGACAATGTGGGATGGTAAGCTCGACAGTGAAAAGACAATAACTTGTACTCAGAGAACCCCATCCATTCGCACACCTGTTCCATTTTGTGATATCAACTCGATTCAACAAGTGAAAGACATCTACGGTTGCGGCTAATAAAGTTCGTTGTTATGAGCTGGTTTTAACTCTACTCAACCTTATAAGCGACGGTACCCGGTAGATATCTCCTATAGTTTCGTACTCCTTGCGTGGATACTTCTGTCAGGGAAGAAGGATTGTGAAATGCGACCGGATAATAGACATTTGAAATTAACAGTCTGTCATAGTGAGTTGTACTATCTCTTTGTCGGCCTGTGTCTTGTGCCATTCATCAAATTCAGTATTCTCACCAACAAGTTATGGAAGTATGAATCACCAAGGACTTTCCGTTGGATGGATGAAACTTTTAGCAATTAACTTTCTTCCCATTCACTCACTGCCTCAGTAAGAATATTTAGCATTCCCAATTCCTACTTATTGATTCAGTCATAGTTCATAAGGTTAGCAAACTTGCCATTGTTCGTCATTAACTCGTATTTATAACCTAACACAAATAGTTACAACATCACGACAAAACATCCGAACTGAAACGGAGACTTTCCGAATCCAATACACCAGAAGAAGGCAGATTCAGCATCAGCCCTAGAAGGCCGAATTTAAATACTCAAACTCAACGCAAGCAAACTTTCGGGACGAACCTTGGCATCACCAAACATACACACAGTCACGTTGAGGCAGAGGCACTTAGACATGGCGTGAAACACGTAAACTGTTTCTAGAACTACAGGAGATACTGATCTGAATGGAATCGATAAATTCGAGAACACGTCTTACATTCAGCCATGTAGCAGTTCCACTTCTTTCTGAATGATGATGTATTGGATTACTAACTAATCTCTTTCAGTGGAAAACCGGACACGAGTATCAGTCAATGTTTGAGGAGGGATGTGCCTGTCTAGGCCACTCGCAGCCTCGCTTCATGATAACTTTGTTCTGGAAGTGTGCTGCGAGGAAACTGATCACAGTCATCGTTTACTTGTCATATCAGGGAGGCTTCTCCCTACCATTGCCTCTTCGCAATGTCTTTCATTTCACTGCTTCTTCATGTACACTCAGGAACTCTGCGATACCAAGACCATTCAGGATGAGAATACACAGTACTATGAAGTTGTTTGCGTCGTCAATACTTACACAGCAAAAGTCCAACATGTAAACCAACAATCTCAAATGTAAATGAGCTCAAAAAGACAAGAGTTGCCCTCACATGCCGCATCTCCAACTTCCTATAACCCCTAGATCAAAATCGCCAAAAAAAACAAAACAACCTTTCGCCACAGGAGGCCACCATCCACGTGTGCAACGCCCAAAGCCACAAAACGACCATCACATCCCTCTAGTCCGCCACCCAAGTATACATCTAGCCTCTCACTGGTCCCTTCCATGGCTGCTGACATTCCACACATCCGTGCATACAAATCCCCCTATCCGAACACGGTTGTCACAATTGTCCCAATTGTCCCAAACCCTTACATCCCAAAACCCCGAAGAGAACCCCGAAGAGCGGGCGTCCAGTCAATCTCCCCGCACTCCAAAAGCAAATAGATGACGTCTTGGATATTTTCTGCTGGCGTATGCCATTTTTTCCTCCGGCTGAATACACCAGCTGAACTAACAACGCCATCATCACTCGCAAGGCCCCCAGATGGCAGAGCGCGGCGCGGGATGCAGTACGCGGCTGAAGCCGAGTAGATCATGAAATGCTTCCCGTGGTCTCGGGGACCTGGAAAGCCCTGCAGGGAAACAGAATCCACCGGACCCAGACAACTTAATCAGAAAAGCAAAAACACAAGGAAAAGACCTGTGTTCAACTCACGCCCCCCCTATCCTCTCTTATCCCAAAAAGACTGCGGAACGGCGTTTTGCCCACAACGAAAGCTCAGACCTTACCCTAACCCAAAACCTTGACGCCATCCACGCCTCCTTCCGACTCATCCCTTCCATCCATCTTCCCGGGCGGCGGGCTGGCCGGCCTCAAATGGGCCCCCTCCGAACGTTGAATACGCTCGCGAGCTAGAAAAATGTGGACAACAAGGAGCCCCGGCGAACGTTAAACCGTCTCGTCGCGGGCCGTTCGTCAAGCCGCGTTGGTAAACAGCCACCCCCCTCCCGCGAAAGAAAAAGCCATCTTATCCTCCCCCCGTCTGAAGATCATTAGCAGATAAGCAGGCCAAGCAGGATCAAACTGTAGAAAGCAACGATGATATTCATCATTAGCTTAAGCTGGGTCTTCCAGCTACGGGCCATAGATCCGAGACACAACATACCAGCTCCTGACGCCTCATCGGCGACCTCAAAATCGCCTAGAAGCAGACGTCGCCGACCTGGACCACCGGTGAAGCGCATTCCAGCCCGCAAGAGGGGCCGGCCACATGCAATTCTGAATCAACGCCCATCTTTCCCCTCAGATTTCCCCCTCGCCTCTGTCTCATCGGTACGTGCCAAATGCCCGCAGCCGAAAACGTCATGAAAGAAAAAAAAAGATGAGAAAAAAAAAGAAAGCTGGGCCTCCCCGTGCATTGTGTTGAGACAACCCAAACAGAACAACGGGGAGCAGGAATAAGAAACAATCAGCTGCGTCAGAGAAATAACGACGCAGGGGGCATGTGTTTTCCCGCACTGCAAAAGCAAGGTCGAGGGTTATAAGCCACTAAGTGTGCAACTTGGGAGGATGGAAAAGAGGAAAAAGAAAGTAAGTATTTGGGCGCTCATGGCATTATCTAAAGTGTTGCGGAACCACGAATCCAACCGAGATGTTGCTCATCTGGCTGCACAAGGCGACCAGTCACTGCATCCAGACCCATCGGATTCTTAACGCCACTCGCAAATGAAGACGACGAGAATGGCTTCGCGCATCAAGACTTTGTGGGCTGTGTGTTGGTCTTGGTCGAATGTGCTTGGTGTCTCAGGGGCGTAGTGATCCATTGCCTCGGGGCTGCGTCGACGCTGAACATTGGCTGATAGGTCTACGTTCAATGATGCCGACCACGTTTCGCAGGCGGAAACAAGCTACGCGATGGGCCAAGTCGCAGCCTTCGGTTCTCAAGAGGCAACAATCATAGTCAAAAAATAGCTTCACATGGCAAGGTTAGCACGAAGAGACATTTGCCGATGAGATGGTGTAACCCAACAAATCAGGGGTAATAAATGCCATCACCTGCCACCTCAGTTGAAGTGGATGGTGACCCAAGTGATCCAGGGCAGGAATGCGCCACCGTCAGATTAGACGTTGCCACTTAGGATGCGAGAAAGGCATATTACCTGTCCTTTCCGGAGGGCTACTGAGCAATGCCGGCCGCTTTGTCAGGTTGTAGTTAGTTCTTTGGATGGCAATGGTAAGGGAGTCCCATAAGCAGAGACCACGCGTGAGATCTGACATGTCGTTCTTGACAAACCCCGACATTCATTTTGTGTCACCCGAGGAGAATGTCTCACTATCCCCGCGGTCACTAGCCGAATCAAATCCATTGGTAAGCTAAGCTACTGGTACCATGGTACTTGCGTGAATGCAAAAGCTAGTAGGCCAGGTTCGGACTATTGCAGGTTCAACTTCTATCCGTCATTGCGTAGTAGACCGGTGAAAGAAGAGTATCGAAATTTCGAGGTGTCTTCGTATGGCAGTCTATAGGGCCAAGAGAGCGATGCTTCGTCCTAGAAAAGGGGTGCATACCAGCTTGTGACACCATGACGGCCTTTGCATCTCGGTTGGCTTGCGAGGCACAAACGAACGATACACCCTCCGGTTCTTGCGTCAAAGCCCAGTAGGGTCCCATCCGTCATACCGCACATCTACGACAGATATGTTGATTGAGGCTGTACCCTATTTGGCCCAGCGCAAGAACATGTTGCTCTCGAGAGTTACGTGCATTTGGTACTCACACACGCGGCCATACGATAGACACTTAGTGTCCCAGTTCTGTGGAGTGGAGGGCAAGTTTGTGGTGAAGGGCTAGTGCTAGTCGGCTGCCGTTGCAAACTTGTCAATCATCCGGTTTATTCGGTCTGTCGGGGCTGCAATTCTTACGACCATGGCACAATTCCGTTCATGAATGCTGCATGTACTACCCGAACTAGGTACCAATGCATGTGAACTCCCACCGCCCCTTGTTTTTGACTGACGGCACTGCATGGCAACGAAGGTCCTTGGGCACCAGCCGGGAGAATACCTGTTCGATGGGCGGAGAAGTTGGCCAGATGACAGTGGACCCGCCAATGTCGGTGATCGAGATTAGATCCTGTAGACCGTGGGAGATCTGCCGCATGCTGCGCAGTTCAAAAGTGCCAAATATCAATATTTCGGCCAAAGTTGACTGAAAGAGAGGCTACCGGCCATCGTCCGAGGATTGTTATGGCACATGCCTTCGGGCCTCGTGTTAGAGCCAGTCATGATGACGGGAACAATGCGGTGAGGTACCCTCCGAAGCAGGTTTAGGCGCCCAGGGAGCTAACTTGCTGTTAGCTTCTTTGACACCACCCTCCTCGACGAGCTAGACCTGACCCAAACATGGTTGGCGGCTAGGAGGCGTTCTTGGGCCGATTTCTCTGGCCTAGACGTGACGAAAACCTGGAAAGAAGCAAACTGAGGCCCCTCGCTGTGCCCGTCCAGCTGAAAGGTTTGGTAGGGGAGTGAGTTTGAAATGATGCCGGAACCTGCATCGTGGGCTGTGTCTGTTAGTCCTCTCCGCCATCGCGATTACGTGGAGGGGTGTCGTTGAAGATGGCGGGGTTCACAGCTCGCTCGAATGAGGCCTTGTCAAGGGATTCCTTTCCCCAGAAATATGGAATTGGCTTGTCCCCTGCTAAGAAATCAACGTGTTCCGTTTTCTAGGTTTAGATGATCCAGACACCGACTTTTCCCGCCGGGACAGTCCTGCTTCACAATGACCCAGTCTTTCTCAAGGCAAGATGAGGTGAACACCGCTGGATGCCTGCGCCCTGCCCCTCAAGCACACACGCTAGATGTAGATCCAGCAAGGCTGTCGGACATGAGTGGTTCAGCCAGAGGAAGCTTTGAGCGTGGTGGTTGGTCAACTTGGCATGAATCACATCTTTTTCGTGATCCAGCTAGCTGACAGCCTAATCCCTGCTCCCGTGAGCCTTGCGCGCCACTTCCATTTGCGGACCTTGTGATAGCGCGGGTCTGTGCTGCAAGTAGACTGTTGGAAGCGATGGGGAGCTACTGATTATTACTTGACGCCTTGCATGAGTTAGCATCACTGCATTCAAGGCGGCCGATCTCCAATCCGTCTTGACACTTGCGGGAAGGGAGCTGAAGAAGGGATGCCAGGAAGTCCGCGGACCGACGCCTAAAGGAAATGACTGGTGCCCACCAAGACCAGTTTGCTACCTCGTGCGTTTGGAGCTGGTTAAAGGATTGTTTCGATCTCGGTCTCAACGGCAGCTCGCGTACCCTAACGGAGTAGATCGGACGGTGTCGCCACTAGATTGGCATTTACCTGCCTTCGCGAAGTCGATTGCCCAGGAACATAGTGCACACCCATTTGGCGGTGTGATGTTGCAATCAAAAATATGAGGCACGGGATGCCCAATGTAAAGGCCGAGTGTTTCTCCATTCCCTCCCAACATGGAGGTGAAGCCAGCTTACGTAGTATATGCCAAACCCAGAGAATATCAATGGACTACAGAGCTGACGCGGTGGTCGGCCGAGATGTGCACCAGACGGTCGAACCCCAGCCCAGGCAGGCATCAAGCCTGCAACAGCAGCTAGTTGTTGAAGATCTCACACGACTCGTGTGGAGATTGCCAGCTGTGCTGTAAGTGATTGTGAGGTGGGATGACGAGATCAGGAGGCATCAGCTTTCCACTCCTGGTTGCTTAGGTTCAAGAGCGAGATGAGGTTCACAGCAGCAGAAGGTCAAGGCTCTTCCTTCCATAAACGCGAAGTTGGCGTCTTTGATGAAATCACCCACCTCCTGGCCCCCTGCGAAAATCCCCGAGTCTGCAGCGGGCTCTGCAGCAGTATAGAGGGTCTCAGGACCTCCAAGAGGACCCTTTTCGGTTGAGGATGGAGACACTTAGAGGATGAGCGACGAACCACAATCAAGATGCCTGCCGAGAAACAGGAACAAAACCCCACATCCTCAGTCCAGTAACCAAAGCCGCCAAGGGCAAGGAAGGTGAATCGCAGACGAGTCGAATGCGCACCAATAAATAGATGGTTGCGCCAAAAGTGTGGTGGGTATGGTGGGTGTGGTGCAAAGTACTCCGAAGTACTCTCTTCGTCTTTCTTTTCCCCCACTAACAGACTTTTGGTTAGCCTCCTGCATCCTGGCAAGCATGGCCAGGGATTGTGCTATTGGGCCATGGATCTAGGGTTGAGCCGAACGAGAGGATAAGAGAGGTTAGAGAGGTTGATGTTCCACCGTGAGCCCGACTGAGGTTGCAATGGGGGTTTCTCCAGCTCTATTTCCCGTTCTTTTTGTGGCATGGCCTTCCTCTGCGGGCCCAAGATGAGCAGTCTCAGCATGAAATTGACCAACAATCATTGTAACAGCCTGAAGGTGCCCCCTCAGCATGACAAGCAGGAAGCCAAGCGGGCTGCTGCGCTGCACTGCACAATAACAGAATCTGCCCCTCACCGCACCTGCACCACCACGGGCCCTGCAGCTGGGCCTTTGGAATACCACGATCCAGGGACTTTACGGGGAGGGGAAGAGGATGAACATTTAGATTGACCTCGAGCCAACGGATAATAAGCAGCAGCCGTGATCCATATATCGGGCTTGTGTGAAGTGTTGACGCACGGGCAGTGGCAGAATGGACTCGATTGCGCACTGATGATGATCCAATGTTGGTGGAGATCAGCCGTTGACGGCACGCACCGTCTCGCAAAGTCAAAAAAAAAAAAAAAAGACGGGAAGTAGCTAGATCCGATGACGGTCCAAGCCCTGCGCTCGGGCTTCAAGATTTGCGGCCGTCGGGGTCCTCTGTTGCTTCCAAAGTCGCACGTTGATCGAGTGCTCCTCCAATGCAGCTTTTCCTATTCTGACCTGGCAAAGCGATGCCAATGGGTACTGCTGTGGCCGACGACCATTGAACCCCTCTTGGTTAGGGTGATGATGCTATCCTGCTGGGCTTATGGACACCGCTTTCTATTTTGACCTCATCATCCAGTAATGTCGTCGTATCATTATGTGTGTGATATGTGACGATGAGCTGGGGGGCGTTACTGAGAGAGCCGGCATCGTTGGGTCGACCAGCGACAGCGCCCTTTAAAGCCACCGTCGTAAAAGGGAAACAGGTTGGCCGCGCTGGATCGTTTGGATGAGCCTCAGTCGGAACAAAGCCCCCCAACGTCTGGAATTCCGTGTTAGGCAAGCCGACAGGTGCTGTCAGATTTCCATGGGCGGAGGAAAGCATTGATGTTCCCCTCGCCCGCCCTCTAGGAGGAGCACATGCATGTCTCAGCCACTCGTCATAACCCCGGACGAGAAGAATCTTGCTGAGTACTAGCCGTGGCGCTGGCCGGAAAGCTCGACATAGGTGTTTCATGAAAAGCACATGCATTCTGTTGTAATACTGGATAAGTCATATGTACCTAAATAGTTGCAAAGCCGATCTATGGATGGCCTAAACTTTCGCCGGCGACTTTGTTCAGATCTGTTCTAACCCTCGAAAAATGGGTCGCGGGTGTATAGCGAGCATTGCATGTCGGTTTGAGAAAATTTACTGTGCATTTAGGTCATCAGCAAGCCGAGCTGGAGGTAGCCGGCTTATTCTGGGACAGCGTTATTGTCGTTGAATTTGATCTTTCAAGTTTCCGTTACCTGACGACTTTTGAGAGCGAAAACGACACATGATGTACCTCGACATCGGCTCCAAATGTCACGAGGGTGGTGTAAGTTTCCCCGGAAGCCATATTAGCCGTCTTATTGGAGGTAGCTTGTCGTAATGGTGCAAGAGAAAGTGTAGCTACCCCTGGTCCGTTCTAGCACCCGTAAGTCAACGCGCATGCTCCAGTGGCTTCCCCCTGGGTCAAGGCCCAAGTTGAACACGGAAAGGGCCTGTCGGCCGAAGCCATCGTGGGCGATTGACTAGGCCCCTCTGGCCTGCCTGGTCAAGGGCCTCAGCTCATTGACAGAATGGCATGGTACACAGTACGGGCGTACATCGTTCCTAGGCAAGGCAAATGGTAATGGAAGATCAGCGGGCGGCGCCATGTGTGAGTGGGAAGACGACCGAGCGTGCGTGGGCATCAGAAACTCTAGCCTAACTCGACATACATTGTTGCGTTAGAAATGGCACGGACGGAAGGTTCGGTAGTCGCATGCGTTTGACGGAGAGATTCCCCTTTGACGGGTCAACTGGCATCGCAAAACGCAAACCAAATGTTGGAACCGATGTCTTCTTTTTCTGAACGTGGGGGCGCCACTCGCTGTCGCTGCTCAAAATCAGCGCCAGCACCCGAGACGACCAGGGCTAGGCCTGGGATCAGGGTGTGACAAAGTCAGCGGCGGCCATGCAACCCCTCTTCGGCTGAAGCAAAGGGCTCGGCGCATATGCCGTTCAACCTGAGCATTTTGCCGAGAGGGTGAGAAGTGACAGTTGGGACGCCCAAACTTCCAACCAACCATACAGAGTGTAGGGCATGCCGGAGCCATGCGTCCCATTGTCACGGATTGGCCATCTCCCTTTTCTTGCCCACAAACTGCTCTGATGTCCGATGGCTGGCAAAGTCAACGGCTCCAGGCCACAAAGGAACATGTCAAGGGTGCAGGGCGGCTTGTCTCACGCCTATATCTCGGGGCAGAGTGCACAGCCGTGGCAAGGCGCAATTTCTCCATACCAAAACTCGGCCGAACAGTGTACAATGCCTGCTGTTCGTCATGTACCTATGAAGGGCCTCCACATTACGGCTTGAACATGGCACACGGTCTTTCTCGAAGACGATGTTAGCTGGGCGAAGCCGTCCTTCGCACAAGCAAGCCTCCTTCTCCACACAATGGCGGATAATGATAGGACCAAAGGCTGCGCGTGGGGATTTATCCGTAACGTACGGAGTACCTCTCAGCCAAGTCCCCGGTGGCTCGGAAAGCGGGTGAAGAGCAACGGCTGGTACCGAAGTGGGAGAAATCCAGGGTGTTGTGCTCCGTAGGGAGTTGGCGATAAGACATGACTTGTTGGATAAGGTCTCGTGGGCAGCCATTGTCTTGACTGGATGCTTGCTTTTTTGGTCATGCAGGCTCGGGATTGTGATGAACAGCCGAGTTGGGGGACAATCACAGAAGCCGCAACGGGGTTCAGTGCCGGCCGAGGCGCGAGACATTGGCAAGGTCGAAAGGGACAAAGATCTACTCGATCGGCGATTTACGGGAGCGAGAGGCCAACGACGACCGACGGCGCAAGACGGGCGCGGATGGATGACTCGAGCGCCGGGCCATTGCGTAGCAGAGCAGCAACGACAACACAAGGCAGTCGGATAATTACTTTAGGTATTGTGACATGTAGGACTCATCTCCGCCGGGGATGCGGCGTCTTCTGATGGATGTCGATTGCTCTCGCCTGAGTGGAGGTATATAATTGCTGGGAGGTAACAATTAAGTGAAAGATGAGAGATGTGACAACAAGCCTGGCGAGATGAATGATTTGGATTTGCCAATTCGTTGCGTCTCTTTCACGTCCTTTGTCCCGCCTCCAAAGAACTCGAAAAAAGAGAAGTCTTGACTCCGTGGAGGTGTAATGTCGTTGGTGGTAGGTCTCTGTCGTTAAGATTGGACCTCTGTGCCAACCTTGTCTAATGACCGTTTTCAAGGTGTGGACAATGGCTCCAGGGTCTGAATTGCAAGGTGAGCCTCCGACCCAGAAAGAGTGGTAGATGAGTGCATCAACATCCCAGAGCATCAGGACCTTGGCTTGGCGTGCCCCAGATGCAGGGCTCATACGGACCGATATTTGCCAGGATATTTCTAGGCAAAGTCTTGGAGAGGGCTACGTCTCGGTCAATGGCCGGTTGATTGAGGCGCACCGAGGGAGTAGTAGTAGGGTCGCCAAATCAGAACAGAGCAATTCAGGATGTCGAGCGGCGAAAGGCCGACATGGGGGGAGGGGGAGGGGGAGGGGGGGGAGGGAAGAGACGAGGAAACTTGAATCGCCTGTGATGAGGTTATCGATGGTATTTCTTTGCCTGTATCCGTCACTGGCTGCTGCTTGTGGCTTGTGCTTGCTGCAGTGGGTTGCATGATGCCTGCTGCTGTCTCTGTTTAGGGTGCTGATGGGTACACCACAGCCGGAATAAAAAAGACATTGGGGGATAAGTATGGTTCGACCAGACCACGGGCCAGGCCAACCGCAGGTCCTGCGCAATCAATTGTGGCGTTTCAATTTTGGACTCCGACCGTATTGTTCCTCGTAACGAGATGTCGTTGTTGGTAAGCGCGAAATGGCCCCCCCTTCTCCTCCTTCCCTTCTTCTCCCTCTCCATTCTCCAAATGTGTCTGAGGGCAGGGGAACGGGAAGAAGCGAAGTAGTCATGATGGATGCCCTTGCCTTGCCTTGCCTTGCCTTGTTAATTTCATCTTTACCTTCCCTCGGAGAGTCAGGCACAGAACGGAGTTTTCTCCGGCAGATTTAAAAAGGTAGGAGCATACAAGAGGAGGAAAGTACATGGTATGCATCCATCCGAACAGGGTGAAGGGTGAAGGGGAAGGGATCGTGGACAGGGCAGGAGTTGCTCCGTATTGTGCAAGGTAAGAAGCAAGGTAGGAAGGTACCTTTCCCCGCTGGAAAGGTACCTTCCTACCTCTTTCTCACCAAAGCTCTTCTCTGCTCTCCTCTCCTTCTCTCCTTGTCTCTTCCCACTCTTGGCGAAAGGATGGAAGGGTCCCAACCCAGCTCCACTGTGCAGGGCAAGAGGGCCGCCTTTCGCTTGCACTACACTACGCCTACCACAGACGCTGACTCCAGTGCTCTTGTACCCCTAGGTAAGTCCCTAGCTCCAGCTTCAGCTCCAGCTCGACCTTCCAGGGTGCGTCAGTGGCCTGGTGAATGTCTGTGGGCCCCCATCGACAGCGGCTTATAGTGGGCCTGGTTGTGTTGAAGCGGCGGTAGAGCCCACTGGGTGCACAGTGCATCGTAAGACATTAGCAGGACGGGAAGGGAAGGAAGGGAAGGGACGCATGTAAATCTCTGCGATCGAGCAGCCGCTCAACCGTGGTCACGGCCGATGTCAAGGTTATGGATGATGCAAGCACAGAGGCTGCCCGGCCTGCCCGGGCTGTCCATGACTACCATGATTGCGAGCACGGGCGCTGTCAATTACGGATATGTCACTGACTATTGAACACAATAAAATGTGCACACCGAAATAAATAAAAGCGGCAACGGAACAGGTTCAAAATGGGAAGTAGTAACCTGTCTAGAGAATCATTAACACAAATGGCGCTGATAGGGAAGAACGAGGAAAGAGGAAGGTGATCTTGCTCTATTTACAGCGTAGCCTCTGAGCTGCTGAGAACACACCCAACACAGGCTGTCTTGCTCATCCAGGTGGATAGTGTACGTACCGGGACTTTAAAATACCGAGCTAGCTAGCTATCTCAGGAAGGCCGCACTCTCCGCAGCCAGAGTACCTGCCTCCCGAATGGAAGAATGGAATAATGGAAGGGTGCATGGAAGGACCGGAGTGAGCATAGGACATTTTTACGGGAAACTGCGAGTTTCTGGCCCGGTGCACAGTTTCCTCAATCAGTACATACATCCTGCACAACTAGTTTTTTTTAGGCTTTTGGGCCTTTAGGTAAGAAGGAGAGAGTTTTTCTTCCATTTGTTTCTCTCTCTCTCTCTCCGCCCAATGACTAACTCCAACTAAATCTTCAACTCCATTGGGACCGAGCAGCTCACTAACCACGACGACGACGACAACAACAACAACAACAACAACAACAACAACAACAACAACAACAACAACAACAACAACAACAACAACACCGCCGTTCATCTGCGGCAGCAAAAACAACAATACGACGTGCGTCTTCGCCTTGCTACTGACAGGCGTCCGCTCCCTAATTCCTCCTGGCAGGCGCATGACGACGGCGTAGTAGTCGATGCACTTCTCACTAGCTTGATGTTTCGATGGGTCAGGGTCGCCCGTCCAGTACCAGGTCACGTCCGAAAGACCCGCAAACCGCTCCGCAAAATCAACTTATTCTGCAAGTTAGCACTACCAGCAATACACTAGATCCTCGCCCTAATTAAAGTGTCTTCCGACCGACATCTCCAGGGACTCCAGAGACTCCAGCAAAAGAGGCCCAAGCTTACGGATGTCGTTCGATACTGACTTTATCGGCACGGAGAGACGGCCACACGGAAGAGCATCACGGCCAACCTGGATACATCCACAGTCCCTCGTCTACTACGTATGTCCTCTGTATTCCCGACGACCCTGACAATGAGCCCCGGCAAATTTCCTCCTTCAAATCCCAGCATCAGACCCATCATCAGCCCCATCGCCAGCACGTCCCAGTCCAGTCCAGTCCACTCCCAGTCTAGAAGCAGCCAATGCAAGCCGGCCCAGCGCGGCGCATTGCAGTGACAACTCGACACCACGCGATGACAACACAAATCGACGCTGCGGCTACGTCTGCGGCCACGGAGACAAACCGACGAGGAGGTTTCAGGTTCCAATGAGGCGAATCCTGCCACTCCAAGCCCGACCAACGAGATGACTTTTTCGAACTTGGCTCGCGAGCAGATCGATGCAGCGCCAGCACTTTCCTGAGGAGTCAGATCTCTCTCATCCAGAGTCCGCTCCACCACGCCGGCCATGTGTCTCTGCCCAAGGACCAAACCAATCCTGCAGAGCTCAGGCACTTGCGACAGTTTCTCCGACTACCCAGCAGTAGCAGCATGCCGCCTGCTTCTCACCGCAGGCGTCTCCGTGGTTGGCTGTTGGTCGGACGGATTGGATCGTGGAGAGAACAGACGCATTGCATCCATCCACTGGCCAATCCCCTTGTTCACTCAACGTCTCCCACACTACCACAGCACGGCATTTGTGAAGGCAACGACAAGGCGACAGATTTTCCGGCACCGCCTAACGCACACCAAGGTCGATGACTGGCCCAACTAGTTGTCAATGCCGTCCACCACACACACCGACCACACACACATCGTCACCTCTCATATGGTATTGCCCACCGCAAAAGTCTACACCGCACCATGCCACACTCCGTCTCAAGAAAGATTCCGCCCCCCAAGATCAGGCACCTTGACTTTAGTTCGCATTTCGGGCGACTCACACTCGCCGTAAGGATAGCCCCAAAACCTCTGGAGACGCTGGACACGGAGTGTCAATCGTCCTTCCGAATCAGGCCGCCTGCATATGCACCAGCCAGGCCTTAGAAGCGTGACCCTCACTGTCAGAATCCACCATGATATCATGGCACAGCCAGCGTCTGGTACGCACCACTGTTCCGATACACACACGGGCAAATAACAGCCAACATTGACTCGTTTTTGTGCCCGAAATGGAGCCCACTACCGCAATTCCGTGAACCGAAATGTTCTTGACTGGAGATTCTACATCTCGGTCACCAGAAGAGAACGAGACGAATCAAGTCGTGGACAACTTCTGAGTCCTTGAGGACCCTTTCTCCGAGATCCGCTCGCAGCTTCAGTCTCCCCTCCTTCTCCCCACACTTTCTTTGACACGATGCGACACGATACGATGCCACCTCCTTGTCTTACACCGTAGATGTTGTTCATATCGACTGCTTTGGTCAAGTCGTCCGTCACTTAATGGCCCAGGAGACGCCGGAATGCCGAAGCATCCCTGGGCGATAGGCACGACAGCCTCAAAATGACACTAGGTGCGGATACTGCCCGTCTTCCTTACGCATACGATAACCTCATGAGTCGTGATTCAGGCTTGGTCATGGCTCATCTCTGCATCTCATCATCATGATTGAACAGGGCCCTTTCGCGTGTCTCTGTAACTCGAACCACCAAGCACTGCACTGCATTGCACCGTACCGTCGCTCTCTTTAACTTGATCTCTCCCACTGTGGTGGAGCCTCCGCGCTGCATCACTCTTTCGAGCATGACTGGGGCTTGGGGTGTGCGCACAGTCCACCTTCTGGCTAAGATGGCCCATGTCAATAACAGAAGAAATTCTACGACAGCGAATCATAACGACTTGAGACATCGTGGGGTTGTGTCGTGCGGGTAATGACTTGGGATACAAAGGGATACTTCTCTGTCATCGACAGGGGGGCTTGGCCAAACGACGCTAGCAGCGACCAGGGCTGGTGGACGGCGAGTGTACTAGGTACACACTAGAGACCAGATGTAGAGGTGAGCCCTGAGAGGAAGAGGAGGAGGAGCCGAGGGTGCTCGCTCCTGGGTTGGAGGAGCAAACGGGACGACTAAGAGAGGGCTTCCCCATCATCTCTCTGTTGCTGGCCGCCTGCCTGCTTGCTCGACTCATCAATAGAACAGACACACAGAGAGCACCACCAACCACACCGTACCAGTACACTACAAAGTGGAGAATTGTCGCCAAGAAGGCCCCAAAAGTCCACATGGCGTCCACCGTGTTGACGATGGCCAAGCTGACAGTATTTCCGCTGTGCTTTCGCTACCATTTTCATTATACGACAACTGCTGGGTTGCTGCTCTCCTTTTATTAGCATCATCTGCCTCACGGCACCGACGGCACAGCAGTACCTGGCTGGCCTGGGGGCGGAGGATCACCCCCAGTATGTTCACCTCTACCCTGCTCTCTTGGCACAACGTGAGACCTCACCTCACATCCCACACCGTCCTTATCCGCCCATGTCCATCCATGATCGTATGGGAAACAATACTCCCCCCCAACTCGCCGTCGTGCACACCTTGCGCATGTGGGGAGCTAAGGTGCTAGGGGACTTTAGTGCGTGTGGGAGAAACATCGATTCTCTCTGCACGTCGTCCTCACTCCTCCAGATAGACCCTGTCACTGTCCCAACTTCCCACCCACTAGTAGCGCACCTATCTGCAGATATGTATGTGCATATCCCGCCCCTCGAAAGCAGCCGGCCCATGTCCTGTCGTCCAACGACCCTCACCCTCTTTCCCACTTCGTCTCGACGGCAAGCTGGTTTCCAAATAAGACCCAGCGATCATCTCTCCACCCACTTCAGCCCCTCCATTCCACGTCGGCTTCTCAGCGATCAGCCTTTCCCTTCTTCTTGAGCGGTCCGCCACAGCTCTTGATCTTCGACGACTTCGCCTACCTCAACCTCTTTGTCGTCTTCTCTCGCCTACTTCGTCTCGTCCCCTTTGACTCTGCCCTGTTGTCAACTTCGAGGCCACTTTGCTGCCGTCTGCTTCTCCACACTCTCGCCTCCTCGGAGATCCTCTTGCCCTTTGGCCTTGATATTTGATCGACCGCCCAGCTCTCGACTACCACTCGCCACTGCTTCACCTGCCACGACACACAGTCAACTGGCATAGGAGCCTTGGTTTTGGCCTCTTCCCTGTTGGCATGGTCTCGTTATTGACGAGCCATGGATTCTAATGTTATGCCGGTCGCGTCGGATGAGGGAGATCTCTCTTGGTCAGACAACAACAGCACTTACTCGGACGACAACATGAACGGAGACATGCTCCTCCCGCACTCGCCTCTCTCCCAAGCGGCCGCCTGGATGAACTCGGCCACCGCTACTCAGTCTCATACGGGCCAGTTGTCTCCCGTCAGCACTGGCATGGACATTGCAACAATGGACCCTTCCTGCGCTCCGACAATGGTACACTCCGCATCCTCGTCTTGCACTGATTCCTGGAGCACTGCCCACGCTGATGCCTTCGACGGAGACGACGCTGACAACGACATTGTATGGGAACAGGGCTCGGACGATATTCTCACCGTACCCAAACTAGAACCTATGGACGACGACTTCAAACTAGATGATGTGAAGGAGGCCCCGCTAAGCTCAGCCGAAGCCGCCTTGATCTCGCCATCCTCCAACCAACCAAAACAAAAACGACCCCGTGGCCGGCCTCGTAAGCACCCTCTGGCACCTGTGGTGAACCCGAGCAAGGTTACCAAAGGACGATCCAAGACTGGATGCATTACATGTCGGAGACGGAAGAAGAAGTGCGACGAGGCAAAGCCTAGATGTGAGTGGCGAGTGCAAGTTCATCACTAAAAACGCTTCTAATCTTGCAACAGGTATGAACTGCGAAAAGAACGCTGTGGTCTGCGAGGGGTATCATGAGAAGAAGCTTTGGAGGAGTGGCAAAGAGAAGGCCTGCGATGGTGGGTGTGCACTTGACTGTTTGCCTGTCGATCCTGTCTAACAACCTCACAGACCGCCTCGGGGCCGAAGACTCGCTCGTCTTTACCATGCAACCTTTGTTCAATGGCGTCGACACCATCGAGGACAAGATCTTTTGGAAACACTACGGTGTTCATCTCAGCAACGTACTCACGGTTGAAGGTGAGGCAAAGAACGCATTCAAGGACATTATCCTTCCCCTGGCAAATCTGCACCAAGGTGTGATGCATTCGATCCTTGCTATGAGCAGCAAGCATATCGACTTTGACACTCCTTATGGCGCCAAGCTATTGCAGCAGCATCCGACCACCAACCGAGAGGCGCTGCAGGAGAGATCTGACTACCATCACAAGCAGGCGATGGAGTCATTCTACGCAGATATTCGTCGCTCCGAGGAAGAGGACGCAGATGGCCAGGCGATTTCTTCTGCTCGCTTCGCTCAGATGCTCTGCCTTCTCGTCACCACCCTTATCGAAGGCAACCCTCACGGTGCCCACAGGGTTCATCTGCGGGCCTACAAGGATCTCATTCAACAGACGCCCCCCGAAGACACTGTATTCCTAAGCTTTATCCAAGAGTTCTTTCAGTATCATATCTACGCCGACGAGCTTCTGTGGCACCCTACCATGGACGGCCCTCGTCTTGCTTCCGAGGATTGGAGCCCTCTGGTTCCTATTGAGTCACCTCGCCTCTTGGGCGTTGCCGATGGTCTGTTCCAGTATCTTTGCCATATCACCACGATTAGGAACACCATTCGGGAAAACGTCTACCGGGGATCCGAGACGGTGGTGAACTATCATATCCTGTACCGGGCTCAGGAGATCCAAGAGGCCATCGAGCAGTGGATGCCTGTGTGGCCTCCCGGTGACAGCCGGCACAGGGTTGGGCATGTTTACAAGCACATGATGTTCTTGCATCTGTTCCGAACCATCTATCCTCCCACGGCCTCCGAGAGGAGACCGTCAGTATTTTCAGTGGCGACTTCGATCGCTACCTCAACCTCATCTTCTTCTTCCCGTCGTCATTCACAAATATCCCGTCCATCTACAGCTACCAGCTGTGCATCTTCGCCCGGACTAAGGCCCTCGACAGCAGCCGGATTTCCGTCGGCGATGCAGTTGAAGCGCGATCCCAGCTCTCGAGGACCATCCAGGACTAGCTCCATGCACGAATCGGATGCTGGTTCTTCGAGCTGTGCCATCATTGACGAGCAGCGCCCTGCATCTCCGCCGCCCATTCGTCGGCCTCCTCAACACGATAACCGCATAACTGCTGCGGTCGACGAGTCTCTGGCCATCATGGAGGGCTTTAAACCGTCTGACCCCGCCTTAACATTGCTGCTTATGCCTTGTCTCGTCATTGGAGCAACCTGTTTCGATCCTGCCCAACAAGAGCGCGTTCGCACAGTGCTCCGGTCGATCCGTGGCTACACGGGTCTCCGTAACTGCGATCGCGTGCTTGACGTCCTCGAAGAGCTCTGGCGGCTTATGGATTTCGGTGACTGGGTTTCTGTTTGGGACTGGCAAGGTGTCGCAAGAAACCAAGGTCTCGACTTCCTCTGCACCTAGTCTCTGGGGTGTACACAATGCTCGTATTTTGCTTTTCCGCCGGTATAACATGACCGTGTGTTGTATTCTCTCGCTATTTTTTTTCCCTTATCATTTCCTCACTCTATCTCTTACTGGGGTTGGCATTTGTGTAGTTGGAGTTATCGGACGAGGCATGTAACGGAGACGACATCATGTATAAGGGGTCAAGCCACATGCATCACAACTTCATACAACGGACGAACAGGAGGCAGTCGAGAGGCAGAATACTTTACAACCCTGAGAAGGCCAGCACAACAACGGTCAGGACTTGTCGGATTCGGTACTCTTTGCACGCGGGACTTTCTTCAGCGGAGCTTGGTGGACTTGGACGCGGGTTTCCTCAGCGGCTGGTTGCCTCGCTGACCGGAGTTTCTTACTGTACTTGGGAGGATGGCTCTTCTCCCATGGTCTGCTTGGGCATGTGTTTTTTTTTTTTTTTTTCATCTTGTTTTGTCTCTGCTCTTTTGCCTGGGTAATTTGGGACACAGTCAGGGGATCAGGGGATTGATCTCTAGGTGGGCGGCTCGGACACTGTCCGAATCTGATTTTTTTGCACATGTTTATTACCTACCACTGCTTTCCAGTTTTGCAGGGAGGGCAATACTAGGGCGTTCGTTCATCATGGTCGAACACTGGCTTGAAGAGGCCGACGATAACAATACCACATACAAGCCGCGCATGTTTGCGCCCGCCCTCACAAGATTATGTTCCCATGAATGTATGTTCCCGTCAATTGTCCTATCATGATGGCTTGATTGTATGCACGTGGCCTTGCGTTTCCCCTGTCAAGGGAAAGGGGGGAGGCCGCCTTCAGCTGCAGAGACTCGACTCATTGATGAAGATTCAATCACACGTATCAGGTGTGCCCCCCCGGCCTGGATGTGTCTGTTTACCCGCTACGGCGAAGAGGAAAATCCCCATGAGGAACAACACTGGACGGACAGCGTTAAAATGGCAATGTCATGGACGAGCCTCAATCGGGCCGGTAGGCCGCTCATGCATATTGTCTCAAGACATGCACTCAATTTGTGCAGTTCCATGTATCTGTGTATAGCTAAGCAGGGTCTGTTATTCGGATGCATGCTGATTGGCAAAGTAGATGCGGTTGAGGGGGTGGGGAGGCACCTTGTGATTCCCCCTCGTACGACTCACCTTCTGAGGTGAGGATCTCCATTTGCCAGCGCGCCAATGCATACAAGATGTCCATCCTCTTCCCTTGTCATTCTGGTTTTTTTTTTTTTTTTTTTTTAAATATGCCCCGGCGTCTTCTTCTTCTTCTTCTTTTTCTCCTCCTAATGAATTCCCACCACACTCCTTTACTCTGCATCTGCATCTGCATCTGCATCTGTGGGTTGATTGGGATCTCTCTCTGCTTTGGTCCACGTACAGGCTACTAGTACTACCTGAGTACGTGGAGAAGATCCCACCACCCTGTACATGTGTGTACCTATGGATACGGCAGGCAAGGGTCTATGATTTGCTTCTGTGGCCTGTATGCTGGGTCGCGTAGATGGGGGAGATGGGGAGGGGCGCGGCGCGAGGATGAGATTCTGCAGCAGAATGGATCTATCCTTTTTTTTTTTTTTTTGGTGAACCCTGAATCACCCAACCAATCCCCGGACTGTGCGTGCGTCTTTTGATGGCGTTGCAGCTCGCAGGTGAGGCGAAGAAAGAAAAAAAAAAAAAAAAAAAAGACGATAATACAGGGCCACCCTATGGAGGGCGGCATGGCGTGCATTTCCTTTTGTTGTCGTGCCTCGGTTTTCCCCCTCCGTTCTCTCTCTCTCTCTCTCTCTCTCTCTCTCTCTCTCTCGCACGCTCGCAGGATGCATCTTCGTTTAGGTGAGATTTGGACGGGCGGGAGAATGGCTGATTTCGGGGTCTTGGCGTGTGGCCCCCAATCTACGCCCCCGTCCTTCCACCCCCCAGCGGGCCAATATTCGTTGCTATAGAATCCCATCTCCCTAACCCCTGCGCAAAAAAAATAATGAACCGCTTCACGAGGAAAGGTGATGAGAAAGAAAGAGAGTAGTAGTAGTAAACCTGGTAATGTTAAATCTGGTTAGATTGAGTTGGGGCACTGGCTGGGGTTGGGAGAGAGGATGAAGAAAGCGGAGTACTTCTCCACGTTTCATTCTACCTACTTCTTGGGGAGGGGAAAGGGAGACCTTTTGTGAAGAAGTGACAAAAGCAAACAGGTCTATTGGATTGAGATCCGAGTCTAGTAAATCTTGTCCGCCTATTGCAATTAGCAAAAGGTGATGGTTTGGTTGCTAGGTTGAATTTGTCGGAAGACTGTGTGGAGTCGATCGCGTTCTAGGTTTTCTCCCATTATTCATGGGGAGGGGGGGGTGGTGAGAATGGACGATGGAGGACGAACAATGACGGGGTCTTCTCCGATTCAAGATCGCAACACCACGGTTGCGTATCGCGACGCTATCTTGAAGGGGGGGGGGGGGGGGGGGGGGGGGGGATGAAACTCCCCAAGACGTCGTAGAGCAGGGGATCGGAAGACTACGGCTATCTCACATCAGAATCTGTGCATGTATGCGAGATGAAGAGCGTGATCCAGGGGGGGGCTCCGACGCGAAGATCTTTGGGGATCGAAACTTGAAGCTCTCACGGGGGTTATTTCCAAGTTTTTCGAACCAATTGTACATGTACATGGGAAAACAAACAAAAAAAAAAATCTTGATTTGTCGGATATTAACAATCGATCGTACATGGGGGCCGCCCAAGGGTGGTGGATGGACGGGGCATTAATGCAACGTTCCAACCAACCTGTATCTCTAGTCCACACTCTTCCGTATCGTACAAGCAAATAAAACGCAGGGAAAAAAATAGGAAAAGATAAAGAAGAAGAAAAAAAAAAGGATCGTTTTTGGCATCGTTGGCCATGTCCATGATGGACTTTACACGTCAGTGTGAGTAGTAGATTCTTAGAACCACGCGATGACAGCCCCATCCGCCATCTTGGGTGATCGCCCGGCCCCCCAACAAGCTTCATCCCAAGTCAGATGAGCTGCGAACCGGTGAGCCTTCCAATCAATCACCACGGAGTCATGTCCGATCCGTGGAAAGGGGGGGGGGGGGGGGGGATGGGATACCCTAAGATCGGGATCAGGGTGTGAGTGTGGTGTGGTGGGTTGGGTTGGGACGGACCCATCGAATCTGATCGCGCATCTTCACATCCGCAAATCGCAGAAACGGGTTAATCGCAATCTTAGGGACTTCCCAGTCAAGGCGTCAGCCTCGCGAGAGTTCCCCGATCGGTTTAAAATCCCTCCACCATGCGAGCATCCCGTCATCGTCCCATCATACACTTTTTTTTTTTTTTGGTGTTTTTGGTCTTCCGCAGTTCACTTCCACGCCCGCCGCCCCGCTAGGCTCAAACATACATTCCGCGGTCCTCACCCTCGACAAGCTTGACAACAATGCCATTCTTACCCTCCTTCAGAATCTCATACTTGCCGCCGAGGACCAGATCCTTGGCGACGAGCTCGCGAGTGCGGCCGAGCGACTCGATGTCTCCGATACGCTGGATCGTCTTCGCGAGGTGTTCGCGGAAGCCCTCCTCGGCGCAAATCTCCTGGAAGGCGCGGTGCATCGGCACCGAGGACGCGCGGACTTCGGCGTTGGCGGCGATGCTAAAAAGGTTGAGGCGGTCCATGTCGCGGATGAAGTCGGCGCGGGTCATGATTTGCTGCGCCTTGTGCATGGGGTAGGAGGGGAGGACGTGGCCCTTTTCCGGGTCGTAGAGGCTGTCCATGTCCTCCTCCTTGTCGACGAGGGCTTGTGCCAGGACCATTGCGCCCGCCTGTGATTGTCAGCGTTAAGTTCACCATGTGAAAGTGCCTGTCCTCCTCCGGAGAATGTCCTCCTGGGTGGTGGTGTGGGTGGTGGTGGTGGTGGTATTGTGACTTACAGCCCACTTCTGTTGGTCCATCACGTCGTCGTCCATCTCAGCGCCGAGGATCCAGCATTGGTTGAGGAACCACGTCTTCTCGACTTGGCAGATCTGTTTGCACGTAGCAACCATGTCCTTGCTCTTGGCGGCCCGGTTGAGGAACGACAGCCTGCCGCCGACCAGGTCGTAGACCTCCTCGAGCTTCTCCTGGCTGAGCTGCTCGTTGAAGTACTTGACGCGGTACTTCCACAGCGCGTTGATGGCCTGGAACTTGGGCAGGTCGCGCACCGACATGACCTCCATGCGCGTGGCCAGCTGCTTGAAGCGTTCGTACACCCAGTAGTCGTCGGTGTTGAAGACCATGGTGACGAGGTTGGCGGCGGCCCACTGCTCGGCGCGCTGCTGCAGCAGCTCGAGAAGGTCCTTGCCGTCCTCGTCGTCGCGGATGAGGTGCATCTGGTTGATGATGACGACGAGCGGCCTCTTGCGCTCGGCGCGGTTGACGAGGGCCACCTTCTCGAGCTTGTTGAGGGCACGCTCAATGTCCAGCAGCGCAGTGGTGTCGCGCGGCCCGCGCTCGGAGAAGTAGCCGCCGATGTAGTCCTCGTGGAACTCAAAGTCGAGCGCCTTGCCGAGACGGATACGCACGATCTCCAGGTCGGCGTGGGCCTCGAACATGGCGACGCCGTCACCGTCAATCTTGCGCATCGCCTCGATCAGCATGCTGCTCTTGCCCGTGCCCTTCTCGCCGACCATGAGGAAGTAGTGTCCGACCTCGGAGCCGTCGACGATCTTGTCGATGCGGGCCTGCTCCGGCCGTTGCACCCAGCGGTCGTCGGCCTCGGCGGCGGTCTGCGGGACTTCCTTGCCGATGGCGGCGAGCTCGAGGACGGGATCGCCGGGCGTGAACGCCCGCGTCATCTTCTGGAGGACGATGCGCTTGTAGGTTTTGTGGTAGGCATAGCCTGCTATGGCGAAACCGGCTGCGAGAACTAGTATCGAGGCGAAGGACGTCGCGGCGGACTCGAGCATCTTTTTGGGGAGGGAGTCGCCATCTTGGGATTTCGGTGCTTCTTGTTTGGTGTCTTGTTTGGAGGTGGATTGTGTGTCTGGGTGAGTTAGTCATGATTCCGTGAGAGGTAGGCGCGTTGTGAGCGATGAGTTTCACTTGAAAGACTCATCTTCATCTCTACATCTTTATAGAGGCTCATCGTAGAATGGCTTCTCTCATTTGATTGGGGGGGTGGGAACTGGAAGTGGTCGGAGCTTGGTGTTATATGACCAAACTGGCATCATCATGATATTGTGATGCTTGTCAAGCTCATCACATCTTGCGATGGCGTTTCACAGCTCTTTCATTGCCTTGACATTCTGGCCTCGACCAGAAGGAATCATGTGGTACAAAGACAAGATGTCGATGCAAGACTTTCATCGTGAAGCATGAGCCTATTCGGCTGACGCCAAGAGGTCAAAATCACACCCATCACAAGACTGACATGATCTGACAAGACACAGCCTGGCCGCACATCTTGGCCTGCAGCTGAAACAGGCAACTGGAAGGACGACATCCCTGCTATAAAGATGCCGAAAATCTGACAAAACCAACGCCAAATAAGGACTGCCCAGGTTTTGGGTAGCGCATCCTCCCATGTTGTCGGGTTCGATCCCACGTCCATGCTGCGGCTCACCCCCTAGGCCGCACAATACGCGCCAATGAAACATGGCAGAAAACAGTCGTAAGAGAAAAGAACATACGCGCACCAACGTACCGGTCCTTCGTGAAGGATATGTGGAGAAGCACTTTGCGGTAAAGGCAGGCCTCGCCGAAAGGCAGCTCGGCGGCGGACCTCTTGTTGCCGTGTTTGCCGTTGCTGACAGCCCCCAAGACCAAGGGCCACGACTACGCGTCCCGGTCCACCGGGTCCGAGAAGAGGGTCGCAGCAGCGTAAGCCGACCACCCTTGCTCACGGATGCCATTGTCGAGAAATGACTAGCATGCAGGGCCAGCTGCGAGCTTTAGTCAACGGTTGTCGTCAGGTCCTTGAAATGTGAGTGAAAGTTGGATGACGGTTGGCCGTTTTGGCCGTTTGGAATGGAGGGAGGGGAGGAAATGGGGGAGAAAACGAGCGGAATTGGGCAAAAGAAACAAGCCTATCTGGCCTTGAAAATTGCGGCGGAGGTGCGAGATTTTGATTGTTATGGATCAAAAGCAGCCAGAAACGTCACCTGGTCAAGCCACAGTGACACGGAGGGCGCCTATCGGTTCCTGGTAATTCAATGTATCTTTTTTTTCCCTTTTTCCTTGGCACAACCCTTGTTTTTGCTACCACTACATTCATAGTACCATGTAGTAGTTCCAACAAACAATTGAATTGTGGCGCAGGCAGTTTTGCCAAGACTCGATTGGAGGAAACGGTGAAGATGGAGGGGGAAAGGGAGGTGGCTTGATATCCTAATTGGGAAGAAGCCCCACATGCTTGGTTCCGGATTCAGGATGCAGTGGGACGTTGCTGCATTGACGACGCCAATGAGCTGTCACGATGGCTTCACTGGAGGTGAGATACCCGTGAGATATCCGGAGGGGCCGAGGAGTCGGTGAAGTTTTTTGTTCTCTTTTGCAATTTGGTTAGTTTCTTGGCATTTAGTTAGGTTTATAGATATTTCTCCGGCTCCATTGGCTAATTGGATTACCATTAGGCTGTTACAACCCAGCTGTAATTTGACAATTTAATTGAGGCCTCACTCAAGTCGTTCTATCTATTCAGTGTGTTATCTAATCAATATCTCATAATGTTCTTGAAGACATGCATTCAATATGTTTTGCTGTTAGGGCTTCGCCAGCTGGTTTGTTCCTTCCCTATGTGCGAGAAGCTTGTCTCTCACCCACTGGCCTAGGTTATTCCATGGAGACCTGTGGCTGATATGCCATATCTCTTGTTTGATTGTAATCGAATTAATCTTGACAAATTTCACCCCTTTCTCATTTTTTGAACTTCCTAATTTAGCAGAGATGGATAACAAGGCAAGAAACTTAACCTGGCCCACGAACTTCCTTGTGCAATATTTTCTAAAACACAGTCTAGCTTTCATAACAGAATTACACAAAAGACTAGTCAACCTTCATTTTAAACTCATCTATGATACGAACTCATGCTCAAGTGTGGCCACCGTGCGAAAAGCCTGGCCTGGTGCATACTGACGTCGCTTGTCTTTGATTTCTTACACCGCCGTTGCCATGGGTGTAATTTTCAGCCTGTTACCACTTTCTCTTTCTTTATCAAAGTTGATGTAGCTCACAACTCAGTCACGTGGTCAGATATAGCTGGCCTGGTTGACCAGCCAGAGGCCCGACCAAAATGCTACATCAAGAAATAACTCTACATATCGTAGGCTAGAGTTAGTTTCGTCGCTGTGTATTTGACACAGCTTGGTCAATGTTCCATGTGAATATCACGACTGCTATACTATCATAAATATGTATTGGAATGTGTTGCTAGTGTGTAGATAGTCTCGTGAGCCAGATATTGCCCATGAAGCCTGAACCATCTCACAACCCTACCAACTCCCCAAGGTCCGTCTCAAAGTTTCGGCAGTGTCTTTCAGGCAGACACCTCGAATGTCAACAAGCGGCATCAACACCATGATTCATCCTCACTGAGCATCACAACCCTTGGCCCGTGCACCTGCCTTCAGTCGTTCCTTCCCAACTCCCAGCTCGTCAACCCGAGGATCGGTTTGGAGGTGTTATTGTTTTTTTTCACTTTTCTCTCTTCAGATTTTGTGGCCGCTTCAAATCGCCAACTTGCCAAACTACACAATCGACTCACCAACCTATATTCTCTCCAAACTGCCAATCTTCTTTCTTCAGCTTCACCTGCTCCTTGCTCGACTACCTTTACAACTACTCAGTTAGTTGGAGTTAGCAAAGCAACACATTATTCTCTGACAAGCATTTCCAATACCCAGTACGTTGATAGTCACCAAATCTCACACTCAAGGCTGAAAACTAACACCTGCGAAGCTTGCTGCAGAACTTCTCAATCCTTTCCCTCGCTCCATCCCATATTCCATCTCATACTCATCTTATTCGGCGATCCTCCATCTAATAATTCACAACTTCCAGATGCCCTTCATCCTTGGTCTTGTTTACGCTCGATTATACCTGCGAAGATGGCTTCAGAATCATCCCGCAACAGCCCTCAACCTTCTCTGGATGATGGATGCTCTTCTGACACGCCCCCTCCGACTCCCAATTCGCCTGTTCAAGGCTCTTCTTTCATGGCCTCCGGAGCCAGTCTCAGAACCACAGAGTCAACTGAGACCCTTCGACCTATACCTCTCTCAGGGCTTCTGCGACGAAATCGCCCTGCTCCCCCTCCGATCGTCATCCCGCAATTGACCTACGCCATCGAGAGCCCTCCACTGACGGTCGTTCCTCCACCACTCCCTCCTCCCCTCCCCTCCCCCCTCCTCGCAGGATGTCCAGGCCGCGAGATTTCTGGCGCCAAGTCCGATGGCAGAGAATGGGCTTACGACTTTGACTCCCCTCCAGTTTTGCTGTATCCGGATGATCTTTCCAAGACTGATTTCCATGAACATCCCCTAGCACGCCACATTGAGCTTGAAAAGGGCTGGGAAAAGCATCAACTTGCCATATATGGTCTTATCGTCCCGGCCAAGATCGATAATGGCACTCCAACCTATACCTGGGAGTCAGATGATGAAGACGAGGATGACCTCGCCAAAGCTCTTGTGTTGGCATCGCGTCCAAAGACGCCGTTGCCTCAAACGCCGGCCTCCAATATTGAACGGCCGCGCACTCCGTCAAACATACTTCACAAGGTCAAGTCCTTTGCCAACTTTGTCGCCAACTCCGATATGGAGAAGGAAATCCCCGAACTACCTACCCTCAAAGAGCTTCTCGACCAGTTTGGCATGCCACCCGGGACCCCGACTGAGTCTGGACCTAGAAGCTTCCTTCGCACAACCAGATCCAGTAGTTCGCTTCGTCCCAAGACACCTACTCGATCCGTTCCCAGCGCTACCAAGCTGCGGAACAAGCGGAGCACCGGTATCGAAAAGTCGCAAATCTCCGATCCCGTTCCCCCGGAGGAGATGAGACGCGTCGGCAATGATTTTAGCCAGGCCGCAGCTCGTAAGCGAACCAGAACAGCCTCCGAGAGCGAGCGAATTTCATCTTATGCTGCATCCCTCCGAAGTCCCTCTAACCTGATCTCACCATCGATTTCGTCCAACCTCCCCCTCTACCTCCTTCAACCCCAACACCCTACCGTGTATTCTGGCAACAATGAACCGCCGCCCAAGTTCCGCCTCGCCCGCCCGCGCCTCGCGCCTATGGAATACACTCGACGGTATCTTCTCGCCAAAGCCAAGGCAGACAGGCAAGGAGAGGACTGCACAGTCCAGAAACCGAACCTGACCTGGTGCTGGTCAGAAGACTACAAAGAGTTCCTTCTGTTGCCTTCCATCCCTGAAGGTGTAACCAGAAACTTCCTCCCTGACGAAGAAGAACAAGACCCGATCTGGAAGAAAAAGAAGAGGCCGTTTCCAGTGACCAAAGACATGGATGAGGAGGCAGCAAAGAGACGTTCGTTCATGCCTCTTCCTTTGAACCTCGCCCCTTCATCACCCTTACTTCCGGCTTATCTCTGCAACAACAGCTCACACTTTTCTGTCCTCAGCTCGACCCACAAACGCGAATCTTCCTTTGATGACTTCACACTCGACCGGCCGAGAGCATCATCGGCACACCAGACTCTGGTGCAGTCGACCAAGTCTCTTGTCTTTGACCCGACCGCTTCAATCCCTCGCGAGAGCACTGATTTCTTTGTCGCTGTTCACACAGGCAGTGAGCGTGAGTTTACAGGTTCTTTCCCACCTCAATTCCTTTCATCGCCCTCTTTGAACAGAAACTCCATTAGACGACAGCAGGGACCCATCATTGCATCTGAACGGGTCTCAACCCGAACACCTCCATCGAGCACTCTTACTGCCACCCTCGCTGATTCGCATACTAACGCTAGAGACCTCACATCCGCTTCTGCTTACCTGAACGATGTTTCCGATGAATTCACATATGTTCGTCCGCCCTCGGTCGCTGCCTCGCAGAGATCAGTCACGACGACGGTTTTTGCACCTCAACAGGCTCAAGATGTGCCTACTACCCCTCGTAACCAGGTCATTGTTGACGAGGCGCTCAGCGAAATCACAGCAGTTTACCGCCCAGAATCTGCACTCTTTTCTTGTACCGTCATTAGACCCTACTCACCTGTTCCAGCGACTACTGACAAGGACGAGAACGATGTCTCTCCAAACAGTATTGATTATGACATCTCTGCGTTGCCTCCCGCACCAGTTTCCCCTCTCTGCAGCTCCCCATCTTCTCCGCAGACGGATGGCCTTGAACCGGCGCAAGACACTCAGACTCACGGCACATCAGACGACGCTCAGACCCGGCAGCCCTGCGACGAGACAGATCCGCAAAGTATCGCATTCGACGACGACGGTCCCGACTTTGAAGACTCTTCTTCAATCTACTCACAAGACAGTTTCCTCACAGTCATCCACAGTCCGGCTGCTGGTCGTCGTCTTACTCCCCTCGACTTTATGTCACAGGCGCAGAGTGATGATGAGAAGGAAGAGGACCTGACCCCGCGACACTTGAGCGAACTTTCATCTGCCGAGGCCCAACCGCAGGCTGGGACCCTGCTACATTCGCCGATTCTCCGACCGGTGTCATACATTCCCAACACCGAGGCGGCCCAGACTTACACTCTCAGCGACACTTCATTAAGACATCAGAATATCCGTCACTCTCAGGCCTCTAATCGAACCATTGACAGCCCGCCTAGCCGTCAGCTGCCAGTCCATGATGCCCGCTCCTACGGAACCTATGACTCTCGTATGGACGCCGACATCCGTCGTATGCACTCACAAGAGAGACGGCAGAATATGTTGGGACGAGGGGGTACATCTTCCACAGTTGGAGATGCTCATCTTCCCAAGGAATCTCAAGGCAGAACCAAGCTTCGATCTTCTCAGCCCATCGCACAGGTTGGCGCCCAGGAATCTCAAACTCAGGACGCGGCTTCAATTGCGTCGGTAGCTTCATCTGCCGCATCTCATCACGATCGCTTGTCAGGTATTTCTCAAGCAGCTTCTGATGCACCCTCAATCAATTCTTCTTCGACCACGGAGTCGCGTCGCTCTCAAGCTCTATCCTTTACGTCAGTTGCTTCATCGGATCGCTCCACGACCAGCAAACACGCTCGGCGTACTCGTATTGAGAAAAGCTCCCAAGATGCCTCTGCTTCTGCGTCTGCGTCTACTTCAGCCGCTACAGCTCTCGCCGCTCCGCATGCAGCGCGCGATACCTCTCATTTTCCAGCTTTGGATCCCGTCATGGAATCTCCCGCGCAGTCGCCTGGTCTCAGAAACTCGGCGACTTCACCAGCTGTCAGCTCTGCCGGGCGCTCGCGCATTTCATCGCTCCCCAACAGAAGAGACTCAGCCCAGCAAGCCACCGACTCGGACCTTCCTTCTTTGAAAGTCCGCAGACGTAAAGCCGTCGCCGACCTCGCCCAGATCCCCGTCTCGCAAGCATATCCTCAACCGCTCCGCTTCAGCGCAATGAAGAGTCCTCCTCCTGGTGCAACCTTTAGCCAGTCCGGAGCGAGTACTGCTGCTACCACTGTCTTCCGCTCAACCTCGAGACTCATTGCGGACATCGGAAACGAGCTCAACCGTGAGATGGCGGACGTCCTCTCACCCTGTTCAGCGGGCCTCGCAGAGCGTGACGATTCGATGGAGGAAGGTGACATCGAGACACCTACACGTCGTCCGCCTCGCCAGGTCCGCTCGATGAAATCCTTGCGGTTTGAGGCGCCGAGCTTGCCTGCGCCTGACAAGCCGTTGCCATCGGTGCCTCAGCGGAGGGCGCGACCGGAGGCCCCTGCCTTCATCGACGTCGATTTCGGACCAGGCCCAGCCGTCACTCACGCACCTCCCCAGCCGCAACTCCCGCCGCCGCCGCCGCCTCCTCCTCCTCCGCGTTCACCTATGCGGCGGCCTCCCATCCCCGTGGCGTCCATCCCCGCCCCTCCCCCGGTCCCTTCGTCTCCGCCGGCAGCGTCTGGTTCTGAGTTCGTCACTCGGGCCGATTTCTCTGTCAAGAAGGACCGAACCGTCCGTCCTGCGGCGTCTGTGGCGGCGTTTACGTACCGTACAAGTGAGTACTCCTCGAATACTTGAAAGGATGACGGACAGTACTGACAAGGATGAATAGCTCCTACGGTGGACCCTCCGCCTCCACGGTCGGTCCGGCGACTGGAATCGGCGGCGAACTTGCAGAAACCCGCCGCGGTGCCCGGAAGAACCCGCCTCCTGGGCAAGATGGTCTCAATGGCCGAACTCAAGCACGGGAGGGAGGTGGGCTCAGGGGGCAGCAGTAGTGAAGACGCGGCAGTCGGCATGAGGACGTTCCTGGGGGATGAGGGTGGTGATTCTGGTTCTGGTTCTGGTTCTGGTTCTGGTTCTGGTTCTGGTTCTGGCGCTGGTTCTGGCGCCGGTGTTGGTGTTGTTCCTACTGCTCCTAGTGCTCCTATCCCGCCACCCAAAACAGAGCCTGGCAAGAAGAAGTTCTTTGGTAGTCTTTTCCGCAGAAAAAGGGACGGAGAGAAGTAGGGCTGGAAGGAAGCAAACGACGTGGCTAGGAAGTGTATGTTTTGGTGTTACGGTATGTTGGTTATGGTGTTTGATTAGATAACGATGTAATGATAGGAATACGAAACTGTAGAATTATGGCATTGTTAATGAGGATAATGCTGTGATCCAACATATGAAGCTGCCGAGTGAATCAACTCTTGAGATGGAGGGTTCTGGTTACATCTGGTAGAAAGTAAATGTCAAGTTTCATTGTTCTTAGAGAAACAGCAATTTGCATTCTTAATCTAAGCATTTATGTCATCGAACCTGCCCCCACGAGAATGTTAGCCTAACCCATCTTTGGAAGGGGATTTCCAGGTCTCTCTTTCCAAATAGAAGTGATGGGATGCCTGTGTTACATAATCTGGTCTCGCTAATCTTGCAGCTTCAGCGCCGTAACCGTTACCAACGTCGCTAAGCCGGTCGATCGTAGTGGGCCAAATACACCACTGGTCACTGGTTCATCCCCTCTATCAATAGAATCCCACAGCACTGGAAAGACAGGCCCAAGCTTCCCCTTCGGTACTCGCCTACAGCCACAAAACCCCCCGGTCGGACCCACTATAGGTCTTTATGGGTTTGCACCCGCGTTTCTGTCGCGTTACGTGCAGCAGCAGCCAGCAATAGCCAGCCACCGTACCGTGCCTCCCTTACATGGTGAAAAAAAGTTTCCCCGCTGTCCGTTTCGTCGCCCACCTCGACTTCAACATCGACACCGACGTCGACCCCCCCAACCGCTATCCAAGGAGCTCCCTGACAGAGCTGCCTTGCGAGCGACGACGACGGACCCTCGCTAGGTTAATTTCAATCGCCCAATAGCGCAATTGTGCTGCGGTGGTAGCCTTGCTAGAGCCACGCCATGTTCAGCTCCCTCTCACAGCGATTCTTCGGCACGTCGCCACATAAGAATTCGTCACCTGGCCCGACGAGGCCACCGCGTGAGGAAGTCGACCACAAGCAATTCTCTTCGACCGCTCCCGCCGAAATGGAGGAGTCAATGCTTGACGATCGAGCATCGGACATGTCGCAGCAATGGGACCAGGCGGATCACACGGATGACAACGACGAGTCCGAGGATATCCCTGACGGCATCACCGAAGACTATGTCGATCCCTTCTCCGACATGATGCCATTTTCTACCCAAGCTAAAGGCGACGAAGACGATGATATTGCTGCATACGGATCCGACAACGATAACAGCGCCAGTGACGACAATAGCCCCCAGAAGCAGGAGATGCCCAAGAAGGAGAAGAAGGTTGAGGAAAAAGAGACTGGCCGAAAGAAGCGCAAATCCAAGAAGAAGAATGCCGATTACGAGCCTTCCGATCAAGCTCTCCCCAGCCCGACAACAAGCGAGCGGACGAGCCGCTCTGAACGGGAGGAAGCAAATGGCGACGATGCTTCGTCCTCCAGCGAGCGCCTCGAGATCAAGACCGAGCCTGGTGTTGCACCCACCAGCAACAAAAAGAAGCGCAAGCGCAGATCAAGGCCATCTGACTCCGTCGAACTCGAAGAGTCGAGCCGCAAGAAGAAGAGAAAGACCCGCAAACCTTTGGAGGACATTGAAGATGACGAAATGGAAGCCCAGCCGCAAGAGACGATACCTGATTCCCCATCCAACCAGCTGACGGTTGAACGCGAACTGGAAAGCCCTGAATTCGACCAGGATCTCAGCATGGACGCCACCCTCAAGTCCGAACCTCAACAATCGCAGCTCGCGACTGTTTCTAGACAATTGTTCCAGCCTACGAAGGGCGCTTCTGCTACCGGTCTTTCCATCAGCGATGATGCCGATCACGACACCAGCGACAACGATAATGAAGTTTCGCTTTCTTCGCCGAGCGTCATTGCCCAGAGACGCCGAAGCATGTCCCGGGGCTCTCAAATTTCAGCTTTCCGACAGGGAGTGTCTAGGGAGTCCACCTCTCTGCACGACATCATCTCAGAAGCCGCGGAATCAGAAGAGGAAGCTTCGGAAAAAGAAGACGAGAGTGGGGCGGCTCAACAAAGTCCCTCGGCCGCCAGCCAGGATGACTCGGAAGATGAAGAGTCACAGCCTGATCCAGTGTCCGAGCTTGACGGAGACGTCAGCATGGCGGACACCTCGAACGCGCCCCTGGCGTCCGGAGCTCTTGTCGACGACGGCCAGTCTGAACAGGGAGATTTTGCCGATCAATTGCCTCCGTCATCTCAGCCGCCCAGGGAAGACACGCCCAGTAGTGATGAAGCGGAGTCTGATGCCGACGATGTTGATGTAGAACACGTTGAGCAGCCTCAGCTGCCCATCAAGACCTTCAAGGACGCGCTCAACCATGGTGGTTCGACGTCAAAGTCAGGTAACCGCAAGGATGCACAGGCTGGCACGGCGGCCACGCCTGGGCGCAAACGCCAGCGGAATGCCGATTTACTCGTTGACATGTCTGAACCAAGCAACGTACCCAGCTCTGTACACAAATCCGGACGCTCGACTGCCTCCAAGCGGCAGCGTTCCAAGCCTAATTTCTTCTCAAACCAGGATGAGGAGGACCAGACGGGGAATCTCGAAGCCGACGAAAGTCTTGCAGCCCCGTCGCCGCCTCCGTCGGCCCGTGTAGCATCTGCTAAGGCGGCCACTACGAAGCAGCCGAAGCTGAAAGCGCCAGCATCTACTGTCAAGAAGACGAAGACAGCAACGTCGGCAGCATCTCGCGTCTCCAAAGTCGCCAAGTCTCCTGCCCAAAAATCGTCGGCGCAGAGCAGTCCGCGAAAAAGTGCACAACCACTGGCTCAGGCGAATCCCAAAGTGGGCTCTTTTGACGTGGAGGAGCTTAAGAAGCTTGCGGACATAGTTGGCCAATACCGTGACGACCACGGTTTGACGCAGGAGGAAATGAATGACCTCATTCACATGAAGCAACGCAAGAAGACGAAGAGCGAAATATCGAAAGAGGTTAAGAACGCGAATTTTGATCACTCACAATTTAAAGAGATGTGGGACTTCATCACCAGGGCTATTCCCAACAGGCCGCGTCAGAAGGTTATCAACGTTGCTCGACAAGAATTTCACAACCACAAGAAGCGAGGAGGAGACTGGACCAAGGAAGAGGAAGCCAAGGTTGCAATACTACACGACAAGTATGACGGATCATGGGTCATGATCGCCGACGAGATCGGCCGGCTTCCGTCTGACGTTCGCGATCGTTACCGCAACTACATTATTTGTGGCCGAACCGACGAGCGCCGGAAGTGGACAGAGGAAGAGGAACGGGAATTGATTGAGGCGGTGACTACTTCACTTCGGCGGATGAGGAAGCCGCTCCGCAGCCACCTGGAGAAGCCCACCGATCTCATCAACTGGCAAACCATTAGCGAAATGATGCATAGAAAACGCAGTCGCCTGCAATGCCTGAGGAAATGGAAAACCCTCAACGTTGAACTGAACGAAGCCGATCTCCTTCGGCGGTCAGCCGACGACGAGGAAGTCCCCTGGATCCTGCACAAGGCCCGTAAGCAGATCCAGGAAATGTCGCCCGAGGACAAGTACAGATTTGTCGAGTCGATTCTGGCCGGAGCTGCCGGTGATGAGGCGGCTATATCTTGGTCGAAACTGGTCGACGTTCCATTCCGGCGGAAATGGCACAAGCCTACGCTCAAATTGCTGTGGCACCGTCTCAAGCAGCGGGTTCCGAATTACCAGGAAAAGAAAGTTAGAGACTGCGCACGCTGGATTCTGAAGGACGCCAAAGAGAACGGTCCCAGAGGTGCCAAGTTCATCAGCGACGGACTTGAGGAGGGGGATGTGGAGACCGAATACAAGGCTGTCGCGCCTAGGGCCGAGCTGAGGAAGGAAGATTCCAAGTCGAAGAAGAACGCCCGCAGCGCCGAGAAGATAGTAGATAGTGACAGTTCCGACGAGGAGGAGGGTAACGATGAGACTCAGCTGACCAACGCTGAGGACTCCCCGTCCGCACAACGACAGCCTTCGTCGGCCGTGTCGCAACAGTCGACTCCACGACTTGGTTTTACCCCGTCTCTGCAGCCACCCGCAAGTCAGCAGGAAGGTTCGAGAGAACCCAGCCCGGCCAAGAAGCGGGTTAGACTTTCGAGGGGCCGGTCTGCAAAAGAGCGCGTCAGCGAGGGGAACGGCGATAACGAAGTTGAAGGCGAGGGCGAAGACTCGCAAAACGGTACACCATCACAATCACAGCTCGATATTCGCAAGATTCCGGACCGTCTACAGGAAAAGAAGATGGCGGCTAGACAGCGCATCACTTCGGGCAGCAGAAGCCGGTCAGTAACGTCGCTGCAGCCGGAGTCGGTGCAGAACAGCGATGTCGACGATGACATGCCACCTATCCGCGTGCCCGCGTCAACCCAGCCTTCGCGAACCAAGGCCGGCAAGCTGATGCTCCGGGGTAACTTTGCGCGCAAGACGGGATCAAACGTGCTGCCAGGGGAACCTGTGGAGTTGACGGATGAGGTCATGGCGGAGCTGGAAGCGGGAGGAAACGGCGACGAGGAGGGGGCTACGGAATCGGTCGCGGCCACTCCCGTGCCGAGCGCGCGGAAGGCGAAGCGCCGGCGCAAGGATGTCGAGGTGGCCGAGTCCCCATCTTAGAAAGGTGTCAAGGGCCGGAACCGAGGTCACCACCACCACTGGTTGAAGCAGCGAAAGGCACACAAGCGAGGTGGATAACTACGTGATTACAATTCCGAGCTTGTTCCGGGCTTGAAGACGGGCTAACAAGGCCCGATGTGTGTGGATATTTTGCTCGGTGTTCAGCGGAGAGCGGGGAGGAGGACGGGAAGGCCGGCTTTCCGGTAAAGGGGGGGGGGGGGGGGGGGGGCGAAGAACTCATTACACAGTTGCGGAGACAATGATGTGCAGTTTGTCACCGTTTGTTTTTATCATATGTATCAATACCTTGAGGGAACTGAGTCGCAAAGGGACTCGAGTGACACAAGCCTTTCGTTAGATGATATGAGAGAAGAAAAAGAAAAAAAACGTGTTCCCGGTGAAGAGTTTTGCTCAGCTGTTCCCTGTTGATGGAGCGCATCTTGTCGTGAGGTTTTACGTCACTGGCCATGACTCGTTTATCGCGTGCTTTACAGGGCAAGTGGCCATTGACTGATTAGATGGGGAGAGCGAAGGGGAAGGGGAAAAAAAAAAAAATCAGCAATGCCGTCATACCTTGATGACTACTGATTGATTTTTTTTTTTTCCCTCTCTACGATTTTGTTATCTCCGACAAACTGACGTGACCCTCCCGATCCGCTCTTTCGCCGCCGTAGGGCTGTAACACCGATCGTCTGAGTCGGTGTATCCCCGTGATTGTGAGGCGTCAAGTTTTCGGAGCTTCAGGTGCGGTGGAAAAAAAAAAAAAAGAATAATTGGGGTCGTCGCCTGATTGATGAGAAATGCATTACAACAATGGAGAACTTACGCTACTATGGTACGGGACGACGGGCAGGGCAGGGTCGTCGTGAGGTTTCTGATTGGGGGTTTACTTGGTACGAGAGTCTGTCCGCTTGGTAACAAGGAACCAGAACAACAGACAAAAAAAAAAAAAAAAAAGAGAGAGAGAGACTAAAAACAAAGAAATACAAACGTCATTGGCATCTCGATCTGGATCTGGATCTGATTAGACGAAGCCAGACTTTCGACGTAGGCCCGGGATCCGGGAGAAAACGTCCGTGGCTGGGAAAACGGGAAATCCATCGGCGCCGAGAATCACATGGACTATTATTCTCTCTTAGAGTAGCAAAGAAACTTAAGCGCGTGACGATGAGAGTTGAGTATACGGGCCAAGACCGTCTCTCGACTGTGGCGTATGCGTCATTCGAGAATTCGCGGCGGAATCGATCTGGGCAGTGGGCTTACCTTGTGGTGGTTTTTTCTTTTTTCTTTGGGTGTGATGAAATTCCATATTATTGGTGATTATGTCAGCGTATAAAATGGTACTATGATTTGCATAGTTCATGGTTATATGGATGGAGCCACATGCACACTGGTACTACCGGTATCACTCTCTCTATACGTACCTCTTTAGTCGATGGGAAGGAACAGCAAGCAACCAAGCATAGGGAGGGAAGGCACTGTGGCGCCGCATCATCAAAGTCTAGAGCGGAAAGGGCGACGGAAAACATCCGATCAGCCCACCGGGCGGGAATAACAGCGGGGCGGGGAGCCGCACTGGCGGCGTGGCCGCATTTCGGGCCCTTTAAGCAGGAGCGTCCACCGGCGCGGCCAGAATGGATCCGCTTTCAAGGCGCACGTCCCGAAGGCGAGGCGAGAATTTGCGCGATGTGGACCTTTTTTTATTCTTTTTTTTTTGTGTTTTGTGCTGTCACCTTTTCTACGACGTGGAATGTTTTGTGTTTTTTGAACATTGGAATTGTGTGATATTTTGACATTTTATGTGTTTGACTGTCTGGTGATGTCCAGATGGTTGTGATCTTGTCCTCACTTGATGAGGTGGGGAGGAGGGGTTGATAGGGGGGAAGGTAGGAGAGGGGTATGATCTCGGTCAAGTGCATTATCGCGAGATTTGTAGCAGCAGACTATTCACAGACGGACAGAGTTTATACGCACAGCAACTAGTCCAGCATGAAGAAAAAAAAAGACTGCGTCTTCGGCCTCATCTCGTTGCATCGTCGCTCGCGGCTCCTCTATTCCCACTTCTCATTCAACGCTACATGCCATCCTCCTCGCCTTTTTTCGCGTGCCCATCGTGAATTCTATCCAGTTCGGCCCTTTTACGCGGTCCAATTCTCCTCCCCCTTCTCCTCTGCGTTTCCACATCTCATCAAGCTCAGGCCGTACCGTCATGGTTCTGCCAGCACATTCTCTTCACTCTGTCTCGCGCGTCTCTCTTCTCACGCCTCGCTTGGTAGAGGATGGGGCTACAGTAAGGAGTTTTTGACGGGCCCTTGTGGCCGAGTCTCGGTCTTTTTCTGGGCTCTCATTCTCGTTTTCCTGTCATCACCTTCCAAAAGGCCGGTGAGGCAGTCGTACGCCCCCCTTCCGAGTGGGGGAGGACCTCTTCTACTTCTTCTCTTTGCCAAGTGCTTGACCTCGTTCGAAATGCAAACCTAGTTACCTAAATCATTAGTGGTTCAAGTCGTAATGATTATCGAAACAACGCCTGAATTTGTGCGTTGTAAATGCCGCCACCGTGCTCTGCAGCAAGATCAAACTTCAGGAGCTAAAACGTCAAGCCAGAGCTGTGCGGCGGCATCTGATTGCCGGACCGAACAGTGGGCAGGGTGCCAGGGGTTGAGCTGACAGGGGACGAGATAACGAGGGAAGATAGCCAAGCGCAATCCAAATCAGACCTGGTGGAAAACAAGATGGGCGGCGACAAGGGAACAGGGACAGGGACAGGGGCCACTCTATATTCGGACCTTGCGTGGGCTCGCCATGCTATGCCATGCAAGCAAGCAAGCAAGCAAGCACCAACTACACCAGCACCATCAGCAGTTGGCTGACGGCCTGGTGGACGACTGACAACGACACCCCTGTCCTCACGACATCCCACCCACCGCGGCCAGAGACACCGACAGATTGTGAGAGAATCTGCAGATTGCATCGGTGTCTGGCGTTTGGCCATACCCACGGTATTCCCATTGCTAGGCCGTGCCATGCCAGATGGCAGATGCCGCCCGTGCGGTGGATCTGCAAGCGGTACGGTACGGTACTTGCAGCCACCATGTTCCCTGCTTTACGTTTTTGCATCAAACCGACATATTTTTTTTATTTTCCTTCCTTGGACTGCTTTTCTGTCCCCTTTACCAAGCATTTTTGTTTGGCTTGGCTGAACAACCCCGTCTGATGTACGTAGTTGGCGATCTCTTGAAGAAACGGCTGGCCCGAAAGAAAAACGTGGCAGGGTATCTGACTCTCTCGCTCTCGACTAGTGCTAAAAGCCGGCGTCCCTTTGTCAGCAATGTTCAGGAACATGAGTCTTTAACGGCCACTCGTGCCTCGCGCCGCGGCCTTCTCCCGTCCCTCCATACCACAGCGCCAGCTCGCCCTGACGTCAATCGGAGCCTTCGGGATCTCCACCAGCAGCCGCAGGCGGATCAACTTAGGTTCAAGCCCGCTAAACCAGATTGCGACAACGAAGCTGCCAGGCCATGTTGCCAAGGAGAAAGGGTCCGATTCCATGTCAATTGTGGTTCCCCCTTTTGAGTCTCTTTTTCGGCGAATTCCTACCCACCCTTGACGTTGCAGGGCATCCCGACAACGACACGACGGTCCCCTCTCGGCGGGATGATGGGTCCCATCTATCAGAATTATTGTGGTTTCTTGCTTGTAATTTTTTTTTCTCTCTCTCCCCTTTCCCTCTCCCATTGCTCGCTGTGCCTTGCGTCTGCGTCTGTGCTGTTGCCCATGCCAGCGGTGGCTCCAGCTCCCTTCCCGGAGCCTCAACTCTCGACACTTCAGCTCGTCTCCTCTTAGTGGCCGAGGATTCGACCGAGAAAATGTGATGAGAGTCAACGTCAGTCAGTCCATGGCCGATGGGGACGCCGGACCCTGCTCCCCTTTCAATGGATGGTACCTGGGTACTCTTTGGCTTCTAAGCTCATGTACTCTACCAAAGGCGATACGTACCTTAGACCTGACGCCCCTTCCGTTGGTCACATCCCAGCGACAGAGGTTGTTCGAGATTGAAGCTGTCGAGGACAGTGTGAGGATATTCCCACAGTCTGGCCAGAACCAGCTCACTCCTCGCCCCCTCTCCCCATCTCCCACAGTCCACACTCTTACGTTGTGGTTTGCCCACACTCTTACTTGCTCGCCCACGGGCCCCCGACTTGTGTCGTTTGGTAGTGGAGTTGGCCTGCTTGGTAAGAAACGGAGAAAAGGTGATCATGAGGCACGAAAAGCATCTTCCCATCCGTGTCTGTGGGAACATGCGCGGAGGCGAACGGGGGTATACGGGGGAGATCGGGGTGAGGCTTTCCAGAAGAGTTGGTCACACGTCCACACAAGTATTTTGTTTTTTTTTCCTTCTTTGCTTTGCCCCAGTAAATTCCCGGTGAACGGGGAAGGTGATGTATGACCTGCCTTGGTCCTTCCCTTTGATACAAAAGACATATTTCCGCGCCTTCTTCGTTTGCTGTTTTTTGGTCTTTCTCTTTCCCATCCTATCTAATCTGAGTTTGATCTCACACAACCTCCTTCTTCCTCCTCCTTCATCTCACCCTTCCTCCCTTCCTCCTTCCGCAAACATTAACAAATAAAAACACACAACACCATCGTCGTCGTTATCGTCTTCTACCATCCAAACCTCGACAGCATTAGCAAACAACTATAATAACAAAGATTTTACCTCGTCTCTCCATCTCAACCTCCCCTGGTTGCTACACCAATACCTCTTCATCCAGTCAGGTTCGACCTTCGTGTCACACACACCTATTCTCAAGATGCAGTTCCCCAAGTTTGGTGGCAAAAGCGTCGAGCACAACGACCATACGGATCAGTCCCATCCTTCTACCCCGGATTCTGGCTCCGATGTTATCGCCGAGCAGAAGGTCACCTTTGCCGCCTGCTTTCTAGGTCTTGTTGCCTCTATTGGTGGTTTCATGTTCGGTTATGTCAGGTATGTCTTACCATCCCATCGGTTCTCCATTCTTGAGACTATTCCCGAGTCTGAGACCGATTCACTTTAAATCTGTTTGCATGACACTGACTCTTTTATTCTTCTCTCGTTAGTGGTCAAATCTCCGGTTTCTTCCTCATGGAGGACTACGCCCAGCGCTTCGGTGAACTTCAGTCCGATGGTTCCTACATCTTCTCTGCTGCCCGCCAGGGTACCATTGTCGGTCTTCTCTGCGTAGGCTGTCTCGTTGGTGCTCTCACTGCCGGCAAGCTCGCCGACACCCTTGGTCGCCGCCTGACCATCTCCGCCTTCGCCTTCTGGTCTTGCGTCGGTATCGTCATCGAGATCTCTTCCCAGTCCAAGTGGTACCAGTTCGCCATTGGCCGCCTTGTCAACGGTGTCGGTATCGGTGCCCTTTCCGTCGTCGTCCCCATGTATCAGTCCGAGTCTACCCCCGCCATCATTCGTGGTGTCATTGTCTCTACCTACCAGTTGTTCATTACCCTTGGTATCTGGACCGCCGAGATCATCAACTGGGGCACCGAGGCCAAGGCCGGCAGCGCTTCCTGGCGCATTCCCAACGGCATCGGCTTCGCCTGGGCCCTGATCCTCGGTGCCGGTATCCTGCTTCTCCCCGAGTCGCCCCGTTACGCTTTCCGCCAGGGCCGTGAGGACGAGGCCCGTCGCACCATCGCCAAGCTCGCTGGTGTTGAGCCCAACTCCCCCTCCGTCAACGTCCAGATGGAAGAGATTGCCGCCAAGGTCGCTGAGGAGAGTGCTGGAGCCGACACCTCTATCTGGGAGATCTTCACCGGTCCTCGCATGTTTTACCGTACCATGCTCGGTATTGTGCTTCAGGCCGGCCAGCAGCTCACTGGTGCCAACTTCTTCTTCTACTTTGGTACTACCGTTTTCTCCGCCACTGGTCTCAGCAACAGTTACGTTACCCAGCTCATTCTCGGCTCCGTCAACGTTGCCTGCACTTTCGGCGGTCTGTGGGTTGTCAAGAACTGCGGCCGCCGCAATGCCCTCATTGTCGGTGCTCTGTGGATGATGGCCTGCTTCTTCGTCTACGCCTTCGTTGGTCACTTCGCTCTTGACCACGTCAATCCCCAGAACACTCCTCAGGCTGGCGCTGTTCTTGTCGCCTTCTCCTGCTTGTTCATCGCCGGTTTCGCTACTACCTGGGGTCCTCTCGTCTGGGCCGTCGTTGCCGAGCTCTACCCTGCCCGCTACCGTGCTCCCGCCATGGCTCTGGCCACTGCTTCTAACTGGCTCTGGAACTTGTACGTATTGTTTGCTCCTTTTACCCAAAGACTTTTGCTAACAGATTATAGCCTCATGTCCTTCTTCACCCGCTACATCACCGACGCCATTGACTACCTTTACGGTCTCGTCTTTGCCGGCTGCTGTGCCGCGCTTGCCGTCATTGTCTTCTTCTTCGTCATCGAATCCAAGGACCGCTCTCTCGAGGAGATCGACACCATGTATGTGCAGCGTGTCAACCCCATCACCTCGGCCAAGTGGAACGGCCACAACGCCAAGCGCGGCCACGAGTCCGCTTCCGCCAGCGATGCCGAGAAGAACGAGGCTACTGCTTAGACAAAGCATATCTTTTCGCATGGATACCCCCTAGCCTTGGATAGAAAACATTTCAGGGTTTTCAAGCGTGCGCCCCACGTTGGACATACACATCACTTGCATACACACACTATGCATGCATCATGGCTCTTTGAGAGTCAGACTTTCTGTATCATATGAGCATTCATTGCGACGGCGTTAGGTGGGGTGGCTTCCTGAACTTTGTACAAAAAGAGTCGTTCATGAGGAATGAAATTAGTAATTGATCACACTGAATTATTTCACATCTAATCTTGATCTCGTCCTTCGCTCCCTTGCCATGCTTGACTCGTGATGTTGAAAACTCCGTCCTGCTCCGCTCTGGAGATATCGGATTTAGGTGCTAATATCCTACTCTGCACGTCACAGTCGACCCATAGGAGTGCATATACTTCATTGTCTGAATGTCGGCACCCCTGTGGGAGCAGCGAGCGCTCCAAAACCGACCCTACAGCCGTCTTCTGAGTGGATTCAGCCTGTCCCGCTCGCTTTCGGGACGGTTCGTCAATCTCCAGGTATATAGTACATTTTGCGGACCCATTCCACGGACCCTATAAGCTCGATATCCATCGTGCCGGTTGACAGCATGGCTCGGGCGTGGAATACTCGGGAGGTGGGGCGAGTATGGGCTGTAGGTCGGATGGTTTCGTTGGAGCGTAGTTCTGCGAACGAGTGTATTGTAAATCGTGATTGTGTACATTGGGGTGTGTTACTGTGTTTGGCGGTCATTATGATGGACGGAAAACTCTTACCATGTTCGAAATTCTGAAAGCAAACTGTTTCTTCTCTGGGATGTCGTTTGCCTCTCGCAGCAAAGGAGGCAAATTTTGATTGGTTTTTTTTTTTACTCCCTGGTTCTCGGAGCACCACCAACGGCCTTGTTCACTTTCGGTGACCACGCTGGATGTTATTGACTGGAGCGACTAATATGCGTCTGATGGAAATGTGAATGGCTTGGATGGATGTTGCTTTGCAGCCGTGTGAAAATGGCGGTGAACGAAGTCCTTGTGCTGGAACAGTGATGTAAGTCTAGAGAGAGAGACACGGTATATCTGCCGAGGGGAATGCAGTTGTCTAAAAGATACTTGATACCAGTTTCTCGAGTCGGCAGGGTACGACGATGTTGGTTGGAAGCATTGTACCAAAGGAAGATGCGGTGTCAACAAAGGGGCTGTGCCATGTTGTTGGAACTGGCATCGAGCAGATACGTGCACATAAAGAAACACAGCTTCTCGTTGTCATTGGGCGCCTGCCTTACTTGCCTTACTTATGCGGCCTCCCGCATATGTCGCCTGCGCCCTGGTTTGACCGTCATTTGCAGCTCCTAGTAGTATCGTACGGACAGTGCATCACAGCCTGCCTCGAGTCGTTTTAGGCAGAAGTGCATTTATACTGTAAGGTTGTGGTTGGAACATAATCAAGCATGGCTGAGGTTGGGCGTACTAGGGACTGCCAGATACGGGTGATTCGGCCACTGAAGTGAAACTGGCCTATCATATGCCTTTCCTTCCAAGGTCCCGCGGCCTCCAGCATACCAGTTACCAGTGAACTATATATTGACAATTTTGGAGATAAAGCGCCGTCATTGTCACCCATTCAAGCACCCAATCGAAAAGAACTCAACTCTCAGAGTCATATTTAACCACGTCTAAAGCATCACGACCGCCACAATGTCTGGATATAATGATGCCAACGCCAGGGCTCCTTTCCATCCCTTAGACCCGTTTAACTGGACTCTGAATACCTCACTAGAGAATATTCCAAGGTACCTTTTCCGCGTTTCTGATCCCAATTCGTCCGGAATGACAACTCAAACTGAGGCGGTTTCCCCGGCTGCCCTGAAGTCGTCAAAACAAGAAACCGACCTCTACCAAATGGAGCGCAAGAAAGCTGCCGACCTTCTCAATGATCACCTGCAGTGGCAATGCGCCGACCAAAAGCAAGAGTACCCATGCAACCTCCTATCCTGGACCAGTTCCCCCTTGGCTGCCTTTCAATACTGTTTGTTCCGTCACAAGGCATTGGGCCAACAACAAAAGTTGTCAGATATCAAAATCCTAATGGTAGATACTGCCCAGTTCGACCGCGGATCCCATGTGTTTGCACGAGATTTACAAGTCTTGGAATATTTCCATAGATTTCACAAAAGCTCAGACGGGTATAGTCTCGAGTCGCTCTACAATATAAGGGCCAAAGGTACTTTCTACCTTGGTGAGTACCTATCCCAAGGAAGACTTGCCTTGGACCCAGAAAAGTCCTGTCAAGTTTCTATGGAAGAGCTCATTGCTCGTGGCCTTTTTAATGTCCATCCAGGGCTGGGAGATGAAGCGTTTTGGAACGGATGGCCTACACGGGTGAACATGCTACGAAACAAGATGGGATCCAACTTACCTCAGATAACGATCGGGCAAGTTCAAGCAGCTATTGACGTGGGGAAAGGTTTCAAGAAGTTTGAGCTAGAAGCAGCCTTCATGATCTTGGGTATCAGCCCGTATGATTTGCGCGGTAGCTCCTCAACTATTCTGCAGGTGCTTCAGCAAAACTACTCTAGTAAGTCCTACTTGAGATCTCCCTGTCGAATAGAATATGAGTGTTAAGATATCACTTCATTAGTGCAAAAGATTCAAAGCAACGCATTCTCAGCCAATCTCATGTTTGATATGGACTCTGGGAGATTGCTCGAGGTACAGAGATGGCAGGAATTGCATGATTACATTAGGGGGAAGCCTGCAATTAATATCAGCGAAATGCAGCAAAGAGCGGAACAAGCCGACGTAGAAGAAGGAGTGGGTGATCTCGCGGCTCGTTTTACCAACTTGTGGGCTCGCACCGAGGCTTCAGCCTGAGCATATTGCACTATATAAATGGCAGTTCTTAAGCCAATATCATCACACATCAATCGAGAATGGCCTGCAGTATTTCAGAAACTTTATAAGAGACGGAGTCTACGTGTTTTCTAGACAAAAGCATTGCAAACTGGCCATTGGCAGCTCCGGTTTACTGTACTGCACAAATGAACCAGAGGGCACGAGAGGTTCCTCGGCCTCTATTCTTTGTTCTTACCAACTTAACAAAGAAGTTTTTGAAAACAATATGCTGTTCCGAGTCAAGAGGAATCCTTTACTCTAGTATCAGTCACAAATCTCTCAAATCCGTGAAAGAGATAACTGATTATTGTTTTTGCCTACATGACTGCGCGTTTGACTTCTTGATTAATCATACGAGGTAGGCTGAGTTTTTAAAATCCAAGATTATTTAATATTTTCAAACCCCAGGCCGAAAATGACGAAGCCTTTACACTTTCCAGATTGCTTTAACAATTTAACGCTGTACTTCCTACCTACGCTTAGGCTCTCGCAATTGTGGTTGCTGGTCAGTAAAAGATAACAGTTGCTTTTAACATAAAGGACGCCAATATGAGCATATCGAGATTTGCCAGCGCGGTGTCAACTTCCTTTGGCCCTCGTTGTTACCGACAGCGCTGATGCTTTCAGCCTGATGCTCAGCAGAAAACTGGGCAGGCGACGCCGACGCCGTATCGTAAACGAGCTTCAGTATGCAGACCCCACATATTACAGGGGACTGACTAGCTTAGCATAATGTAAGGTTGTCAACTTAGAACACTACGCTAGTGGTATTTTTGGCAATTTTCGGCGAGGCTACGACTGAAGACACTAACTGGGACGAATGATATGAGTTTTGTCTTTATGATCATGTAGACCAAATGGGACGGACGGAGCGGAGAAGGCGAAATAAACTTTGCGATATGTCGTGTACAGCCTCTGCCCAATTCTTGTATTGACAGTCAAGCAACAGCAACCTTGGGTTGTCCCCTAAAGCCTTCACAACAAGCTTCACCCGCTGTAATTGGAGTACCGAAACGTGTGTCACTGGCATTTTTGCTCAGACCGATTCCATACACATGTTCTGGTGCAACCGGGAAGACCGCAGAGCGGACAGATCGCAAGGCAGAGACGTGGCTTTAGGAAGTGGACGTAAATGAGAGTTGGTTGGCCTAACCACTAGAACGAAAACCAATGCAATTTCAAGTTCCGAAAAAAGGAAAAACTTTATTCATACTTAGTTGCCTTTTTGGCACATTTTAGGAAAACATTGGCCTTGCTATAATAAACTTTCATGTCGTTAAAGGCATACGGTAATAAGCAAACGTTTCTTGTCAAAAAGGGTGGTAGGCCAGGGGCGCTGGAAGCGATGCACACGCAGAGCGCCTAGGATGCCAGGAAGGCGCTAGGAGGAATGTTTGGCCGAGGACCGCGCTAGGTGCGCTTAGTCACAGGGAACACGCCGGAAGAAGGCGCGTAAGGGATACGGACAGGTCTTAGGAAAAGAAGAAGCACAATACACATCACGATTGACCCCTGAATGTGCGCCTACGAATATTCGAACAGTAACTAAACGCCTAGAAAAACTCTAAGAATTACGTAACTAACTTAAGGAATACTAAGGAAAGGTAACCGAATTATAAGCAAAAGCTTATAATAAACGGTACTAACCCCTTAACATCCCTAAGAAGTCCCTAGTTATATTATCTATAAGGAACTTACGGTTTAAGGCAACTTAGCGTAAGTTAGCCCCGAAGTTTATAAGCCTTTTTAAGGTCTTAGAAAAGATTAGCTATTAAGCATACCGACTAGCACTACTAAAGCAATATAGCCGGTTATATAATGTTTTTTATATTAGCCTACTAAAGCCGTAGCATAGTAATAGGGATAGCGATCTCTTACTAATGCCTAACCTAGAGGAGGATAACTAGCTATAGGAACTAGACTATATCGTTAGCCGTCGAATAAGGGGAGATAATACTTACTACCTTATTAAATAGAAAGGGTAGCTAGCAGAGTATAACTCTTAGGTATACTCTAGTAATATAGTTAGCGCCTAATAGGCAATATAGGACTATAAAAAGAAACGAAAGAGATAATCTAAAAAGAGCAAAACAAAGGAATAATATCAAGGTAGCGCGATACCTAAAAGAAAACCTCCCTTTCTAATACCTAACCGCCGGGATAAGCTGCCTATATAAGGCGATCCTAACTATCAGGACGTAACTAGCTAAGAGGATAGGAAAATAAATTAAAAGGGAGATAGAATACCGCTATTCAGGGTTAAATAGGATTATCCGCCGTAGTTATTCTTAAACTTACGATCCTCTTAAAAAAAGTCTTAAGCAAACCGAACGAAAATAAGGCGAATAATAAGCAAAAATAAGATAATTACTATCTAATAAGGATAGGAAAGCCGAACCTTAGTAAAAGGAAAGCTTAATAACGCGCTTTCGGAAAAGCTTGAAAAGATAAACTACCTACTAGTTATATCGCATAGCATAGCCTTAGGCATAGAAGATGCGAAGAAGTTCTTCGTAAGCTATCTCTTTAGCTAATTGCTAACCTATAAAGCCTATATCTCTAAGGAAGACTTAGGGGTAGAATTGCTTACGCTTTGCTAGATAAGAAAGTTAGAAAATAAATAAAGAATATAATAAAACAAGGTCTTTACTAAATAGCAAGGGGGACCTTTATTATAAATAAAGGTTATAAAATCGTTATATATCTAATAGCAACGGTTAATAATTACTTTATAAGCTATAATAATCGCCTAACTAAACGTTAGTAAAAACCTTATAAATAAGTTAATTAGAATATATATAGGTTTAGGCTACTTAGAAGTAGTTATTTTATAATACTTATAGTAAGCGTTTTCTAAGGCGTTAGCTAATAAATAAGTCGCGCGTAATAAAGGAGATTTGCTAGCAAATATCTATTATTCTTATCCTAAATATAGTATATTAAGTATTAAATAACTTTTTATAAAAGGAAATAGTCTTAATAGTTACTAAATATAAAGGATAATACTTATAAGGATAAATATTAGCTAATTGCTAAGGATAAGGAAGGAAAACGCTTTACTTACTATAGTATATATATCTCCGCGATAGTTATATACGTATAACGTAAAAATCTTTTTAAAGTAAAAAATACTTAGGGATAGCGACTTACTTAGGATCGAGAATTATTCTATCTCTTTTATAACCGTATTTATATACCTTTATTATAGGGAATTGATAGGGACGCATTACGAATTGATAGGGACGTATCATCCTTAGGGACGTATTACATTCTAAGGTTGTGATTAGCTTAAAATTTTATTATTAGTATATCCGAATTCTGCTATTATCTAATAAAGTATCTTTCTTATCTTCTTAGCCTATCCCTTTATAACTACGAAAGCGTATTAGATATATTTAATTTATTCTCCTTTATAACGTCAAGATGTCTACCTTTATAAGTCAATCAAGGCCCTAATCGCGTCGCCGACCTAGCAGCTCTAGTATATATAATCAATTGCCTTCTCCTAAGCGCTAACGCTATGCTATCTTAGTTAGTAGTAATACTACTATTAGTTAATTCTATAAGGCTAGCGATCGTAAGGGTTAACCTAACCTAATCTCTAAGATTCTACCTAAACAATTATAACAAGATTCCGATATAAGCTATAACCCTTAGGGAGATAAATTATATCTTCTATATTCCTTTCTAAAGGGGATAATACGTATATAGCGTATAATTTTACCTAAACGTTAACTAAAAGAAAGCTAATTAGTATTATAACTTAAAAATTAACCTTTATAACCTACTTTAGATTAGTTCTCTACTATTCTAAGCCTTATTTAAGAGGTTGTTAGGATAAACCGACGTCTTACGCATGCTTTCCTCTAACAATGTAAACGCGTTCGTCGATATCGTAAGGCTTAGGGCTACTTACTACACCCTTCAGACATATCCTTAATCGGCGAGTCTCCTCCTCCTCTACCTTATTTACCTCCCCGACAAAGCCTAGAAGTAATAGCGATACCATCTTCTCTAAGTACTTTATTCCTTACTATAAGCGAAAGGTTGAAATTACCTACCCCCGAAACTATTCTAAACCTACCGATCCCTAGCAAACTAGAAGTAATAATTAAAACCCTCCTCGACTAAGTTAATAAATTTATAAAAGAGTATAGATTTAGGATTATAAAGTATAATAGATGCTATCGTAAAGGACGTATAATTCGCTATATACTTCGTTATAATCGATTTAGTGTTAGAAGTATAAGTATATTATACTTCTATTTTACTTATTTATCCTATTTAGTCTTATCTAAGACTTAGTAGGACTTACAAAAGTAACTAGCTAAGAATGGCTGCTTGCTAGTTTAAACATATGATATTCAGATCCCTATGGAATACTCTCTTTAACCTTATCTAAAAGTCTATTTAGTTAAAGAAGATTCTAGTCTGATTTATAAGCTGCTTTATAAGCTAGTTGACGTATATACTTACGTATACTAAACCTAGCTTATAGCTTCCTATATTAGCTATTATAGGCGACGTTATACTACTATATAACTAGCCTAATTCTCTCCCTTAGCTAGCTATTAGTTCCTCAACCAACTCAGCTTCAATATAAGCCTATACATTCTTTACTATTAAAGCCCTACTTCATAAGTACAAGTTCCCTTACTCTAATACCCTGTTATAAGGATATCGTACTACCTACGAGATTCCTACCTACCGTTCCAACATTTAGGCTATTAAAGCAAGGTAGAAGTACTAGCATCTAAGCCTGCGTATCTCGGAAGTATGATTGCTAATAGCATTATTACTAAAGTAATAGAAGAGGGAAATAGCTTTTACGTTAGTATTTTAACCTAATATATAGCTAGCATAATTATATCTCTAGCTTAGCATTATCTATATACCTATCTTATAAGAAGTTAACTAAGCTTATTAAGGATATAGTTAAGACTATTAGTCGGTAGGTTAGTATTTAGGTATATAACGTA